GGTGGCTGAATGGTCGGTCCGACTCGGTGGTGACTAGTAAGGTAAATAAAACATAGGAGAGGCTGGGCTGCCTCTACAGCCTGTGGCAAAATTTGGAAATGAAAATAAGTATGCAGTACGGGCGACCTGTAACTTCATCCCAGCTCAGTACTACAAGGGGGGGGGGGGCGGACTACGCACGCACGCACAAGTCCGAGCCAACCGGCTGTTACATAACCATTGAAAGTGTCTGGCAGGCATATGATGCATCACACATGTGCGTACTTTTGTCCAAAGTGCAGGAACCATTAGATTGGTCTATTGTTAGTGGCTGACTCAGCGTCTCTGTTTCCGGCCATCTGATTGTGTTGGCAAGCCACGTGCATTGTGCGTGTGGCAATAATGACATGAGTTTGGTAGGTCTTTATTCACTAATGATTTAAATTAGTTCAATATTTCGCAAGTTGAACTGTTATTTGGTAAAGCTCGGGTCACTATTTAAATATTTGGCATGGGTTAATGAATAAGCCTTGCAATATATTCCGCTTTTTAGTTGTACTTTGCATTTGAAAATTTAATTATCTTTTCTTCATTTTGACTTGCTATTTTCCCAAATATTTTGTTATTTATGCTAGTTTTCTTCCTTTGTCGAAGTGGTAGCGCCTACATTTTCGTCGAGCGCTAATGTCGAGCAAGCGCAATGGCTTTGATTCCGTTGTTTTGTGCTGTCTGTGTCGCAATATGTTATCGTCCTGCATTTTCTGTTTCTACCGTTGTTTTTCCTTGTGCAGCTCACCATGCTCAATTAACTTAATCTGCCCTGTGTTTGCCATCATGCTTCCAGTGTTTACCATCACCAAAAGTGGTCGGTATTTGTAGGACAGGTGTGTCGTTGGGCGCTCGATACCCTGGGGATCGGCCCGCTGTGGGTCGGGGGGGGGGGGGTCGTACGACGTGCGTGTGGAGGTATCCGGGTGTTGGGGGCGTGGTCCCCCTGTTGACCTTCAACCGCTGACTCGTTAGTTATTGGTGCTGATGGTGGTGATTGTAGGGGGGGGGCGTGAGAGCCGAGGGAGGGCGGGGCTGACGCCAGTGACCCGGGATCGACCAGGCTCCAGTCGACACGTCCCATGCGCTACTACCCAACCCGCCCTACAAATCCTGGCTTAGTACGAGCGCCTCTGACACGCCGTGGGTAGTGCACCACGAGTGCCTCCGACGCGGCGCAAACGGCGCGCCATGGTCGTCTCCGGCGCGCCGGAAATGGAGCTGGCCTGTACTAGCGCCGCTGGGGCTCGGCTGAGCCGCGCTCGATCGAGTGAGAGGAATAAAGCTGCCGCCCAGCCGAGCTCAGCTCCGAAATAAAACGGCGACGGGAGCGGGACGGCGCGGCTGTAACTTCAGCCGTGGCGCGTCAGCGCCCCCTCCCGTCCCACGTCCAAATGTAATTGCTTTTTATAGTTATTAACGAATTAAACCTCAGATCCTATCGAAGGGATACTCCTTAACGAAATTAAATGTTATTGGTGCCACACAATTACGGAAAAAGTGATACTCTGTGTGGGCCATGGCACTGAGCTGTGCTATGTTATTGTCAACCATTGATCGATATGTCGGTACTATGTTGCACGGTGCTCGTCGTGATGTATTGAGGAATTGGAGTAGGTGTCAATCATAGTTGATTGCTACATTTCGGTAGGTGTCAATTGATGTATTGATGCATTGGAGTAGGTGCCAATCATAAGTAATTGCTACATTTCGGTAGTTGTCGTGCGTGTTTTATTGATGGCTTCAAACATGCGATATTTCATTTCCTTATGCTTATGCTGCTAGTCTTGGGAGTAGGATGGTGATAGTAAATTATGTGCTTATTTTATCATTTACTTAATGGGGAGGGTTTAATGTTAAATTGAGCACTGCTATTTATGGTAGCAACAACTTGTGATCAGTGTTTCAAAGAATGTTATCCGCGCGTTCTCCATCTCTGTTCCCATAAATGAATGTTTGAAATGGTCACTCTGAAGAAGCCACAAGAATGAAATGTCAGTCTCTTTTATATAAATTCTGTTTTCCTTCATTTTTCTAAGAATTTTGAGCAAAGTATTTCATCGATCTCACTATAGTTTTATAATTATCAATGAATTAAACCTGAGATCCCATCGAAGGGACGCTCTTTTACTAAATGAATTGTTATTGGTACCACACAGTTACGGAAAAAGCGATACTACGTGTGGGCCATCACCTACCTACTGTGTGTCATCACCTACCTACTGTGTGTGTTGACACAATTATGAGCTACTTATCTGTCGTACCTGTCTGTCCCTTTTCCCAATGCCTTTCGACGAGTAGCTACGGACGACACGTATTGATTCTTCTCATAATCGTGGGATGGACTGTGGGTCCGTGTATATTGGCTGAATACAGATCGACTGAATACAAACGAATTGGGCGGGCGGGCGGCACTGCCACTGTATTGTAGTAATGCGAGGGGCGAGCCTGTTGTTGGCGTGTCGTCGTCATACATGCCGTGAGGCTATTGGCGCAATGGCGCGCATAGCTGGGTAGGTGTATGAATATGTCAGGGCTCACATTGTTTGGCGTTGGTAAAGTCGGGCATTTTTAATTTGTTTCCATTGGAGGTGTTATTTTAGTTTCTTTGATTCTGCATTATTTCGGTAAAAGTGAACCTTTGCGTGTAGCCTGACGGATTAGTTTGCCTACTGTGGCTGGTGCAGTAGGGTTGACATTGATCAGCGCTATGACGCTAGCCCATCTTACGTTGTTTGCTAGTGCGAGTGGCCCTTGCTCGTGTGTTCCTCCCTCATTCATCCCGATGCGTCAGCCCGCCGTCATACGCAATCATATCCGCTGTCGCTGTGCCAACATTGCCAATCTCCTCCCTCAGCTGTGAAAGCGCCGTCCCAGCAGCAGCAGCGGCAGCAGGAGGAGGGACCTCCAGTGCTACCTCCGTCGCAGCAGCAGCTGGCGCAGCTCGCGCCGCCACATGAGCTGAACGACACGACGACCCCGCGAGGTCGGACGGTGCCCGGAGCGCTGCCAGCAGCTGTTTCCGGGGTGCCGCTCACTCATCTGCAGGAGATCAACAGCGATATGGAGGTAGGCAAGCTTGATGTGACACGGGAAGTGCACGATATATAGGACGCGGTGCGGCACTTCTGGGACTTGTCTTAAAATTTAAGCGACTTCCTGTAACATCAATAATTCAAGCTGGCATTCACAGTACCTACTTGTTATGGCCGTGACACCGTCAGCATTTTCCGAAACTTCCAGCAGGCACGTACAGCCCACCGCTAAAGTAATGTAGGGTTTTACCAATCTCAACGATTGGCTTTGACTGGCGATTGTTTAATGCGGAGTGATCGAAAAGAAGATGTCAATAGCTAAAGTTGCAGCTGCAAGGGTGACGATACATATAAGCTACATTCAAAGTTTCATTGTAGTCTGGCTAATCGTTCCTAAGCTTCAGAAGCAGAACATACCCATGACTGAAACCCCACATTACTTCTGCTGTGGACTGTACCTAGGATTTGGCCAAGGGGGGGGGGGTGGAGGGAACGGAGGAATCCCGGGGGCCTCCCCTCTACAGAGGGCCTCCTTTCTATTGAGAGCCTCTTCTCTAAAGGGGCATCCTCACTACAGAGGACTTCCTACCTACAGAGGGCCTCCTCTCTACTGAGGAGTTAGATGGACCCTAGCGGTCAGACACAGACACTAGCGGCTATTTACAGGAGGCCCAGAAGGACCCTAGCTGTCATGCTGGTCAGAGGGCTCTGATTGTCCTGACGCGATTTTTGGGATTTCCGTGAATTTCGTTCGCCTCGGACGTGATTTTGGCCAACGTAGGCCTTCGGCCCGCGGGGGCCCTGATTCCATCCGGAAGCCCTGAAAACCCCAAGGGGGGAGGCGAGGCGCCCCGTCCGCCGTCTCCCGCCCTGGGTACGTCCCTGACTCCCAGTATTGATGAAATATCGCAGGATGGGGATTTTCAATGTTGAGATAGAAGTGGAAAGTACATGTATGTATTTTGTGGAAAGTGGAAGTTTAAGTGCGAAGTGTATGTATTTTTATTGGATCTCGCTCTTTATCCAAATTGATAGATTGTGTTATACTGCTGCCCGCTCCATATTTCTCCTGACAACTATCCTGTCGGCTCTCACCCAGCCTCTAACCGCTCACCTCTGACCCCACCAGGTGCCCGGTCTTCTCACCTACCTACCGCACCTGCTGGGCCGGCCCGACGCGCTGACACCGGCGCTACACGTCAGTCAGGGTCGGCGGGACGTGACTGTGGTCATGGGACTGCCCACAGTCAAACGTGAGGTGCAAAACTACCTCATATCGACACTGAAAAACCTCATCGACTCTATGTCTGAGTCGGAGAGGCTGGAGACGCTCATTGTTGTCTTCATTGCCGAGGTGAGTGAGTGAGTGAGTGAGTGAGTGAGTGAGTGAGTGAGTGAGTGAGTGAGTGAGTGAGTGAGTGAGTGAGTGAGTGAGTGAGTGAGTGAGTGAGTGAGTGAGTGAGTGAGTGAGTGAGTGAGTGAGTGAGTGAGTGAGTGAGTGAGTGAGTGAGTGAGTGAGTGAGTGAGTGAGTGAGTGAGTGAGTGAGTGAGTGAGTGAATCAGTCGAAATTTTTCTGAAAGTTTTAGTAGGCTTTGCAATGTGCTGAAGTCAATACCATATTTTTTTTTTTACCTCGTTTATTTCCCAGGCGTGATGCACTGCTCACCTAAAAGCCTTTTTTGCGGCACTTTGTTAAATTGATTGATGTTTGGTTCTCGTGCCGTTTTCTGTCCCCAGTGACCAAGTAGTTCCACAGCATTGCTGTCAGAATGCGACAACATACGTCATTTGCGTTGTACATTTGCGTGACAAACGTCGGCCTTTTGCCTGTAAATAACCATAAAGCTACATTGCTGAGCACGCAACCTCAAGGCTAAAGGCTCCCTGTCATGCGCCGCACCCGGGCCCGCTGCCCTTCTGTTGGTCTGTTTCTATGACGCTTGGATTAAAGTCCTGTAATTTTTAGTGTGAGATGTGTGTTGGCGCGTTGTCATGGTTTCCTGCGTGTTGAACACAAGCTGGGTGGGGGACTGATAAACTATGAATTTCCAATCTGAAGCGTCCTGTATCGCCGGCTCGTAATGCCGCTATCTTGTTTCAGAAATTCGTAATAAGTCTGGCTAGAATGAGCCGTTCTGCAGTCGCTTCCTGACAACCATTGTTTCTTTTTCTTTGATTGTGATGTTTTTAGCATTGGTGTCCATAGCTACGCCATAGCTGAACCTTGGGTCGTGACTATATTTTTTTCAGCGACGTTCCGAGTGTCGCCGTTGCTATTCTATCGCGTTGTGAAGCGTTTCCCGTCTGTCCGTCCCCTCCACTCCACTGCTTGCATCATAATCTGTTTTCGTTCCCTCAGACGGATGCGGAGTACTGCAGCCGGACGGCACAGGAAATCCAGGACAAGTGAGTGATCACGATAGGCCAACTCTCGGCGTTACACTCAGGGTTCTGTGGCTGTTTGGGAGTGATGAGGTCGGACGTGACTGCTGCGTCGGGCCGGTAGGGAGGCGGGCGTGTTTGGGATACGGTGGTTTACCGCTTGTTTGATTGGCGGGCCTCGCGTGCAGTGCCGTCACCACCTGGGAAGTTTGTTGTATCGACCCGTGCTGGCCGTAGGCCGGATGCGGCATCACCTGTGCCAAACAGCCGGGCTCGACGCCATCCGATTTCTCGGAGCTCGTCCCTCATCCTTGTTCCGGCTGCTGAAAACCCTCCTCTGTTTTGGTACGTCGCTAGTGCCGCAATACCCCTCACTTCGGTATTATTCCTACATTACCATTACGACAGTCTCCCCACCAGCGTCTGACGTGGGCACTGGATAGAACAGCGCCCCGATTGTTTCTATGAATGGCCCTGCTCGACCCGTTCCATCAGTCGCCACTACGCTGAGGGACGGCACTGCTGTGTCAATGAGCACCTGCACGAAGCTGTTAGCACCTGCCGGCGATGGTAGTTCCCTCTGAATGAGTTCGCAGCTCTGGCACCTGGTTTTTGGTCGATGAAAAGTCCGCAAAGCTTAAACACCTGCAAGAGGTTTAGCGCGGCAGTGAAGCGGCCGGCGTTTGCGGAATTGATGTGAACCAAACTGAAGCGGCGAGCAAGTCTTTTGATTGATGTGGGCGTGGGGGAACTTTACATTTTGGATAACGGGACAGGATGAATGGAACAGTTTCCGATGTTCGTGCATTGTCAAAAGGGTTGTCGAGGTGACTAGAGCAGTGCTTATAGTTCCTTGTTTTCGATACAACGGCGCTGATGAAGTCGTAGAGACGAAACCGGTACGCCATTCATGTAATTGTTTTTTGATAATTGTATCGTGAATTTCATAAGGTACTCTCAATACAATAGAGCAGTGCTAAATGTTTGCCTCGGTTGGTATGCATGCAAGTTGAAACAATGGCTGGTAGTGGTATTAATTTTACAACTCCCTCCTGCAGTTTGTCCGTCGCTGTCATGTGCTAGAATATGAACGATGGTATGATAAAACGGCGGTGTTTGTGTTTTAGTAACACGTAAAGAATCTGATTAATCTTGCTAGGAATGACGCTTGTCACGGTGTTATACGCTGGTTTACCTTTAGCCATGAAATTTGTAGCAATTACATCCGTTATGGCGGAAATCCTCATCAGTGTATGTGGGAAATTTAGTGATCGAGCAGTCCTTTGTACCGGACAGTTTTATGCTGATCCACTGCGATAACTAGTGCATTCATCGCTCCTATACCGTGAAAAGGCAACTTAGGGATTGAGTGTTGTGTATGACATCACCGTTAGAAAGTACCCTAACGTGCAGTCGGTCGCGCATTCAGTCACATGTGGGAGGCTATTGATCATGCAAGTCCGCTGCTAGCCTACTTCGTGCCACTCAGCATTTTTGCCCCACGAAAGTTTTGTATTCCCTATAGAACCCTATGGAAATGTTCCGTTTGCACACATGGTTGCCATGCAACAGATTGCGTGTGTTGCAACGTTTTGTCTATAGGCCTACTGGACCGTAGTCTTTGACCTTTTTATTCTGCACTGCCGGTGTTTTCATTGAAGGCCGGTGCTTTGAACGTCCATGGTATGTTTTCATCGCTGGCGCTGGAACACTCGGCCAACCGAGAAGGCGGTCGCTGAGCTGGTGTGTCGGTAATCGCTGCTGACCCGGCGCTACGTCCCGCCCCCTCCCTCCATCCCCCTCCCCCCGGTCGGCGGCCCGCTCGCAGTCCCGACATCAGCACAGTACAGGGGCGGGCCGCCACAGCGGTAATAACACGGCTCCCACGGCATTTTTATGGACGGGCGAGCCGCCGGCTGCCGGACGTCCTGCTCGTGAATTGGGCCCGTGAGCTGACGGCCGATCGTGACCGGCGCTCGTGGTCGTGAGCTCGTGACCCGGGGTCAGGATTGGAGTGGCTTAGGGTCACGGGAGGTTGATGAGCAGACCTCAGACCGGAAGACTGGGTTAGTAATATTCCTGCCAGCTGGTCGAAAAGGCCTATGCCTATCGGTTGAGTTGGCTGGTCGAGGGTGAATTGACAGCATGCGTTCTGCATGTAATGCCGGTCGGAGAATTCAGTGCTCAGTGCTTGAGGACTGTTTGATCACAGGGCTCAGGTTGTTGTGACGGGCCCGGATGGCTGACAGTGCGTGTTTTTGGTGGGTGCTATCGAACGCCATACAGTATGCGGGTGACTCTGCTCGACGATGGTCTATAATTTGCGTGTGTACTGTGCTGACCCAGTTTGGTCGAGGTCAATAAGCCAAACAGAATATGTTGCCAGTACCGCCCATTTTGTCCTTCCCCTTTTTACAGAATGGTCGCTCCTTTCCGACCATTCCTATGTGTTGACTGTCGTTACACCAATCATTCCCCATAGATTCCTCCCTTGCTGTCTTTCGGTCACTATCCCCAGTCAACTATTCCTACTGATCTTCCCTTCGACCATCCCTTGTTCCTTGACGGACGGTCCCAACCTCCTTTTTTGTTTTTGCTTGCGATTTCGCTCGGTTATTTTAGAAACTTGTCGTTTCCCCGGCAGGTTTCCGGCCGAGGTAAAGTCGGGTCTGGTGGACATCATCTCCCCGTCTGCCGAGTACTACCCGCCCCGGGACTCTCTGCGCCGCACACTGGACGATCCGCTGGAGCGCGTCCAGTGGCGCACCAAGCAGAACCTCGACTTCGCCTTCCTGATGATGTACTGCCGGCCGCGCGGCGTGTTTTACGTCCAGTTGGAGGATGACATCATGACCAAACCCGGGTGAGTGGGGCGCGGGGAGGGACCGTGAGGTGTGGTCTTGGTGTGATCTTCAGCTGGACGACGTCATGACCAAACTTGGGTGAGCGGGGAGGAGCTGGGACCATGAGCTGTAGAGGGTAGGTTGGATGACGTCATGACCAAACCCGGGTGAGTGGGCGGGGGACTGTGGACAGTGGAGGGTGAGGCTGGATGTTAAGTGAAGTGTGTCGGCGTGAGTAAGCTCGCCCACAACAAACTTGCTTTGTATACATAGAGCTCATTCAATGTTTTTCCTACTCGCATACTAGCTGTCAATTTGTATTTTGAACAATTCTAGATGCGATTGAGTGGAGCTTACTATTTGACATTTTGGCAATGTTCTGACCATGTTTTTCCCCACAGTTATGTAACAAAAATGAAGGAATTCGCTCTTCAAAAGATCTCAGAAAAGAAAGACTGGCTTCTTCTGGACTTCTGTCAACTTGGTTTTATAGGTAAGTTTGGCTCTCGCTTGGTGGCTTCCAGCTACCTATGCCTTGAATTGGATGACACTAGTGGACCGATACTCTGTTAAGTCTTGCACTTAACTAGGCTCGGCTCCCTATTGCGTTGCTTTGCCTTTTTGTCCGTACGACTGCTGTTATGCAACCGCTGCTTGTATGGCACACCTTAGGAAATCGGCTACCTCCAACTGTGTTCTTAACACTATTGGGGGCTGACTTCCGAAGCAGTGACTGATTCGCTATGACTGATTTATGAGTGTCGGACGTTAAATACTGTACTCCACTTCGCGTGACAATCGCAATCAAGGCGATACATTGCTATCCAGCTATCATTCAACTGGCTGGCGTCATGGCCAATGATTGTTTCCATGGTGAAAATATTGGACCTGTTATGTTCTGCTAGTGTTAAACGGTATCCCATTTGTAATGGTATTTGTATTTCGGTTATCGGACGGAGAGTCGATCTGACACTCTTCCTCTTCCTGCTGCATCCATCCTCTCAACCATCCATCTCCCTGATGCAGTTGCTTTATTAGTTAAACAATATGTTAGTTAAAAAAGTCACATCCAGCTTCCTCTATAGCTTTGCATTCAAATTGCCAACGAGTTCGTACTATCGGGAAAAGCCGGTGCCCGCTCCGCTGTTATGTGGACTGTTCGTACCACTGCCGTTCAATCCGCTTCCGCCCCCTTCCTTCCCTCCCTCTCCCTCTCCCTCTCCCTCTCCCTCTCCCTCTCCCTCTCCCTCTCTCTCTCTCTCTCTCTCTCTCTCTCTCTCTCTCTCTCTCTCCCTATCCCTCTCCCTCTCTCTCTCGCTCTCGCTCTCTCTCTCCCTCTCTCTCTCCCTCCCTCTCCTCTCCCTCTCCTTCTCCCTCTCCCTCTCCCTCTCCCTCTCTCTCTCTCCCTCTCTCTCTCTCTCTCTCTCTCTCTCTCTCTCTCTCTCTCTCTCTCTCGTTCGTTTACCGCCTGACACGTGAACCACCGAGCTGCGTGTCACTCCTGTCAGAGCCGTCAGAGCTGTGATGGGCGCGGCTGGGACTGGGGTGACTGTTGAAGGTGGGGCAGGCACGCTGCCATATGTGTCAATGCCGATGGTTTTGACGGATAGATTTGGCGCTACACGGAAATACAAGGGGTGCGTTTTGTAGATGTAAACTAATTTAGTCTTCTTAGTGCTTGTGCAAGGAGCATTTGTATTTTAAAATACTTTGTGAATGACCTCTCCTTGAAATTGTATGTAAGGTAGGACATGTATTTTACCATAGATTGATCCAAATAATTTTTTGAATTATGAAGTTTGAATGTGATTTGACAAAGATCCGTGATCGAAAACTCATCATTTCTGTATTTGACTTTTTGTAAAATATATATCATACCTAACATACAATTTCAAGGGAAGGTCATTCACAAAGTATTGTTAACTAGGTAATTGAGTTGTAATTGAGAAGTGCAGAAGTATTGCAGAAGTAATGGTGGCTTAGTAGTAGGTGAAAAAGACAATAGTATCGGTGCGCCTGTAAATACAAATGAACTAGCAAGGGCTCATTGAATAGAATAGATACTAGGGTTACCCGCGTGCTCCGCAACGCGAAGGGGGGATTTTTTGACCTGTGGGTATTGGGTTCGTCTGTGTCGATTTGGTTGGTATCCACTTCGTTCGATTGCTTTTTGACGGCCAAGCATTTTGTAAGAAAACAAAAAGATACATCGCATCGAGGTGCCCGTGTCGTATTATCATGCGTTCTACTTTAGAATGATTCGAAAACTGGCGTGAAATCTTTTGAGGGCCATCGCAGGGTATGGCCATCGATGAATTTCGCTAAAAATGGCAATGTAATGGTTTGGAACATTTACATTTTTAAGAATACTGTTGCCCGTCATGCAAAAATGAAGAGTGAATATTGGACAGAATTGAATGCTCTTTCCAACGGTGCCATTTTTAATTGCCAGAGATATCAGATCATGGAGCAAAACCCGTGTGATTAATACAGTGACACAAAATTGACAAACACCATTTTCTCCCGTGATTTGCACCACCTTGATTTGGATCAATCAGCTTTTCACAATTTTTATATGAGAGGCGGTACATTTCTCTTGCCAACAGGCGCTGTTCCAATTTGCTCCGTTTAACGGTCACCTAAAAATAAAATCAATTCCAAAATCCTTCAAAAACCGCATTTTTTCAACAAAAGTGCCCTCCCCCGGTGCACGTGGCGCGTGCCATCCCCTGCACCGCACACCATTCAATAGCCCGTTCAATTCTGTACACGATGCTGTTTTCCCAGTGCCGATCGGACCCCTGGTCTCCAAGAAATCGCACCTGGACCGGACCCGTGTCGGCCAAAATTAGCCGTTTTCGCCCGATTTTGCAAGCCGATTTATACATGTAAAGTCTATGACGCAAATTTGCACTTTTTGAGCACGCGCCACACGCTCACTATCAATCCGATCGAGCTGAGACCCCTCAAAGGCACGTCGCGCATCCTTGATCTATAAGTTGTGCAAATTTCACCGGGCTAGGTGCAACGGTCTGGCCTGTAGTCCACGCAAAGCACCACCAAGTCGGGACCTCGGTAACGGACAGACGCACCCTCCTCAAATAGTAATATAGATGCAGTGCAATTAAGGTGAAGCAACGCGCCGATAATGCGTAGCATGGCGAATCACTCAGTTTTATCTGTTTTATGTGACCGGTAAAGGCGGCCGCACACTAGGCCATTCGGCGGGCGACATTCCGCAAAAACGCAATTCCGTAGCGACATTACGCTTTCGTGGACGCCGAATCAGCTGCCGAAACGACAAAATTACCAGCCGACCGGCTGCCAGCCAGCTGTCCGCGGGTAGAGTGCGCATGCGCGCGGACAGCCGCGGAGTTGCGGAAAAAGCTGGACCGGTTCAGCTTTTTCCGCGGCGACGCCGCGGACACCCGAAATTGTGGAACTTAAAACTCACCAACTATTGATGGAGCAGCCGAGAAATAGATTTACTTGATGAAGTATCGTAGCGGCACTTCTTTCCCCATATTAGATTGTTTTATACACTTCATTGGTTATTCTAATAGCAGGTTGCTTGTGCCTCTCCACAATTGTCTTTAGGTTTCTTGCATTTGTCGACAAACACGGTTGTTTACATTAATCACGAGCTTTATTTTTTTGCAACTTCCTCCAGAAATTATGTCAAATTAATAGATATTCAAAACTTTATTGTACAGAAACATAGCATAATCGCATTAAATAAGCAAATATTGTATTTGCTTAAATGTTTTTAGTTTGCATTCGTTTATATTTATCATAAAATATCTCACATAAAGTTCCTGAAAATACTAAGTAGAAAATCGCACCGCCGAATGGTCCTGCTGAGAACAAGCGGAAAGCCGCTGTAGGAATGTCGCCCGCGACATTCCGCTTTTGCGGAATCTCGCCCGCCGAATGGCCCAGTGTGCGGCCGCCTTAAATGATGTTTAGATGTTTTGCTCGGTCGACATCTACATCTCTACCGCTAGGCCTATTGGGCTAGATGTAGAGACATGCCATTCAGATATCGACACCCTAATGTTTATCTTTTCTTTTCAGGGAAACTATTCAAGACCGTGGACCTGTTGCCTCTTATTCATTTTCTGGTGATGTTCAACAACGACAAGCCCTCAGACTGGCTGCTGCTTAACCTCGTGCACACCAAGGTGTGCCGCTTCGACAAAAGTGCTGTAAGTGGTCGTATGCCGTTGCCCCTCTGGCCAGTTTTGCACTGTAGCAGTTCAGTAATTCGGCGAAGTGTGTCTGCCCGCATGACGCTGGCTGGAAGTATGCGAGGTCTTTGGCATCACGCTATGGAAATAGGTATCATCTGGCACCACGATTTAGTGAATGTTTCGCAATTGTGGGCATGCATGTTATTGATCACTTAATTGCTTTTTGACTATACTGGTTCGTATAGCGGTGTGGACATATAACTGTCCATTTTTCTTTACTGGGAGTTATCGTCTTCTGTGCAAAAGGCAGTCATTACTGTCCTTTCGCTATTCCTAACTTGCCGCGCCAACCGTCAGTTCGCATGACCCCATCATGACCCCATGTTGTGCAAGCTCCGAGCTCGCTGACACGCGTCCTGCAGTACGTGGACCTGGGTCGTTTGTCGTCCGTAGAATAGCCTCGCCCTATTGACCGTGCCCGCGGTATGGCGCTGGTTCAGACTGCCACTACCATGGCCTCTGAGGCCCCTGGTCGCGTCGGGCGGCCCGCCGAATATCCATCGACCTGGCTGTCCATGCGGCCGCCTCTGCCTCGTTATTCGAACGGATCGTGTGTGATGATCCTCATAACAAAACTATGGTCGACGAGCGATCGCTGTCGGTAAATGGACCCGCGTTATGTATTCATAACGCCTCTTCTACTGAGCGACGTATGAAAGCGTGGGGCGGTCGGACAGCCATTCGATGGTCGCGCAAATAGCAGTGTCGTCACTGACCGCTGGCACGAATGGGGACATTAATTTCTTATATGTCTGTGACCGCCAGCAATTGCATTTGTTTATGGTAGTTGTTGAGGCCGATAAATAACAATCCTGAATGTGTGGCATCGCGATGGCTTGGCGGGCTTCATTGAAAAAGGCTGATGGCATTGTGGCTTGTGTGTTGTTGGATTTTTCGGATGCTTGCGCTTGAGCTCGTAGGCTATCAAGCGCCTTGATACGAGGCATCCATGCTTTCTTTTAAGCTGTTGTGTGAATGCAAACTGATGTGTTTACGGTTTTGTTTTACAGAAGAAATGTAAGGAGGAAAAGGACAAGGTTTGGCTGCATTACAAACCGTCGCTGTTCCAGCACATTGGTACCCACTCGTCGCTCAAGGGCAAGGTGCAGAAGCTAAAGGTACGTACGCAGACATTCGCGACTAACTCTCCGATGCATGGCTCCGCTGTACTATGGGTCCGTCCTGGCTTCTGGTGCGCCTGCTGTCCTATCCGGTATTTGTGTAACACGGTAAAGTCACGGATGCTGATGATAATGATGATGATTTGTAGTGACAGGGCGCACCAGCAACGAGGCTAAGTCGCAAGGTTACGAGGGAGTGGTATAGGTCAGTGACCAGCTACTGTCGTGATTTTGCACCATTCCGTGGTGTTGATACCGAGTATGTCGAGGCGGCCGAGGCGGGCACTCAGCAGCACTGAACAGGCTCAATGCTGATGAAAATGGAGCGGGGTTACGTGCCCGACAGGGAATGTTTCGACGCTAGCTGCTTTATGGTATGCTTAAGTCGTGTTAACGTTGATGAATTAGGTCGCTGTTGATGAAAAAGCGCCTTCTTATCAGGTCACGGAACACAGTGTCCTCAAGTCATAGCGCGTAACCAGAGAGCCAGCCTGTTTGTTCACGCTATTTTGCGTGCAAGTTTCGTGATGTATGCAACCATCACAACAATTTGAATTAAGTGAAATTGAGTCCAATAGTTAGTCTGGAGAACATGCGCCTTCGAGAATGATGTCGCACTGAATTTATCCCGTGGTATCGACTGGCTCGAAGCTGGCACGGGGCGCGAGGACAAATTCGCTGTGTTTGCCAACTTTAGCTGCAGCTTGGCGTTTATCCCGATCCAACATCTCCCCGAGCCTGCCCTAGGAACTCCACACGGCAGTGACCTGGCCTTAGAACAGTGGTCTGGCATGCAGACTGACAGGGGGCGGGGTGGCAGCGCCGGTTTAGGTCCCTGGCCCATCAGTGTGATGGGGTGCTCGCGTGTCGTGGTCAGGGCGGGCTCGTAGGCACGATATTCCCTGGGGAAGACGGACCGGCCCCGCAGCTGCCACTTCGATGTACATTTGGTACGTACCGAGGCCAAGGTGGCTGTTTTGCGAGGGCTGCGTTGCCCGATGAACATTGCCGGATGAGTGGAAGCTGGCCATAGTGACACCCCTATTCAAATCAGGTGATGCGACTGATGTTAACTGTTTTCGCCCCGTGTCGGTTCTGCCAACGGTGTCCAAACTGGCGGAGCGGGTGGTATGTAATCAACTGGTGGAATATCTTACATTGCATAATGTTATTTGTCCGGAGCAACATGGCTTCCGTAGGGGTCACTCCACGGAGTCTGCTATGCTCGACGCTGTCCAATTCATAATATCGGAAACTGACAAGGGGAAAGTGGTGTCAAATATTGCGGCCGATATCTCCAAAGCCTTTGACAGCGTCGAGCATGGCAGACTCATGGATAAACTAGGTTGGCACGGTGTGGATGGGCACTGGTTTTCCGACTGGCTTGACGGTAGGCGTCAGATAGTAAAAGGGGGGTCACACCTCCTTCCTGTCACCCATGGCGTGGTACAGGGGAGCACTTTGGGAGCAATCTTGTTCTCGTTATTCACTAATGATGTCGCTTCCCATGTCGTTTGCGATAAAATTGTAATGTATGCCGATGACTCGCAATTTCTCAACAGTTTCAACAAAAACGATATGAATAGTCATAAACACAAAGTGGAGGATATGCTCTCCATCGTTCAGAACTGGTATGACCAAAACGGACTTAAAATTAATCCGGCTAAAACCGAAATGATACTTTTTGGCATGCCAAAACAAGGCATTGGTGGCGACATTATGGTGAACTTTGCTGGTGCGCAGGTGCGGCCAGCAATCAAGATGAAAGTGTTAGGCGTCACATTGGACCCCGAGCTGAAGTGGGAGGACCATGTCTCGATGGTGATCCGGAGATCATACGCAACTTTGGCAGGGCTGGCGAAATTTTCCCATTCTTTACCCACCGCAGTTAAAAAGTTCATTGTTGAGGCTCTGGTCTTCCCACATATAGCGTATTGCCTTACTGTTTGGGGTGGGTGCAGGGATGTCCAGCGGAAACGAGTCCAGAAGGTGCTGAATCATGCTGCCCAAATCACTACCTCATCACGGCGCAACGTGCACGTCACACCGTTGTTCGCTGAGCTTAATTGGCAAAAGTTAGACAAACTTATTGTGGAAAAGGATATTCTCACGATTCATAAGATTCTAAAAGACGGAACTTATTCCGCAAATCTAAAAACTCTTGTCGAGTCCCGCGCAGACATATCAGCACGCAGCACCCGGGCCGTTGAAGCTGGGCAGCTCCAGCTACCCAAGGTGCGCACTGAACGTGCCCGGCGCTTCTTTACCTACCGCGCCGTGGCTAGCTGGAATGGAGCGCCACCAGCTGTCCGGGAGGCGCCGACCGTTAGGCAGTGCAGGAAGAATATCAGAGAGAATGCGTTAGTGTGATAGTTTGTGCAATGTTTATATCTTAGGTGTCATTGTTCGTTCGCCTTTTAGGTCGTTTAGTACCGCTCCATTTACTGTCATCTTTTACATATATTTCATGTACCTATTGGATGGTGATTTAGCTTACCTCAACATTTTATAGATGCTGTTATCGTGGTATTTTAATATTCTTATCGTGTTCTTGTATTTTACTTTTCTTTTTGTCTTTTTATCTATGCCCGAGATGTGAGATGATTTTCATGTATACTGACACTACAACGTAAAAGCCACTACGTGGATGTTGTAACGAGCCTAAATAAATAAATAAATAAATGCGTTCATATATGATTTATTAGGTGGCGCCGTGTTTGGGTAATTCCTGCACCTTGGCCCGCTGTGGATTTGTAAGTACGGATTTCCTGCTCTTGAGGGGGTCTTTAGCTACTGTAGCACGCACGGTTAGTGCAATATTTCTAATTGGGTGCTATGGAAATGCTGTTGTTATGGAAACTTTGTGCGTTTTCTTATATCCCTGTGCTTCAGGGTGCCTTTATTTAGCATTTTGGACGCGTGAAACACAAATATTAAAGGTAGTGTGCCAGCTTTCTTGGACCGTATGGAGTTAATGGCCCAGATAAGGAGAACCGGATTTTTAGAACTTATCCATACCTTCAAAACTCATGGAAACGTCTTAAATTCTTCAAATTTTGAGTACCCCAGTGCGAAATTCGCCCCGACGGGTTGTCGGTCGTACCCCAACCACATTTCACACCACTATGAACAATAAATGCACACACTGAAATCGCTATTACCGATATGCTCATCCAATCAAGTTTCGATAAACCCGTTCATCATCATCTCCTGCGGTTTCGAACACGCCTGTTAGGTGGCTTCTGATGCTCGTCGAGGTCGGAATTTCCAAATACGCGTGGTGCGTCGGGCCGCGCGCTCTGACTTCGGCCAAGAAAAATGCGTCAGCTGATCATTGTCATTTCTGCCACTTGCGTGTGGTGAAATGGGGTCATAACTTATAAGACGGCTTTTTCATATCAATTATTTTACATAAAATCATATTTCAAACCATAAATAATGTTCGACAGCCAAATAAAAGAAACAATACCAATACGGGCTTACAGTTTAAGGCTCGACATTGTGTTGTCTACGATTAGACAGCTGATAACTCATTCCCGTACGTCGTATGGTCGTAACACTATAATGACCTTTGCTTATTGTCACAAGTGCGCCGCATTCGCGATTGTTGCCCGACGCCTGTTTGCAGGTGAGCCCACTACAGTTGTTATACATATCTAAAAACCGAAAAACTTTTAGGCGAAAAAGGCACTATTCCAGGCCCATTTTTGATTTTTTTGCGATATTAGGTAAAAACAGAAGCTTCTTATCCTAGGAAAAATAAAATGGGAAATCTTTCAAAGGTGGCACACTACCTTTAATTGTTAATGTTCTCCGCCTAACCTATGCAATAGCCAGTTGAATGAATAACTGTTTACTAATATAGTGATCGAACAACTTAACGCTACATAGGGCACGCGCTCAGGCACGCGGCTGTGCAGAGCCCCTGAAAATACATCCATGCACGTTATAAGCTGTGAACCGTTCCAGCTTAGCTTGGTAGCTGTGTATATAACAACTGCCGGTCCTAGTCTCTGCCTCATACCGCTTGGCTGACCGCTGGTGACCCGCTGACCCGGCGTGACCCCAGGACCGGTCGGGTCCGGCCGCGCCGCCGCCGCTGTCCGCCTCCGAACAGCTGCTCCACCTCAGAATGCTCCAGCGCAGGTCCCGCGCCCGAGAAACGGTGCGGTCCCTCCTGTCTGGCTTGCTTTTGCTGTGTGCTGCTTTGTGATGATTCGCCTGCTCACGCTCTGAATGCTGTGTGATGACGTGCGAGGTGGTCCAAATATCGGTCCTTGCGATGACCCACGTATGATGAACGGTGTGGTGACTTGTGTGTCTTCAAAAACTGAGTGAAACTGAGTGCACACTCAAGTAGTCGTAAGGGTGGCTCTGTTTCTGTGCACCTTTGCACTCATATTCCTCACAAAATGATATTATATTTCTGCACAGAAGAGAAAGCTGTATTTTTTACTGCACATAACTCGTTCACCTTCAGCTTTAACGTTCCATGATAAGGTCGACTGACTGCTGGCCCCGAACGTGTAGTTTTGATATTCTACTCACATATTGTCTCAGAGTGATGTTTGACCGCATTGCTGTGTGTTACCTATTTTTATGAACGCGTACTTCTGATTGGTTTGCGGTTTTATATTCAGCACAAAGGCTGTTGCTAGTTGTGTTGCCAAGCAACGCGACCATCACTGACACTGGATACCGGCAACATTGTAATCCAATGGTTCTCGATCCCTGTATAACGTCAACTGTTTTTGATTGGTTGTCATGGTAACCAGAGACGCGTGGCTGGTAAGCAGCTCGGTCAGTAACTGATGAAACTGTCGCACTCGAATTATTGCTGGCCGGTTGGTATTCACCGACGAATGAAGAGCAGAGAGGTCACGGGACCATGCTCCCCATGTTCATGCCAAACTTGTATCAAAATTGTGGATATTAACGTCCCTTTCTGTGGCATGAAAAGGTTGACCTTAAACCTGTGTATAAAAAGAAGAACTTATCCAGAATATCCAGATTATATTGTCAATCTGATGTATTTTCGCCATCAGCCTGCTGAATTGTGAAGAATGGCTCAAAAGAAAATGCCAGGGATATGAAGGAAGCTGGTTACCGATGACTGAACTTACCGAATGCGCACCATTTTATTCAAAGCCGTGCTGTTCGTTGCTGATATGCTTAAAACGCTTTCACACCGACAGACTTACATATGCGGTGGCTTAGCGTAACCACTTATACCTCATTTCGACCACAATTTGCGCCATGTTTGAAAAGCAAGGCACGCCAAAATTGACGATTTGAGTGACGCCTTTTTAGCTTTAATTATGCACAACTCTGGTAACGACCAGCAAATTAAGTGTGTGGTCGCTACTAAGGTGTATTCTAAGCCGTAATGCGTGAACTTAGTGCTACCACGGCCCTACTTACTCACATTAGATGACACCAACTTGTCAACCTATATGCTGCTGCGTGGACATTTGCCCATCGATTTTACTGCTGCGTGGACATTTGCCTATCGATTTGAATAGGTATGCTGCTGACTCACTTTTTATATGCATAGCTTCTTGTGCATACATGGTTCCACGTCTTTCAGCGTCGCTCCAATGACCTAATGGCAAGCCTTGCACAGCGGGTTCGAGGGCCTTGTACACCTTGCCATACCGACTACCGAGCCACGCCGTGCCGACCGTGCCGTGTTTTAGGTATTCCCAAGGCGGTATTCCAAAACGCCCGCGCACGGGTGTCGCTGCGCACTGGACGTGCCACTCAATAGCTGCCGTTGGTGGATGTCAGGGTTACATTTAAACGAGCTGCTGCCGCGCCGGCCGAATTGCCGGCTCACATGCTCACGCTTTATAGCTTTTAAGTGTCCTAGTGCCCGATGGGAGGTTTCCTTCACTCAGTGTGCTGGGTATTTTTGTCGGGGTTAACCCTCGCCGGACCTATTGGTTTTCTACATACGCGCCGGCCGGGGGGGGTACGACCCCCCTCGCCGTTTCGCCCCTGGTGGAGCTAACGCGTCGCGGAAAAAGCGAGCGTGTGCGCCGTTACGAGACGCAGAGATTGGTACCCGATTTTAAGGTCCTAGGTCAACCGGTGACCTCTGAGGTCAGGTCAAGTGCGCCAAGGTACGGTTCAGTTTTTGGTGAATAACTTCGCAAAAACGGCCACAGAGACGCGATTTTGGCAGCATCGTGTTCGCCTCGCTCAGGCGCGTCGAATGATATACTTTTTTGTTCGGATCAGGTCAACTTAGGGTGTTTACCTCAGGTCACGGTCAGGTCAGCACCCCCAGGTCACGAAGTTGGTCGAAAGAGGTCATGTCGCATATCATTCGATTCGGCAGGTCTTCCTGAGTCCATTGGTGGCTTTTCCACATAGCTGGCTCAATTTGCTCGGGAGTTATTGACGAAAAACTAATATGACCTTGATGACGTCATAAATGACGTCACGCAAGGTCAACAAGGCAAAAGTGAGGCATCTAACCTTGGAAGCAAGGAGTGCATCAAATCACGATTCTGTGTGCTTGAGATAGTTGGAGGTCGTTCCCGATGCCAGAATAGCAGTTTTCATTTTTCCCCATTGACTTATAATGGTGAGGTCACGAAAATGACCTGACCTCATATGACCTTTAGGAAAAATCCGAGATATACAAGTTGTGAGACTCGTAATGGATACTAGATCCTGAAAGTTTCATTTCCCTGTGAAAGCTCCTCTGGCAGTGAGGGCGTTGCGCAGTTGCCACATCTGGAGGTCGTGCAGAGGTTCACTTATGACGCCATAGGTCCGTGACCTGACCTGACCCGAAAATGCGGTTGGTGTCAAAAGATCTGGCTTGAATCAAAGGTCAGGTATGCCAAGTTTCAGCTCTCTATCGCCAGCGTGTGCGGAGCTATAACGAAAAAAAAACCTGGGGGGCGCCCCCCCCGGCTGGCGAGGGTTAACCCGCGCCCCGCTGGGCTATTCAGCCATACGCGCCCTGCTGGGGGGGGGGGGCAGATTCTGCCCCCCCCCCCCTGTCTAACTTCCGAACCGATGGTCGTAGAAAGACGGGGAAAACGGCAATCGAAAGCTCTCAACAAGGCGGATCTTAAGAGCCCAAATTTTTTTGCTTAAGTAGGTCAGAGGTCAGGTCAAGGTCAGGTCAAGGGTACAAAATGCAAGTTTCTACAGTATCGGCCTTGCACCGTAGTTGCCGAAGAATGGGCTGAGACTGATTGCCCAAAACGTGTTCTTAGACTACCAAGACAATATTCGTTGCACACAATGTCATTCAAAGGTCAAGGTCAAGGTCAGGTCAGGTCAGGTCAGGTCACCAAAAACAAAATATAGAAAAGGGCATGTGCGACACATGTTTTATGGGTCATTTTACTCATGGAATTCAATAGGCACACTCAATAAGTGATATGGACCACCTCTGGATGAATTTCAGGTCGAGGTCAGGTCAAGGTCAGGTCAAGTGAGGTCAAATTTTGAAGTTGGTTGTTAAGGCCTAAAAAGGTGTCTATCCGATGCAGTTTTTCACGGCGAATCGAATGGTGGTATTTTTGTTTCTGTACGAGGTCTAGAACTTCCAAAAAAATCATTTTTCATTTTTTTTGTGTGTCATGACGTCATAAAATTTTGAATAACTTCCACATTTTTGAACCGATTCTTCTAAAAATTGGTATGTAGGTGCACATAGACCACTTCTTTGACATATATTCCGGTTTTTTCGATAAACTCAAAATTTTGGATTTTATAAATATTTTCCCAAAAAAGTCAGTTTTTTGGAAAAAATTTGGCCAAAATTCAAAATTTTCAAAAAACCGAGATAGCCATTTGATAGACAAAGTAGAATCACGTATAACCTTTTTTGTTACGTCTTGATTCCTTTAAAACTGAAGATGTTAGCGGCGTTTGAAATTTTGCCGTTTTTGAGGCGAAAATGGCGAACATGACGTCACTAAAACGTCAATTTCTCAAAAATTTTCCGACGGATTTCGCTCAAATTTTCAGGGAATGTGTCAAATTGATGTATGATAAGGTACTGAAAGTTTGACGTCGCTGGCGTAACGCGTTTAGAAGTTATTGGCGAAAAACGGGAGGGGGGCAGATTCTGCCCCCCCCCCAGCGGGGCGCGGGTTAAGTGATTGGCACATGACATCTGATTTTGTATCGACAGGACAAGCAGTTTGGAAAGGTGCAGATGTTCAAGGCGCATAGCAACCCGCCGGCCAGGGTGGTCTGTGACATAAAGCCACACAAGCAGTATACTCTGGAGGTAAGTGGGAGCACATGGACGGAATAAAAAGGTACTTACCAAAAAACTCTGGAGGTAGTGTTGTGAAACGTGATCACTTGGGAAAGATTGGAGTGTTCATCGCCCGTCGTGCATCGCTCGGGATAGTAGGGACAGTTTTAAACACCTTGGATACGACTATGTAATTCCGTTACCTATTAAATACTAGTTGCTACTCCAATTGTCTATTTATGGAAGGTTCTTAAATACGTCCTATAGATATTACGGACCCGATTTAAGAACCTAGCTCTCAGCTAAAGTCGTCTTCCCTCTGAGTCTTCCCTCCCCCGAGATAGCCTATTGCTCACCCCTGCCCCTCTCTCGGCGCACAGAGGGCGTACCGGGGAGAGACGTACTTCTGGGGACTGTTACCGCAGCCCGGGGACCACCTGGAGTTTCACCTCACGCCGCCGGTTACACTCACCGGGTAGGTAGCGCCGTCAGATTGCGCTGAAAACACTCTGCCGGTGGGGTCGGGATAGGGCGGAGAAAATGTGCTTGATGTTTGATACATGCGTTTACCAATTGTGTTTTTCCTTGTGAAGCTTACTGGTCAGGTGTGTATTGCCTTGTATTGCCTTATCAAGCGACTTGACTTGTATTGAAGCGACTTGTATTGCCTTATCAAGCGACTTGACTCATATTGAATAATTGAAGCGACTTGTATTGCCTTATTAAGCGACTTGAATTGTATTGAAGCGACTTGTATTGCCTTAACCCGCGCCCCACTGGGGTCTGTGTATAACACGCCCTACTGGGGGGGGGGGGGGGCTATTCATAGCCCCCCCTCCTAACTCCGAAACTACTGGGCCGATCGTCAAAATTCAAACGGCGTCTGATAGCCCCGGAAAAACTGTCGAGCGAAACCTAATTTCATTGACCTCGAGGTCACCGATGACGTCACAGGTCAGGTCAAAGTAAAAATTATTAGCACTTTGGCTTGTTCACATTTTGGGCTCTGGCCGCCGTCTTACAAGTCAGGTCAGGCTCATTTTTGGTTTCCACACTCGTGAACAGATGCTCTAGATACCTTGAGGGTACCAAACTTGTACTTTGATTTTCAGGTCAGGGTCAGGTCATCACAGGTCACGAAAATATTATATCATGCGTCGGTCACGTGACACATGTTTTATGGTCCATTTAGGCCATAGATTTCGAATTTGATGTCGTCTGTGTCATTCGAGGTCATTTTGAGTCGAATTTAGCTTAGGTCAGGTCACTTTCAGGTCAAAAAAGGTCAAATTTTGAAGTTAAAATTTTTCAACAAAAAAGGTGTCTATTGGATGCAGTTTGAGCTCAGGAACACGATGGTGCCATTTATATTGGTGTACGATGTCAAATACGTTCTGAAAAAGTGATTTGAAAAATTAATAATTGTGAATTTTTTGCAATAATGCGTATAACTTGGCCATTTTTGAAGATATTTAGCTAAAACTTGCTAGAGTTAGTCATAATCATGCGTTCTGTCACATATATTCCGGTTTTTTCGAAAAGTCAAAAACTTTTTGAAAAAAATATAAAAATATAAATTTTGAATATTATTATATAAAGTTTTCGAAATTTTCAAAATTTTGAAAATCCGAGATAGCAGTTTGATAGCGCGGTCAATTCTGAATCCTTTCATGCAAAGAAATTGGATCTAGCTTAAAAACTGAGCTCTTGAGCGATTGCCGTGGTTCAATGTTTTGCGTCGAAATCGGACGAACATGATGTCACTCTGACGTCATTTCCGGCCGACCTATGGTAGCTACGAAGTTCAAATTTTGACACAAGGTGTCGAATTGATGCAGCCGAAGGTACTGAAAGTTTGGCGTCGATACGTCAAGCGGTTTGGAAGTTATTGCAGAAAAACGGGAGGGGGGGCTATAAATAGCCCCCCCCCCAGTGGGGCGCGGGTTAATTAACAAGCGCGGGAAACATCAGTGAAGTTGTTGACTTTTATCCGTCAGTATATTGACTTGTTCATGGACTGTGAATGAATCTGACCCTCCCTGAACTCCGTTTCAGCTTCATGTTTCAGAGTGGCAATGTGGAGCACCCCTCTGATCGCTTCTACAACACCACTGTTGAGATTGTGCCGGCGTTAGCCGACCACGAGCTACTTAAGCGGTACAAAACTACTTCAGACGGATACGCAATAATTGGTAAGTCATATCTACGTGTAGATAACTTATCACCGAATTAGTTTAGTGACCGAAGGCTAATCTTAAACCCACAACATTTATACAGGGGCATCACGTCATATCACGTCATCAATCATTCATCCCATTGGCTCCCCGTCACATCATTCTTCCTAGTACTACTGACACAATGCCTCGGGCAACCCCTCCAGTCACACACTGATCAGGTTCACTCTACAGTCACTCCATACGGCATGATTCATTCACACTCACATGACCGCTGACTACACCTCCACCTGATTATCAGTAATCATCATCATTGTTCATCATCAACATCGATACACTCGCTTGGCACACTCTGTCCATACAGCTCTTCCGGGGCTCTTCTCACACGTGTACTACGCCGCAGTACGGTTTGGCCATTCCGTTCTCGTTGGGCTTCCGTAACCTCACTCTGAGCGTCCTCCCGTGCACCGCTGAACGTCTCACTCGGAACGTCAGCTGCATCTTCACTCGTCTCCACCGGTGCTCCCGTATCGGGCGGCTCGGGAGGCGGGGGGTCAGTGTCCTGTCCCGTCCCCGACACCGAACCAGACGGCTTCTCGTGCAGCCGCAGCGTCCTGATCTCTGACAGGCAGTCTTCAGGTTCGGACTCACAGTCACTCATACTGTCTGTGTCGCCACCCTCCTCAAACCGTCGTCGGACGCAGCGCACATGCCACGGGGCACCATCCACCTCCACCAGTGGTGCCGGTAACAGTCGGGTCACCACGCCCCGCCGCGACACGTCCGTGCACCGCGTCGGCTGACCTCGGCGGCGTATCCACACGGCGTCACCGACCCGGAACGCTTTGCGTGCACTCTGGAGGCCATCGCCCACTTCGGACACCGCTCGGCCGGGTTCGTCGATGTTCAGCGGGAGGTCGTGGCCAGCGCGCTGGAAGACACCTGCTGCAGGAGCGCTGCTAGGATGCATCCCGTCACGAGGCGTGGCGTTATAGCGGTGCACTGCTTCCCCGATTGTACAGCCTTGTCGGGCTGCCATCACCTTGACTGTCCGATGGTGGCGCTCGACGATGCCGTTGCCGCCTGCCTCGTGCACCGCCCGGAAGCGCAGCCGGACGCCCCACCGCGCGGCGAATGCCGCCATCCGACGGCTGCGGAACTCCGTGGCGTTGTCCAGCAGAAGCTCTGCAGGCGCGCCTCTTTCCAGGAAGATGTTTTCCAGCTGGTTCGTCACCTCAGCCGCATCTGACCGGCGCAGTAGTCGCCAAATTCCATACCGGGATGGTCCACAATCAATAACAGTCAGATAGGACCGTTCCCGGTAGTGCGTAACGTCGATCGCCAGCCGTTCCCACGTCAGCGGCACACTCAGTGACCCTTGCTGCCAACGTACCGGTGCTGGGTCAATGGACTGGCACACATCACACTGTTGGATCACGGCGCGCACTGCCGACCGGGTGGCACGGGCGTCTTCATTCCGCCGCACGTACCAGAGGGTCCGACGGACTCCCTGATGTCCAGTACTCTCGTGCACTGCGCGTATCCGTGCGGGGTCGACATCCGGCCGTGGGTCCGCGATTGCCGCGGCAGCCACCGGCCGTGCGGCAGGCTCTGGGTCCGGTGTTCGGAGCCACTCCTTTGGCACACGAGTCAGTGCATCCGCCAGGTTGTCTGCGGACTTCACCAGGACGACTGTCAGCCTCAGGTTGAACTCCTCCACCAGCTGACGGATGACGTCGATCCTCCGGCGGATGAGCATCTCCCCGTGTGCCTTCGTCCGCAGGCGCGAGCGGCCGGTCAGGGCGTCATCGATCCATTTGTGGACCGTAGCCGAGTCCGTACAGAGATCGATGATGGTGATGCCCCAGGCGATCGCCATGTTCACGCCGCTGAGCGCCGCGTCCAGTTCAGCCATGTTTATGTGCATCGCCGCCTTCGACTCAGGCCGTAGCCAGCTCGCATCCTCCACGACGCCACCCTCGGGGTCCTCCAGGACGACACCGGCAGCGATAGAGCTAGCGTCCGTCCAGACCACCAACTTGTCCCCCTTCAGCCGCCATGGGCCTCGAGCCGGGTCACTGTCGTTCAGTCGGGCCACGACATGATCGACCTGCCCGCGCAGCCCCACGTCCTCTGTTGGGTCGTCCCATCCTGCTGTTAGAGCATTGACGCGCCGTTTGAGCCACGCGGCCGCTGGTCGCAGCCATCCCACCACTGGCAGATGGGACACCAGCTGACCACACCAAGCAAACACAGCCCGACGCGTCAGCACTTCCGGGGGCGCCGGCACTGGGTTGTCACGACGCCAGCACAGCTCTCCAGCGACCGCACTCACCCGCAGTCCGAGCAGCCGTGCTCCCTCCGCCGCCCGCTCCGGCGGCTTGCAGTCCAGGCCGTACCGGGCGAAGTGCTCCACCACGTGGTCCGCGTTGACGATTTCTTCGTCCACCAGGAGATCGTCCACATAAGGCAGCACTCCTCGGGCCACCACTTCATCCTGGAGCAGGACGGCTCGTACCACGGCCTTCATGACAGCCGGTGCGATGCTCAGGCCGAATCCGATGCGAGTCAGGCAGTATCTCTGACCTCGCACCTCCACCGTCTGGTACGGTCGCAGCCGCCGATCCAACCGGAGCTGAAGGTACGCCTTCCGCAAGTCCACTACAGCAATGCGAGCGCCATGCCGCCGCCAGCGACGAAGCTGATCGGCGCAAACGTCCGCATCTGCAGTGTGTGCGATTATGTGACCATTCAGCTCACGGTAGTCCAGGACAGGCCTCACCTTGTCCTGATTTGGCTGCGGGACCGCCATCAGAGGAATTAAACCTCGGACTGGGCCATCCACCCGCTCGTCGTACGGCTGCAGCCATCCTTCCCGGATCCACAGCTCCAGCTCGGCGTCATATGCTGGTCGAGCTTCCGGCGGCACGGCATACTGGGCGACCTGGTTCTGCAGATACTCCGGGCCTTCCCCGTCTGCCCACTTCCATGCCACCGTCCACTCTCCAGTTTGTGCCTCGAACCGGGCCGAGAAGTCTGCTGCATCCAGCGCCAGCCCCTGGGGGTCGACCTCAGCCGCCGCCGCCGCACAGATCCGCACGTCTGTCGGCGTCCTCAGGCTGATGCCACCTAGGGCCGTGATGCCCGACATGCCCAGCACCATGTCCACTCCCAATGGACGATCAGGCACAACAAAGGCTGCGAGCGTCACTCGTTTGCCTTGGCACTCCATGGTGACTTTGGCCGTCCCACTACACCGCAACGACCCACCGTTCACAGTCCTCATCATCACCGTCCGCGGTGTCCACTGCTCACAACAATCCTTGTGCACGAGCGTGTCTGTGCAACCAGTGTCCACCAATACACGCCGCTCACGACCGTCTACCTTGCTCTGGATCACCGGGAGGACGCGATCTATTGCTCCGGGGACAGTGCTCGCGCTGACACGTCCCCCGAGGCGTTTGGGCAGGCCGCGGCGAGATGACCCTCAGTCCCACACGTCCAGCAGCGTCTGGGACGAGGTGGGCGCTTCGGTCGCTGCCGCCGCTGCTGCCGCTGTAGATCATTGTGAACCACCGCCACAGCTTGCGTCTGGTCATTACCAAGCACCGCCCGTGCGCGGGCGACTGTGCTCTCCAGACTGAGTTGCTCTGACCTGGTTCCTGCTCGGATTGTGTCCGCCACGGACGCCGGCAGACCGTTGACGAAGGCAGCTACCAGCTGTCGGTCCGTCACGCCGCCGAACAGGGCAGCATAGCGGCGCAGACTCGCCAGGAAGACATCAGCGCTCTCCCCCGGCTCTAGCCGACGTGCGACGAATGCTGTGTGAGCCGCGAAGTCGTCCATGGCGAACGCCTTAAACAAGGCGTCTCGTGTCGCCGTTGCTGACCGGCGGTCCACCGCGGACAGCTGTGACCACACGGCGAAAGCACCACCTTTCAGCCGCATGGGCAACACCTCCGCCGCCGACACACCGCGGTACTCACAGAGCAGTGACGCCTGCGTGTGCCATTCGACGACGTCGCCGCTCCCGTCGTACTCGTCGATGAGGCGAGGATCGAGTCCAGCTCCGATCCGGACCTGCTCAGATCCCTGCACCACAGCGCCCGTCTCTGTCGGTGTGTCCATGATAATGCCGAAATGCCGAAATAGCTTGTAGAAGACGTAGAAGAAAAGATCCGGGCAACACTTTGGTAGACCCTATTCAGGTCTAGCGGTCCACGACGACTCAACGGTACACGAACGCACAGATCGTCGTGGACCGCTAGACCTGAATAGGGTCTACCAAAGTGTTGCCCGGATCTTTTCTTCTACGTCTTCTACAAGCTATTTCGGCATTTCGGCATTATCATGGACACACCGACAGAGACGGGCGCTGTGGTGCAGGGATCTGAGCAGGTCCGGATCGGAGCTGGACTCGATCCTCGCCTCATCGACGAGTACGACGGGAGCGGCGACGTCGTCGAATGGCACACGCAGGCGTCACTGCTCTGTGAGTACCGCGGTGTGTCGGCGGCGGAGGTGTTGCCCATGCGGCTGAAAGGTGGTGCTTTCGCCGTTGCAAAGTGTCTCTGTCCGTGCTTTGACGTGAGTGAATGTGTGAATGCTGTGAATGTTTAGATTAGTAACCGCGGATACGGATTCTGAGCAGTAATCGCCACGCACTTTCAGAATGTGGATCGCTCATGATTGTTCAATACAATACAATACAATACACGCTATGAATCCACCCCACCTAGCACTGGTCTCGCTATCATTGCCTCTGCACTGCATGTCGCTCACATTTCAATTACTAAGTAACGAATCCTGTACTAGCATCCCTCGTAACCACTTTCAACTCACGAATGCTCCAACTCAGAGCTGACTGGCCCGGCAGCTGTAGGCAGTAAACTCCACGCCCGCTCTGTGAGTCGCAGTAAAGCACACCGATCTCCCTCGGAATATGACCCGCCCGCTCACCGGCGCCGTATCCGGTGTCCTTTCAGGTCAGTTTGACGACCAGGGGGTGGCGGCCGGCTCGCTGGATCCCACGTGGGGGCCGATCCGCTCTCTGAGGCTCGCCGTCCAGGCAGAGAGCGACAACTGGGTCATACTTAGTGAGGTGAGTGTAAAAATGGCTTTGTCTGAGACAGCCAGCTAAAAGAACTGTCCCTCAGTGAAGTCAGTGCATTAATCCTAAATATGTCGCATTTCTCGCATTCCATAGCAAATACCTACGTAGAATTTACCCTCTTCTTTATTGATGCATTGTATCATGTGCCATTTTAGCACTGTAAGTAGTTTGTCCAGCCATCGGATTGGTCGAGACGGCGTGGTCGCTGGTCTAGGCTTCTGCTGCGGCTGTACTATCCCCTTTCAATGAGCCGTTCCATATCGGCAGATTCACCTGAAGAGGAGCTAGTGACGCTGGAGCTCGGCGGAGCCGCCAACCCTCTGCTCAACTGCGCCAGCCGCCCCGCGCCGCGCCGCTCGAACAGTGCCTCGCGCGGCAGTGACGGTATCGGGGACGGTGCGGAACCAGTGATAGTGACTGCGTCCAAGGGCCGTCCCGGCGAGCCCAGTGAATACACGTGCCTATAGACGGGACGGGTGGGGGCAGTTCAGTACCTGCGGTGAGAGAATACGTACCGGCCACACACCCGCGCGCGTTGTTGAGTGTTCGCCAGTTTATTGGAAACGTTCTAACTAGTCGTTGGTTAACAGTACGAAGTATTTAAGACTGCAATAGACTCTATAATATGGGAGATGGATAAATGGTTTGTGGAACCATTAGCATATTGGTTGTTCCATCCGCCTGTTTACTTTTATCTCGCCGTTGACATGAGTGAAAGGTGGTGCGTTTTTACGTAGCTAGATCCGCTTAATGGAGGCGCTGTCTATTCGTGAGCCGCTTTATAAAAGCCAGTGTACGTCAGTGCGACAATAACCGTCTCACCAAAACGAAGCTGCGCGTCTGTTGTCTGGGGTCCGAGTTTCCGCGAATGTCTGAGAGCTTACGTGTGACTGTGCCTGCCTGTTGCGGCCGGTAGGTGTGTTGGGCGTCTGTGGTGGCAGGATACTGCCGCTGTCTTGATCCAATCATTCCTCAGTGTCCCGCAGCAAAGCCAACAGCGAAATCATTCCTACGGTGCGGCGCGCGAGTCTTTCCTTCGTACTTAGTGACGCGAGGATGTGAAAGGTGCAGCTGCTGTTGGGTGTTGCTGCGCTGTATGAGGCTAACAATTACGATGGTTGTTGCGTGTTGGAGTGGTGCGCGTAGTTGGTTGTCTGGTGGCGTTAGCGTCGGTTCCGCCGAGTGCCATAGTGTCCAGGGGTGTCTCGTCCAGGGGGAGGTAGGCCCGGCCCACGCCACCCGTATGTGCCTCGAATACAGCTGCCCAGTTCTTGTTACTGTCGCGTGAAGGTGATGAACTGCAGGAGAGGACTCGGAATTTGCTGAGAAGCTGTGGGCGATGAAGGTTTTTTTTAAGTATAGTTCAAATGTTTGACTGGGCAGCTTACTGCGAGGGCCCCCAACTGGCCGCGGCCGCTGTCACCAACTGAGCTACGGTGTCACCAATCCCCGACCATCCCCGTCAGGGATCTCGCAATGCCGAGCGCGGAAGCGGCTCGAACCCGGGCTCCCGCCGCCGGGAATCCCACGCTCGACCAACTGAGCTACGGTGGAATCCCACGCTCTACAAACTGAGCTACGGGAAGGCCTCTACCAGTCACATTCTGCTCTTCCGGTCTAACCAACTCTACTGCTAGAAAGCTCGTGTATTAAATCACTGTTAATTACCAACTATTATATAAAATCACATTCACTCACACAATTATCTCAGTTGTCAGTGGATGAGATATTTATCCAACATAAGGACACCACGGTCTATCCACACAGGCCCTCAAACGGGACATAGCAGCCTGCTGCTCCCACAAATGGCAAGCTCTGAACCAGTGCCTGTGTCTAATGCCACCCATTCATTTGGCAAGACTGCAGCCGTCTATTGCCAGTCCAATCTCTTTTTCATGTTCCATCACAGTGAGTCGGCATTCAATATCGTCTATCACAATCACATACATGCATCAGCGGGACATGCAATCGATCGTTTCAAACGGCTCAGTGTATGGTATTGACACAGCGTTGATCACTGAACTCCAACATGGACCCAGAACTCGTTAGTAAAGCATCCGCACAACTTGGGGGTGCCCGCAGTTCAATTGCAGAAAGCACAATGGTCTCACAAACACACCGTTTGGCCTCTATCAACAAAGTAACGTACGACAGCATCGGTCCACCGTTCGCTTTCACCGTGCGACCAACAGTGACCAACAGTTAACGTTGACCCCCGAGGTCAGTGTTGGTTGACCTCCGGTCGAGTTGCCGCGGGTAGTACAGAGATCATTCCGGCTCGACAGCGCTAGGCTGTCCTCTCAGCTCTGGTCCAGCCAGGTAGGTCCTAAAGGTTATACATTGTAAGCTGTGCTTGTATAATATACAAGCACAGCTCGCGGAAAATAGTAGCGGACAGCAGCAGCTGGCGTCGTTATGAGATAGAGCTGTTAAACAGAATGTGTGTGTGGCTGAAACCGCAGATGGCTATTGGTACGAGTTTCCCGATTGCATTTGATGCGCGCAAAAGCTGCACTTTCGCGGTATGCCCATAAGTCCCGTTGCTAGTGACAAAAGCCAGCATATGAATGTCAATCGCAAGAGATCATGATTTACAAGATAGAGCGTCATAATGTAAATGAGTTGTTCTTGAATCGGTGGCTTCGAAACGCAAGTACACGACTGCTAAAAATAAGCAAACGAATTGATTCAGATGAAGGGTAGATGATGCCTACAAAAAGCGCGCAATATAAATCACTAACAAAGCATGCAGACATTCTACATAGTATTCAACACCAATGAGCTTTCCCTCGGTGATCTTGCCAACTCAGTACCACACTACTATTTCTCGGCTTTGGTAGCAAGAGCCACTGCAGTCTTGCAATCATCATCTTAGCGATCGCATTGCTTCTATTCACAGTGGCTAACCAGCGCCCCGTTTTCTTCTCTGGTATGACGCTTTTCGTGTGATAAATCGACGTCTTTTCGTCCTTCCAAAGTGTGCGGTGTAACGCTAACGACCGTCTCCACTAGACGGTACTCTCCTCCAGCAGGGCCGGCGCCGGTGGAGCGGCCAGTAGCTGCTGCCGCGCCTCCGCTGACTCACACTCTGCCCGCAGTCTGCCGACAGAAGGGCGGTGTCACGGGGTGAGGGGGCTGGAGGGGTGTAAAACAGTGCCACGGGAGAGGCGATCGGCCGAGTTAGAACGGTGTCAAAGGGGTGGCGACGGGTGGGGTTTTAGGACGGTGACACTCTGGTGATTTGAGTTGGAACAATAGTTTATTGAGAGTAACATTGAAACAGCGAGTGTTATGGGGCATGGTAGAGCGGCGCTCGACGGCTGACCTGGAGCGGCGGTGGGTTGGAGTTAGAACGGCGTCATAGGATTGGAAGTGATGCAAAAACGATGTCACAGGAGGAGTGGTACATGGAATGGTTTAAATAAGAACGGCACGGGCCAAAGCGACATTTTATAAGGGTGTCACACCAGGGAGCAGTGTTGAACGGTGCCACGGAACGGGGAGTGATGTTAGAACGGTGTCACGGACTGGTAAAGATAACGGGAACATTGCTCTATCCGGGCATTTATGATTCAGATACAAATCTTGAATGAGCATAAAAAACTCGTCACTAATTTGAGTGACAAATGAAACACCAACACGGAAAAACCACAACGGCCTCACTGTGCATGATACAGTAACCAGTCAGCCATCACATAGCGGAGCTAGTACAGGAGTGCTGATAAAGAATCTGTAAGAATATGCAAAAGAATCCCCAACTCAGTGTCATATTCATGGGGACGGAATTTAATCAAGTAGTCCAAGTAACGTATGCACAGTGCACACCAATCATGCATAACAGTCTTGCCCGACTTTCTAACTCATGGTGGAAATCAATAAAACACATGCAGGCGAATATTTAAACGAATACAGCCGAATATTTAATACGGACGGCCGTCCCGGTCAGAAAGCCGTCCGTACCAGGACGGCTGTCCGACCTAGAAGCCGGTTTCAAAGATTTCGAAAGATATCACTTCGAATACGAGTTACAACGCACACGAGTACGCCGCTCATATGGGTACACTGAAAGAACCTTCAAAGTGGATCATATTTCCATGCACTGCCCAAGGGGTTCACTACACGGGAGGTAATGCGTGCACTTCTACGTGGTTAGTCCTAGCTACATATCGTGAAGCCAACAAAATAGGGGAGAGTGGGGCAAAGCGGCCACCCTAACGTTTCTAACGATGCCGACGCTTGATTTTTAAACTTGGAAAGATTCTTTCTATATCAATGTGATCCCTATTAAATTGTCTTTTATTCCAACTGCGTTTCATTTCTAAAGGCGTTCACATATGGGAGATATTGACAAAACTTTAAACCTATAGCATATTGGCCACTTTGCCCCATCCCTGAGGCAAAGCGGCCACTGGCGACTTCTCAAGTCCCGATATGAGAAACAGAATAGTTGCCTCATGCACGACTAGGGTATTTGATGGTGACAAGGTTTAAGGGAAGATGGATGTTTACTTTGTTATCTTCCCACCTATTGCTAAACAAAGAAAGAATTTTCTTGGAAAAACATTTAATTGCATAATTTGGTAACTCATGTAACCGAAAAGTGGCCAAGATGAATGCATGACGACACATTTGAATATAAATAATGTTTTTATCCAGATGGAAACAACTTATGGCCAATTGGGGGCTGGCCACTTTGCCCCGGCCGCTTTGCCCCGCGCATACCGTCCGAGACAAAAATACTCCAGCTCAGCTATTAGTGGGGTAAAAAGCATTAAAATTGGTAGAAGGCATGTACGATAACCACGCAATGCATGGACAAAAACGCTTATAAAAATTCCAAACGGTTATGGAATAAAATAACATTTAAAAATTGTAAACATAATTGGTAACCTGGCAGGAAATGCTTTTCCGTGTTTCACAGAACAATGGCGATGGGCCTGAAACCCCGGTCTGGCTCATTCGAACGACCGCAAAGAGAAGTATAATTGGAAATCATAAATTGGAACTGACGCCAGCTGTGGAGGGCTAAAACGATGGATGGCCGCTTTGCCCCGGGTGGCCGCTTTGCCCCACTCTCCCCTACGTATCCAATGCCTGTTAGCTAATAGCCTATTTCCATTATACATCTGTGCTCGCTGGAATATCCATTTCAACTTACGCTTGTCCGAACCAAGTCAAAGATCCTATAAACAGCCGGAGAAACAACGGGTAAATGACATTGCCGAGATGATTGGAAGTGGCACATGATGTGCAAGTTAGCCTTCTATACCACCGAGCAAACGACACAGGAAACATCAATCAAGTACATTGCAACTTATGCGTCTTCATTTACGTCCTTTTTATATCACAGGAGATACGGATGATCTCGCGATGCGTGTGATAAATAATAGGGGTAGGGATCATGGAGAGCGTGAGCGAGTGGAAGAACGGATGAGGAAGGGTAGTTGAGCTCATGTACGATGAATGATAAAGTGCTTTCCGAAATAAGTAGATGAGTAGCAATGAGAAAGCATTTGTGAGCGAGGTAAGTGAGTGAGTGAATGAGTAAACTGCGCAAGCGATTTATTAATTGACTTATTGAATGAGCTGAGTGACAAACGCACGCGCCCTGTTCGTCTGGCTTCCATGGCTTGTCTGAGGGCCCGCCTCCGGTCTGAGATTTATTGAGTGATTGAGTGAGTGTAACTAAGTGAGTTAGTGAGTGGCAAACTCACGCGTCCTGTTCGGCATCCATGGCCTGCCGGAGCGCCCGCCTCTGGTCCGATATCTCCAGTAGCGTGTTCACCAGCTCTCGCTCACGCTCGATGTCCTCGGCGCTCTTCTGCGGCTCTGGAACACGGACACGACATATTCGTGATGACGGGAGCAGACAGGTGATTTTCTGAACAATAGTGTACGAACGGGTAGATTGTCTTTGTGGATTACGTTTGATGTCAGTAAGCGAATAGCAGTCAGTAGACAGCGGATAATGGACAAGCACGAAGTCCGCCATCCGTAACACAGAATAAAGCGTCAAATGCATACATAGGCCACTAGAAGAATTATGTATGCCCACGCATGAACATACACAGGGCAGGATAAAACACCATTCGCCATTATGGAAGCAGAAAGTTGAGCACGTTTCAATGACGCAGCAGCCTCACATGACGTCATGCATTCAATACGTCCACCTTAAGTATCAACAAACAAGTACAATCACCTAATGACAATCGATCATGGTAAGCCCCCTTGCTGGAATTTACCGTGTAGCGCGTCACAATGCGACTAGTCCGCGATGATAAACTGTTGGGCAGTGAACTATGGCCTGAATTTATTGAAAATCGATAGATCCGCTACTTAAACGGTATGGACTCTAAGATCTATACGAAACAAGGGCTAAAATATTACTTTGCTTCAGGTTCGTATGCAAACGTGGTTTGTTTTGTCCATCGTCCCGCAACCTACACATGACCAACGTCGCCGGTTCTGAATTGGTATTAGATTGCTAATGTCTGAACTCTGCACATAGCGCCGCAGCAAATTGAAGCTATCAGACACACCAAACACTTCAACACACATTAGTGTACCAACCAACACAGCATATATTAATACGTACCGGGCGAAGCCATGCGCTCCCTCAGCTCGAGCTGCAGCCGGTCGTGGCGGTCCTCCAGTTGCAGCTCCTGAAGCTGCAGCTGGAGCAGCTGGTCTCGGCGCACCAGGAGACTCCGCTCGTGAACCAGGGCGAACCAGTCGCGCATCAGGGCAGCGTCATCGGTTAGCTCACCGCAGCCGTCTGAGAGGGAGGAAGAGGGAAGGGAGGAGGTAGGGGTGAGCAAACGGGGTTCAAACATAAGTCTCCACACAGCGGAATAAGATGTATTTGAGTAAAACCATACAACGCTAATCCCTGCTTGTAAGGAAATAAGTACTTAGCTATCTAATAATCCAGCTGTTATTGAATATCTCCCCGGCCAAAGAACGTTGATGACACCTTGCTCAAATCTCCACGGGCCGACTCACACATGACACGTTGCACCGTCGCATCACGATCCGACTCACCGCTGGTCTCGCCTCGTATGGTCTTCTCCAGCTCGTCGGCACAGAGCTGCAGCTCCTGCTGTCGGACTTCCACCTCGCCCAGCTGTCGCTGCAGCTCCTGAGCACGCTGCTGGCTGTCAAAGGGTCGCGGAAGACACAGTCAGCGGGCACTTTGAGGCAGAATAGGGTCAACATTGTAAGATGGAACTTCTATGTCATAGAGCATAGAGGCACGTGGGCACGTCGGTATGGAGGGCATGGAGGCGCCCAGTCACGTTGTCTTCTGATGATTCAGCGTGACGACTCAAAAACTTTGTAAGAAAGCGGGTTGTGTAGCTAGGCTCCAGATTGACGAGGCTGGATTTACTATGAAAACTCCCCAATGACCCGGCAGCTACTTGGCTCAATCCCTTTTGACCCCATCATGACCAACCCACGTGACCACTGTTCCAGACACATGCCCTAGCTATATTGGACACATTAGTATTTCACTGGCGCCTTTGTGTTAATCTGTGACATCTAACCAGCTTACCGTCTGATCTCGGAGTGGCGGGCGGCTCGGCCCGACCGAGACCGACGCGACAGGGTCCCCTCGGGCGACGAGCGACCGCTCGGGGTCACCTTGGCCTCTGATGACACGGAACAGGGGCAGTGGGGTCACGCAGGTTCAGAGTGGTGTCAGCAGGGTCACACAGGGGTCAGCGAGGTCACAGGGGTCGGTGGGGTCACAAATAACTCAGTGCGGTCACATTAGGGTTAACGAGGTCATACAGCGGTCACGCGGTCAGGAGGGACTGGGGTCAATGGGGTCAGCCGATTAGACTTGCCCGGCCTCACAAAAGTTACGATATCACTCGAATGACCAGGGCGGAGGGCTATGGGGGTCGCAGGGTCACATACAGGGTTGGCATTTTTGCCGGCAAAAACTAGTTTATGCCATTTGCCGGTTTAAACCGGTTTTAACCGGCAAAAAGTGGCAAAAACTAAGAAATATCACAATGCTATGCTTGGACATGAATTTGAACATGAAGCATTTTAAGGAGAATTCGGTGAAAGCTTTATGCTTTCAAACAGAAGTGACATTGACCATTGAAATGCTTCATAACTCAAACATTTTCATGGGCTTTCCATAAGGAGCTAGTAAGATGCCTTTTAGTGGGGTGACAAATGAGCCAGTGCAAGGGTGACTGGGTGAGTCCTGCACAATCAGAAGTGCGAAGGGGCATCTGCCACTGATATGCGCACGGCACCGCATGGCACCTTACTTACCGTGGCTGTCTTGCCCCACTCTCCCCTACATGGAAATACGTTCCGTTGTGGATGTCTACCGACATGCATAGACATTTTAAGCAGGGATAAGAATGAGGCAGCATTAGAATGTTTAGTGCATCTATATAACTACCAGAAATACATTTGTACATTTCAAATCCATTCCTAACTAGAAGCGTTGTAGGTTTGGCCATCTGAGTTTTAGCCAGTTTTTGCCAGTTCTTGCCACCAGGGTTTCTGCCAGCCGGTTTAAACCGGTTAAAACCACTGGCAAAAACCAGTTTTTGCCACCCCCTGCCAACCCTGGTCACATAAGGTCACAAAGAGAGCGGAATCATAGGACAGCAAACTGTCTCGATAGATCGATTAATGCATGCCAGCGATGTCGGTCCTCGGAACAACAGGGTCGTTCCTTGTCAAAGATAATTGAAACATAATTGAAGGGATATTTTATTGCCGTCGACAGGGAACCCTCATCGATTGTCAGCTGATGGTTCATCTATGATGCATGCCGAGCGGGCCGTATAGTGCGATTAAGTGACAAGTAACGGTGCACGTTTACGTTTCATCGAGAAAGGTCGCCACAAATGTCGAGCCTGTTCGCCGTAATAGATGTCTTACAGGTTTAACACGCTTATCATTAGACATTAGAACCACGAATCCATTCCGTTGGTATGTGATAGTGAATCGTAAAGAATGTTTGTGGTAGTGTGTTGTTGGATCAATTTGCGACGCTAAATATACAACGTAGATCTGTGAAGGAATCAAGTGGGGTGTGAGCAGGCCTGAATTTGGTTGAAATGAGGTAAGATCTGTCGTACATTGCTACAGACAATAAAATTGTTGGGGACTAATTGATTGAGAGCAGCTCAGATTCTTTAACGCCGCAACGTCCCTTAGTCCAGAATACCCATCGCACGAACTAGAAACCACGATGCTCCGCAACATTTAGCCAATTACATGATATATTCTATAGACGCGTCAGGATGCAATGACAAACATTTTTCATCGTACCACGCAATCGCGGACGGGACACAGACTATAATAAATGCTATAATAAACTATAATGTAATAGAAATAAATAAAGGTTATAATATAATAAATAATATAATAAACACAGACTATGATAAACCGGACCGGCACGCCCCAAACGGCGCAAAACGTTACCTGGAGCCGCCTGTGACCGCTGTACGGCGTCGGTGATGGACGGACTGTCTGTAACGTCGGCAGACACCGGCGTTCCTGGCGGCGACAGCGACGGCGACGCAGACAGCTTCTTGTCCTTGTCCTGGGAGAGGGCGGAGAGCGTAGTTGCATAAAATAGAGTTTATGTCGGGGGTTACGCTTCAAATCGCGAAGTCCGATAGCCTGGATCCGGTACATTTTATTTCAAAGTTACATACGAACAAATTTTGAAAAGTAGCTTCACACGTCAAGGACTATTGTTGACATAGCTGATACTCCAGTTTTATACAGTTCAGAGCACAAAGCAGCATTACACAAAAGCGATGACTAAGTTTTAATAACATTGTTGATCACCGACCTTGCTCTTCCTGAAGCGCAGTCCGAGCCGGTTACGGAGCGGAGTCTGTTTAACTCCTGCCGCCACTGCTAACGGGCTGGGAGACGCAGAGACGTCTGTCGCGGAGGGAGGAGAGGGTGCCACCGCCGCGGCCACCTCCTTCTTAGAGGGAAGACTGGAGTCCGGCCCGTCGTCCTTCTCTTTGTCCTTTTCTTTCTTGTCAGTTGAATGTCGGAACATGTCTGCAAAAATAAGATGACATAATGACATGCAACACCAAACCTGTGCAATGTGCATAAGACATAAGCCTCTTACGCTTCTCAATGCTGGTAATAAAACTATATGAAACGACATTTATCGGGGAACTCGTAATTATACAAATGGTGCTAAAATCTACTGTTTTAAGATAACCAAGGCGCTCGTAATTCTCTTTGAAGAGGTTCAACATCGCATTGCCAGCTCACTCACCTGAAATGGTCTGTATGATGCTTCGCCGTCTCTCCCTTTTCTTCTTCAGATCGGAGGATTCCTTCTTCTTTCGAGTAGTAGGCGTGGATGGTTCGGTGAGCGCCACTCGCGATCCAGACGCCTTCCCATCTTTACCATCGGGTGCAGTCTCCTGAGTCTGCTCCTGGGTGGAAGGCTCGGCCGGTTCACCGGTTCTACTTGTCGAGAGCAGATCGCTAGACTCGTCTTTGGGAGGTGATATGCCACCAGAATCCACCGACCCTGGAGAAGCAATTGATGGCTGTGATGGATGAGATTTACCATTGGGCGATGTATCTCGCTCTGGCGACAGTTTTTTATTCGAGAGGTCGGCCGCAGACACAGCCGGAGTTGTGTCGGTAGATGATACCGCGGTTAGTGCCGGTGTTGAGGACGCCGTTTTACGATTTGGAGACGCAGCCATCGACTTGAGATCTGCTGAATGTGCTTTCTTCGTGGTGGATGGACTCTCCAGTCTCGACGACACACCCAGCGCCGATGTTTCACTTTCCAGTGAACCATGCAGATCAGACACAGGCCTAAGCTCCTCTCCGGCAATGGCCATCGTCCCACCAACATCAGGAGGCATTGACAGCACGGCCTTCCTATCCGCAGCACTGTGCTTCTTCCGGCGCGGGGTGCGCTGGTCGCTGGCCCGTGGAGGCCTACGGGGAGGCGAGAACAGGGCACGAGCTGCGGCAGGGATAAGGGAGAGTCGTGCCGAGCCTCGTGTCTTGTCCGGCAGTGGCGGCGGCTGATCCACCCTCTCCAGCTGGTGGGGAGGCTCGTCTGCAGTCTCAGACACAGGCTCATGTGTTGTACTTGGTGTTGTCTTAGTTTCATCGTCCTGCACTGCTGATGGAGAATCATCGATGAACGGAACCACGGGGCTGAAATCGATGATGTTGTGCTTTGCCGCTTGCGCCTGTTCAGCTCCCACGTCTGGCTTCTTCTTCTCAGTCACATCGCTTGCCTCCGGCTGGCTCCCTTCCTCAGACGTTGGTATAGGCGGAGGAGCGGGTGGCATCAGCCGTCTTGTCGCCGTCAGCGGAGGCGGCGGGATGACTTCTCCTTCCTCCTCCGGTTCTCCATTCTCTTCGACGTCACTCTTCGGCACCGGCGGCGGCAGCGGGCGTACACTCGGTCCCGACGTCCCCAGCAGTGCCGGGGAGGTCACCCTCTTCCTGATCTGTTTCTCTGGCGAGCGTCGAACGCGACTCAGGACAAGATCACGAATCAGGCTTTCCTCTGGCGGTCTCTCCTGCGCCGGCTCCTGTGACGTCGTCTGAGCCAGGTCTTCTGGAAGCCTGGAGAGCCGCATTGGGGCTCCGGAGAGCGCCGAACGGGGAGGAAGAACCAGCGAGGGTTCGGTGGCACCGCGCCGCAGCAGTCTCGCGCTGACCTCCTCCACCAGAGGAGATACTCGGATCTGTGCAGCGCGGGGCGGCCGGACGAGTGGGGTGGTAGGTGCGAAGGGAGATGTGGGGGTACTCGGTGGGACAGGGATGGGCGGAGTGGCTGGGGCGGAAGGAGCCGAATGCTTGGTGGGTGAGGCTGGGGTAAGAGGAGATGAAGATACCGTTGGTGATGGGAAAGCGGCAGGCGTTGTAGATGTAAATCGTGTAGTCGTGACTGCTGTACTCCTGGGAGCAGCACGAACATTCTTGCCCGTGTCGGGAGTTGTAGATGACAGGGGCAGCGGCGGTAAGGTGGGTCTGGTGGGTTTTGCACGCGATGAAACTACAGCGGGGGTCGTTCGTGTAGTGGGCGAGGTGGGCGAGACGGGGGAAACAATCGACCCGGGCACAGCCGATGTGGCTGATGGAGCAGTGGTAACAGTTGAGGCTACTTTCGATGTCAAACAGGACAACGCAGTGGCCGCATCTGCGCTGGTGATTGGAGGCCAAATTCTTGCCAGAGGAGATACCCGAACAGGCGCCGGCCTCGTCTTCTGCACGGCAGCACTGACGTAGGCTGACCGTAGTGGGAAGTCCGGTAGACCGGGCGGGACAGCGCCGGGGGTCGGCACCGCTGGTGCTGCTTGTGGTGCTGAAGACACTCGAGAAGACACAGAAGAAGCCGGCGTCACGGTGGACACTACAGAGGCCGCAGAGAGTTGTGTAGAAGTTGACGGGGAAATACGAGCGCTGGAGCGAGCCGCCGGTACAGGGGCCGCAGGAGTCGCCACTGGAACTGTAACAGGCGACGTCGTGGGAGTTGCCACCGGCACTGGAGCTGCCGGAGCGCCAACAGCAGTCGCCGCCAGGACCGCAGCGGGAGCGGACAGAGCAGGCAGCGGCTGCGTGACACCCTTCCTCTCCGGCGTCTGACTGACCGAGACCGGTGGCGGTCCTGGCGAGGGCTGAGGTTCGAGCTCACTGACCGGGATCGGAGGTGGTCGGGTGGCTGGCGGTGGTCGGGGGATGGGCGGCGTCTCCCACTCCCACACTGGACTCTGCTCAGTGTTGGGAGTCTGGTGGATGAGCCGGTAGAGAGCAGAAGAGACAGGAGGTTCTGGGGTCTGTTCTGTATTTGTGATCGGCGTGGGGAGAGAAGTGAGCGGCGGCCGAGAAGATGCCAGTGGAGTGCTCGTGGCTCCAGGTCCCTTTGTGGACGGCTGATCTGGAATCTTGGCTTTACTGCGTGCAGACGCTACCAGTCCGGCTCTCACAGAATCACGAACAGGTCTAGTTTCGTTGGACCTGGCAACAGTTTGTACCGCACTATTTTCTTCGACGGATTTTATTCTCTCACTGAGTGTGGGTGCTTTAGAGTTTGCACTCTTCTCTGATGACCGCTTCCGGCTCGAAACGATTTCAGTTGTCTCGTCTCCACCAAACAGCCTCAGTTCCGGCAAAACATCGTGCTTTGGTGAATCTTCCGCTGAAGTGCTGAGAGGGCTGAATGCGTCACTTTCATTCAACTTGGATGGAAGCACATTCATTCGTTCCCTTTTAGCTGGGATGTTGCTCAGTTCGTCGCTGACAACAATGTGCTGAGCTTCACTCGCCTTGGATTCGGTGACTTCCGTGGTTTCAGACTGCTCATGAGGCCCCCGATCATCGACCTTAGAGCCTCCCTCAGAGCTCATCTCATCAGCTGTTGAAACCATATCCTCCCATGAAACGCTTTCGTCTTCATCCATGGTCGCTTCAGCTGCGGTGGGTCTCACATGTGGTTCTTCGCTCATCACTGGCCGTGTCTCTGTTACAATAACTTCATCCACATCAGGCTCCATCTCTATGGACAGATCCTCCGGCGTCTCCGTCCTTCTCCGTTCCGGCGTCGGAGACCTTTGTTCCTGTTGAACTTGCGTCTCCCGCCTTTCTTTCGGTGACTCCGCCTCTCTAAATCCCTCTGACGTCTGTATCCTCCGTTTCTCCGGCATCTGCGCGCTTCTCCGTTCTTCTGGTGACTGTGACCTTCTCTCATCTCTCAGCCCATGTGACCCTCTCCTCTCTTCCGGAACCTGCGTTTCTCTTCTTTCTTCAGGAGCCTGCGCCTCTATCCGTTGTTCCCGCCTTGCCTCAGACATCCAGCCTGAAACCGTTTCATCCACCTCTCTCCATTCATCCACCCATTGTTGGTTGAACTCCATGCTCGCTTCGATTCTCTCAGGGTCGGTAACGATCTTCCGCTCGGTCTCTGCTGGTTCGTGACTGTCTTGTGTTAGGTCGATGATGGGAGGAGGTGAAGCCGTCGAACCTGCAGCTGGTGATGGCACTTCTTCGTGAGATTCGATTGCATCTGGCGAGGAGTCACGCAATGCAGGCGAAACTTCTCGAACTGGTGGAGATACCCGACGTCGGCGGCGGAAGGTGATGAAACTCTCGTCCAGTTTGAATTGTGGCGATTTCTTTAAAACCGCTTCTTCAGAAGCTGTACCATTCGCTTGCTCTTCGTCTCGCTCCGATTTTAGAATTCGATTTTCCTGGTCCGAAAACAAAGCATCTTCGTGTCCACTGAATGCCTTCCGAGCCGGCTCTTTTTCGTCCTCCTCTGACATTGATTTCTCATCAGGTGGAAGAGCACATTCCTCCGGTCGCAAACCACTTTCATTCCTCGAAACTTCTGCGGGCGTAGTATCCAGCGACGTAGACTCTGCCGTCTGCCAGGCAGTCTCTTCGTCGCCCGACTCCGGGGCCTCTCTGGAGTCCAGAGCGGTGGAGTCGGCGGTCACCCACGCGGTATCTTCGGCGTGTTCTGGAGACCCGGGAGGATAAAGGTTGCGATCAGTGGACGGCCGGTCGTAGAGATCTTCGTCATGATAAGTGTAGGAGTCAACGTCTGACAGATCAGACGCAGCGTTGCTGTGATGGGAAGAGAAGTGATCATTGCCGCTCGGTGAAACTCTACGTTCCAATTCAGTAAAAGACGCTTCGTCGTCGGTTTGCTCCTTACCATTGGCTGTAACTTCGGTGATGGTGACGTTTTCCCGACCAGAGCTTTCGTCTTCTTCTGAGAGCTCTTCATCGTAGTCACCGTCGTCACATATATTGTCGAAACCTCGCTCCAGATTGGTTACATCTACGTCATTCAGGAGAGCGTCAAACTCGAGGAAAGTGTCTCCTTCGCCGGTACGTTCTTGTTGATCTTCAGGCTCGGATGGAGTTATAGGCGAAACATTCTCCTCACCTTCAGTATCGCTTTGGCGGTGATAGTCGACTGGAACGTTCAAAATTGTAGCTTCCTCGGCATTTTGAGCACTACTCAGACTTCTCTGAGGCTTTGTATCAATATTTTCAGTTTCCATCAGCTCATCTTCATTACCAAGCATTTGACGCCAGCGCTGCTCTAAAGCCACATCATCAAACTCTTCGGCACCAGAGAGTGACAGATGAATGTCGTCTACATCATCTTCTAAGGGGTCCCTCACATCCAAATCACTGAGGTTCTTAGGAATGTTTTCATGGGAATGCCTTGAGTCCCTTGAGTGTTCTCCCTTGCCCTTTGAGCGAATGTTGCTGCCACTCTCAACGGAGCTAGCATGTCCGTCTGATTCGTGATTTCTCCTGACCTCCCGCTCAGAATGTGTGCTCTCCTCTTCACTCGAATGCATGGCCGCATCGTCGTCTGGTCCCGGCAGGCGCACTTCTACGCTGGTTTCACAGCCAGATATTGCCTCGCTTGCACTGTCTGCCTCGGCACTGGAAGACAGCTTGTCTGGACTGGACAATTTATCAGCTCTATTCTTGCGGGTTCTCAAATAAGTGGCGTCCCGTCCCTCACTGGATCCAGACATCACGTCGTCGTCTCTCCCTGTAGAGCCCCGTCTGCGGCGCTTTTCTCCATCATCCCACTCTTCAGACGAAACCCTGCTCTCGCTCTCCTTTCTTGTGGAACCGACGTCCACATCATCCGATCGAGTCGCGTCTGACGTAGCTCCAACCTCCCGATCACGCCGTCCTTGCGCTCCAGATCGCCTACCGTTCGACTTGTTGGCCTCTTCTCTGGCCTTCCGTGCCATCCGCTGCTTCATCAGGTTCTCCTTCACCTGGCGTCGCACTCGATCTCTGGCCGCGATAGCCGCAACGCGATTTCCACCGCTTCCCCGCCGAATCGGCGCCGATTTGCCCAACTTTCCTGTATCAGCTTTCAGATTCGGTTGCTCCACTGCACCCTCGACTTTCTCTGTCATGAGTTTTGCCGGTGCAGAGGTTTTCCTCTCCGGTGGAGAGGTACGGCGAGCTGCCACCGGTCTCAGCGCTCCGTTAGTGACGGACACTCTTGGAGCTGGCTGAGGTCGAGTGGGTAGTTTGCTCGCAGACGGACGCGTCACCTCAGCTGAAGGCTGCCGGGTAGCTGCTGGTTTCCTTGTTCCCTCGTTCGCCGCATTTTTAGCTGCCTGCTGGCCCTGATTGACACGACCCGTCGCGGCGCCGATGCGTGAGCCCAGGTCGGCGGCTGAGCGGGACCTTGCTGGGCTCACAGCGGCCGGTGTAGAGGACGGAGAACTGACCAATGACCGGCGTTTCAGCTCGGCGGAATTCCGCCACGCCGCGGAATCGCTCGCCGGAGGACGCGACCGCTGTGCGGAGTTTCGCCTGATGTCTCGTGTCGGTTTCGCAGCGGCATCTTCGGAAGTCGCGAAGGTGGTTTTGTTTGGCTTCTGTTGCACCAGTGTGCTCACACTGACCCTTGCAGTGGTGACCGTCTTCCCCGAAGCAGGTTTTCCAACACCTCTCCCGATGAGCGACGATACCGGCTTTTTTAAAACAGGGATGGACCCCGTAATTTTCTTCCCGATATCCTTTCTTGGCGACTTTTGTTTTCCTTTCTCTTTCTCGCCTCCTCTGCCTACATCCGCAGCTTTGCGCTCCTGACTCGACTGGCGTTTTCCGGAGCCAGACCCGGAGCCGGATCCGTGCGAGTCCCGCTCGGCTCCGATAGGCTCCGGTCGGAGTTCGGGCAGTTCGGGATCCGGATCCGGAGGTCGCTCGGTGTCCTGAACGACGATCCGGGGCGCCGCTGCTGGAGGAAACGGAGGGCGCAGCTCGATCTCCGTGTCGGATGCGGCCGAGGAGGAATCGCCGGCCGAGCGGCGGGACTGGGAGACGCGCTCCGACCCAGAGACCTGCCGGAGGAGAGGGGCAGGGCGTCATTAGTGAAACTGAAGCGGTTTAAGGTGCTGCGACATGATGGCAATAATTCGGAATATGGTGACAATGTTCTGCATTAATGAAAGAAGCTAGGTAGCGTCTATCATGACATTCAATCAACTAGACCAGTGGTCGGCAGGTCATTCGGGGTCGTGCCCCCTTTTTGGGCGCCAGGCAGGGCCATTACCCCCACCTATCAGACCCCATTGCTGACACAACCAAGTTTACTGAAATTCCATACAGTCCTGGAACTCTTTGGGTATTTGTGCATTTCCAATGCATCAAGTTTAAAACATGACACTTCCTCCACAAAACATTTAATGCCTATATCCTATATCCTAATATCCTAATGCCTATATCAATTAAGGGGGAGGGGAGGGGGGGGGGGGGCACTGCTGACTTTTGGTCCCATTCTTTCCATGCAACGCCCATAGGGCTAATGTTAAAATGCAAAAATCAAATGGTGCACGGTGCCCCGGTGCCCTCCCCGTTCCGCCGCCTATGCTATATCCCATTTAACCCTTGTACGTATAGGGGCGGCGGGTGGTTTTGCGTTAAAAGCTCACGTAAAAGGCATTGGATCACGACCAAATTGTACCCTCGAGCCCATCATATTTTTTTTTACCAGCCCGGAAAATATCATGACCTGAGACCAGTTTTACCAACAGAAAAATAACCGCCTGCCGGAATTTTTGCCTCAAGACCGCTTCACATACGGAGCGTAAACGCGATGGGTTTGTAAGCGGATAGGGCTGTACCGCTTACGCTCCATATGTGAAACGATCTTTAGGCAAAAATTCCGGCAGGCGGCTATTTTTCTGTTGGTTAAACTGGCCTCTGAACCCATAATGACCGTTGGCTTATGAGCTTTTTCTGGAGATCATCTTGAGCCATAAACTCTCACTTCAAGGAGTTATAGCGGGTCCCGATTTTCTCGACACTTGTCATTGCCCTCTTGAATGAGACAGAATGACCAAGGACCTTAAAAATGGGCAGCAGCGGCTTCCTATCGTCATGGGTAGCACGCTCGTCTTTTTTATGCACAGCTCCATATCAGAGTCCGAGAGGCCGCGGGGGTCCGATCGACTCCTCCCCCTTACGTTAGCGGCTGTTGAAACGCCAACAGACGGGAGACGGTCAAAAGTTGCAGCTGCTTTTGTACGACTGTACGGAGGGGTGAGATGGTGAGGCGAGCAGGTACGTGAAAATTGGTATCTAATCAATGTGTGCTGACTGCTGTGCCTTTGGCCTGGGCTAATCTTTGAACCCTGGGATGCAACAGTCACGATTGCTCCATCACTGGAGCTACAAACTCTAAAAAGATAGGCTTTCTCAGAATCCCTCATTACCCCCACCGAAAGGGCTCCATTACCCCCAAAGGGGGCATGCCCCACCATTTGCCGACCCCTGAACTAGACCATTTCGAAGTTAACAGCAATTAACGAAGAAAAAATCGTATGCACTTTGAGCGTATCGAGTAGCTCGACAGTAATTACGGGCAAAACATGCTAGAAGCGCTTATTATGCCACGGCAAGTTATTTCTTAGAATGCAAGATGTTATGTTGCAGATAAATCAACAAAAAAAGACGACATATTGGCAAACTGCTGCATAGCATGCAGGTGACATGCTATTTAAAATACGAGCATGACATATGCCGCCATATAGCCTCATTGCTGTGCGCCCCATAACACCACACCCAACACACCAACAACATAAGCCAAGGGTCCATGCGAGCAAAAAAAAAAAAAGATATACTGTGACGGAGCTACAAAGTGACATAATTTTGAAAAAGGTGCTTGGTATAAAAGGGGTGAGGTTTTCTCGGAGAGCCAGTTTTCTGTTCCATTACAGCTGGTAAACGTACAATTACGCTCATCAATTCGGTTTTCGATTGATACAATCGAATGTATCAATGTTTACGTAATTCATGTGTTGGGCGATATCGAATTGTGGAAACGTAGGCACTTGGCAGGTGCCCACATCATAATGCTACTTGTGCCAAACAGAACGGCATAGTGCGTTTTTAGAATGACAACAAATTAAAAACTATAAATAGGTAACAGTGTGGCATCCTGGTAATAAATCGGTTATTCAGAAGGAATAATGGAGCATGCCATCCGCGTAGAGGAACTAATATGCTGACGTCTTTTGTAAGCATTGTACTTGGTTGCACTTCAATTTAGTCACACTTGTGTTTTTAATCTCATCAAACCGGGCACCAAAGATGCAAACAATTAAACATCGGCGATAGGCAGTCAGTACAGGACACCAAATTACAATATGAAAACGTCAAACATGCCGTAGCTACATGCCGTGTCACCTGCAAACTCGCTGATTTTTGAAGAACCGTTTCAGGTAAAAAGAGCAACGATAGAAAAGAATAGAGGGGCATTTGAACGAATCAAAATTGCATGTGATTTGTTAATTACTTAAAATATTCATATGAGCAACAGAATTTATGCTTCGGAAAAATATGTACAAAACACAAGTAAAGAAAGCAGACTTCTGCTTTTCAGACGCAGTGGCACCATCTACAATCCACAATCATCCACAACAGGGGAAAACTTAAAAATGTTTGTTAAGCTTTTTCGATAACCGGGTAACGGTTAAATAATACCCTGCCAATTTGCCCTCACTATAAAATATGATTCATTGGTTTTCAGATTGTCTAAATCACTTTTCATTTAACCCGGCGGCCGCTGGGCCTCCGCGCCACCCGCCGGCCGCTGGGGGGGGGGGGGGGGGCATATAGTTGCCCCCCCTTTACTTCTGCGACGATATCGTCGCAACGCGAAGAGATAGAGAAGCGAAACTTTGCACACATCTTTCTGAATACCTAGCCGAGGTTGTGTCCAAATTTGGTGTCGATCCCATTTGAAGTGACGTCACAGTGACGTCAGAAGTGAAATTATAGATTTGCGACTCTCATATTCCTCACGATACATCAGATATATGGGACCGAATATAAACGGTCAATTATTGGTCAGAAACTAGATGGAAGTGTAGTTAGATGTTTTAGGATGACAGCAGGTGCTGTCTAGTTCATTTACAGTTGAGTTTCATGCTCAGCGTCATCAGAAACGGTCCATATCAGAAAACGGCAAAACTTTATGACGTCACTGTGACGTCATCTTAGGTGCTACAACCACCAAACTTTCCTCAAACATTGCCTAGGTATTCATTTGAAGCTATGCCAAGTTTCACGTTCGTAGCTCATCAGGTTTCGGAGATATTTCACAAAACGTAAAGGGGGGGCAACTTTATGCCCCCCCCAGCGGCTCGTGGGTTAAATCAATGCAATGAAAAAGAGAGCATACATGGATACTGGGATAGGGATGTAGCAATGCTATAAGCTGTGGCGGCGACGGCGTACTGGGAAAAGTAAATCGGATAATTTGTAGTGATCTTTCTGCGCTGTGGGCTGGCTGAGACAATACTGAAATGAAAAGCGAAGGTAGTAGTGTTAGTTTATCGTAAAGATGGGAACGAACTTCACAAAAAGGGATTAGACAGCTTACAAGATACATATATGAAGATTTCGCGGTACAAACATTGTCTACAAAATACTATGCAAGCAAAACTTCATGAAAATATAGCAAAGGACACAATTTGCCGTCAGTGTGCACTGCACAGCTGAGCAAAACCTCAGGAAGATGGAACTGGCCTGCAATGCTGACCCCGCAGCCCGCTATGAGTTAATGGCATACTGACGTCACGACTAGCGGGGTAGTTATGAGGCTCCCCTTGTCGCCCGAACCTCCGAGTGTTGTTCACCTGAGGTCCCTGGCCGTTGGTCCGTTTCCGGGGACTGTTGGACCGCAGTACGTGCTCTGTCAGACCGTCCTCAGCCCTGCGTCTCAGCCGCTCAGATACCTCCTCTTCTGTCTCCGACTGGTGGCCGGTGTCAGAGGCTGTACGGGCAGAGTTGTGAAGGGGTCACTAGTCACTACACTTTGAAAACAAACGTGGGAATTCATGAACACAAGGATATTTCTTCCATCGAGGCTACGTTAAGCATAAAGCGGGCTAGGCATGATAATCTACGCGATCTACGCGCCAGTCCACCAGAAATCGCAGGCGAGGTCTTATAAGGTGTCATAAAGGACAGTTCAAAAGCCAAAACACTGTATCCTGCACAAGCAACTCTAATGGCCCTTCAAAATGTTTTCCTTACAGCTTTGTAGCCAGTGTCTCATTCAAACAATCACCCCACGCCTCCCACCGACCCGTCGACGTACCGTCCCCGGCTCGTTCGACGCCGTCCGACTCGTATCGGTCCGAGTCCGGCTCGTGGTCCGACGGTCGCCGCTCCGGCTCCGGCTGGTCGTGCAGCCGCCGCCACCTCTCCGCCAGCCTGAGGACCTCCTCGTCGTCCAGAGCGGGCTCAAACTGGTCAGAGTCCGGCGAGCACGAGTCGCTGTCACTGCCGGGAGGAGGGAGAGGTCATAATGAGATAAGGTTAAAGAGAGAGGTTATGATAATCGAATTTTTCTATTAAGCTTTTTAGCTGGTGAGTTTAAGCACCAAAAGATACATGAGACGATCAATTTACAACGGTAAGCTCCCTTCAGCCCACCAACGCAGGAAAATATCTTCCTGAGAAATTTCGTTGTCAATGGATTAGCATGCTCATGTGGTCTTGCACGCCCTAAAAACTACGGTTAAAACTATAATTCGAGCCATGATAAACTTAGACAAGCAATTTGGACAAGCAACATTTAACCTCGCTCCGTCAACTGCATTATTCAGTCTTGATAGCGGCACCACGGTAAAGTTTGTACAATACACATCTCACGATCACCTTCCTGACTCATCCCATACACCTCAGCAGTCAGCAGCATACACCTACCCGTCTACCCTCCTCTCCCGATGGACGGACCTGCAGTCGGCGCCACTGAGCACCTCCTCGGTGGTGAGGAAGTTGCGGTCCGTCCACTCGTCCTCGTCAATCTCCGAGAGCAGCTCGTCCTCCGACATGGGGTCACACACGCTGTTCTCGAACTCTGCCCTCTCCGGGGTCACCCCGCGCAGTGAGAGGTGAGAGCGCATCTGCTGTGGACGGGAGGGAGCGGGAGGGTGAGCGGCATTTGAATTGTGAGGAGGTAATACGCTGACAAAATACCCTACCTCAGTGAAAATTTACCGACAAAGGGAGAAGTCAGCTCTGTGAAAAAGAAAAAGGAAAAGTTTGCGCAAGTGTAGCTTCCAATCGTTCGACAAATACGTGCAACAAAACTCGGCAAAGAAGGGAAGTGAAGAAGTGGAAAAGTTTGGTCATAGCGTGGGCGCTGTAAACAAAATGCGTTTGTTGGGAATTGTCTATTCTAGGAACTTGTTTGAGTCATATATATGACCCAACCGACATTCAAGCGATAATAGCCCGAGTTCGTAAATGTATCGATCCAAGTGACATCTCTTGCCATTCCGTACTCCCTCAGGTCACGGTTATCTCACCCGAGCCACGCAAGTCTCACCTCTGTGACGGGAGAGGGGCATGGCGGCACGGTGGTTGTTGCCTCACTCTGCTGGTATTTGTACTTGACCAGCGAGTGGAGGCCGAAGTGAGGCACACAGAAGAACCGACCGGCATCAGCGTCGTACTCGTAGTTGCCTGTGGGTTGGCGTTCAGCACGTGAGCTACGTTGCTGAGACTAGGAACATGACTGTGATAGACTGACTAGGTAGCATCGTGTGAACATGGTAGATTATCGCATAGTTATAGCATTGACCTTGATAATGCACTAGGCATTGAGCGAGGCACTGGATGAAAAAGTAAAATAAGCGCATGATTAACTACGTTCACGATCTATATCGATTTGTGAAAAGGGAACGGGTACCTGATGCCTATTTATGAATTAAGAACAATTCATAGTTACCAGTCTCTACTGCCTTGGCCTGACGTATGATATACATCATGCGACCTCTCAGTGGACCCCGCCCATAAAAGTGCTCAATGTGGGCCGCATTGAGAGTGAGACCACACTAGACACCTAAGCTCGGTTCAGACGTCAACTCACCTGGTTTCAGTGTCACACTGCAGTACTCGCAGCGGAAACACCTCGGGTGGAAGCACTTCCCCTGAGCCACCATCCGGTCTACGAGGAACACGCGCTGACCGCAGAAATGGCACGGCTCGTGCGCCGCCGCGCCTGCACCCTGGTGGCGGCAGGCCTAACCTTCAGTTCAGTGGCGCCCGCCAGGCGGCGTCCGGAAAGGATGTCGTCCGTGCAGAGTTGGAGGGTTAGCTGCTTGCTTGGCCGAGAAGCGGTGTTCGTTTGTACAGAGGATCGGTTTGAGTCGGTGGGCCGAGGCGTCAGTCGATGTCGAGTCGAGTCACTTTTTGCGCAGAGTATCAGCGTCTTAGTCTGGCTTTATGACTCGGGCCTCCTGTCGAGTCAGGCGTGCCTCCTCACTCGATGTTCAATTGTTCGAGACAGAGAGACCAGAGAGAAGCTAATTACCCCGCCTATAGCTATGCATGCGGCAAAATACGCATGATGTAAGCTAAGCATCGAACTACGCGCTATATTCAAGCTACAGGTCGCGCTATGCCGTGTGCAAAGTGTGCACTATGTGCTATGTTCAAGCTCGTCATGGTCCCATCGTCTTGCGTTAGTCAGAAACTCCGTCCTTCGTTTGTCGATTCGATTGTATTTAAGTCACATGCAGCATCATACATATAGCGTCAAAGTCGATATCGTTTCAAAGTTCGTATCACTTACAATGAATGTCCATTGTCCAGTGTCCACTGTCCAAATATGTGAGTGATAAACATAGTCTGCAAGCCGAGAGAGGTCGTATCTCATGTGTTACTTCACGTTCATGGCGTTTCCTATGATGCAAGTCAAACTATTATGTCAATGGCAGAGAAAATCAAGCCATTTGCAACCTAGCGAAAGCCAACGTTCTCATGTAGGCCTTAGTAAGTGTGCGTAGTTTGGCGTTTCATGCGTGTTAAACGTTATAGCAAGTAGTTGCTGATGCGTTTTCAGCCGAATATAGCAAAGTAAATATAAAAGTTGTCTGTGACGAGCGTATCCCTGAGCTCATGTTAGTCCGTATGGCGCATAGATGTGCAGAAGACGTGTTCGTATATACACCTGGCCACCAGCCCATCTCAGCCCGTGTATAATACATCCACCCACGACAGGTAGTTCCGTGATCCACCGCACCGCGGCGCCACCGGAGCCGCTACTGAAAAGCCGTGCCATGGATGAGTGGAGAGAGCATAGGAGCCCAGGACAGAGTGGCAAGAGGGGCGGCGACAGGCGGGCAAGAGAGCTAGCCGATGATTATTTGGTGTTTTAGGACGCACCAGCAACGAGGCTATATGGCGCCCAAACAAAAGAGAGCTAGCCGACTACACTGGAGAGACCAGGCGAGGCAAGTCGAGGCAAGGCTGAGGCAAGACCGAGGCAAGACCGAGGCAAGACTGAGGCAAGACTGAGGCAAGACCGAGGCAAGACTGAGGCAAGACTGAGGCAAGACTGAGGCAAGACTGAGGCAAGACTGAGGCAAGACTGAGGCAAGACCGAGGCAAGACTGAGGCAAGACCGAGGCAAGACCGAGGCAAGACCGAGGCAAGTCGAGGCAAGACTGAGGCAAGACTGAGGCAAGACCGAGGCAAGACTGAGGCAAGACCGAGGCAAGACCGAGGCAAGACCGAGGCAAGTCGAGGCAAGACTGAGGCAAGACTGAGGCAAGACCGAGGCAAGACTGAGGCAAGACCGAGGCAAGACTGAGGCAAGACTGAGGCAAGACTGAGGCAGGCGAGGCAGGCGGGGACAGAGCGGCAGCCGGAACCGAAGCATACCAGAAGCTTAGTCCGCGATACCAAAGCAGGCCCGAGCAGAGGTTAATACATTTATTGGTGTAAAAGAGCTGTAAAACAACAACATTCGATAACATCTGTCATATCTCTGATAATATCACACACGGAAAGCGTATGGTTTCATATCGCGGAGCTCACATAGAGCAATGAAGCTATATCTACTTTTCGTGTGAGCAGGAACCACAAAACAATCCGTCGATGGCTAACAGTGTTACACCGCACCGACTGTGGGGCCGAACGCCATGGGGCGCCGCCAACATCACAGCTAGCTGGCGCACAGGTACACGGGGATATATCACGGGGATCCGCACCCCTGGCGGCCCGAGACCCGACCTTTGTGACCCAAAATCTGTCGGTCCTGAGAGGGTCACAACCTTCCGCCGCCGAAAACTGCCGATACAGCCTCCGGCGAGCCGACTCATTCGAATAACCTGACTGAGCAACTGAGCTAACTAACTGAGCGACTGCTGGGCCTATCTACTGACCAACTGACTCTCAACTTCAACAGTCTCCCAAACACGTGACTGACCCTATCACTGGACTAGCGACTGCCTGCGCCTCCAGCTATCCCTCCAGAACCCTGAGCGCATCACCGACCACAAGTGTAAGCGCGAACATGGCCAGCGTATAGCACACGCACGCTACTAGGATAGCGCGCAGTCGGCCGAGCGCAGCACGCGCAGAGCTGCGCAGCCGCACCAGCAGGCCAGCCGGCGCGGCTGTTCGTACCTGGGCGGGCGCGGCGGCGGCCGGCCGGTGACTGTTCCCGAACCGCGCCGCCATGGCTGAGACGTGGTTCGAGCCGCGCTGACCGTAGTCGAACCGTCGGAAAGGTATGACGTCTCCGCCAGATAGGCTCTGAATCGTCTGGAACTGGGGACAGCGAGATGGGATGTGGGTTAGAGCATCTAGAACTGCGGGGCGACGGAATGGCATATGGGTTAGATTTTTCTGCTGCAATACTGGTTAGATTAGACCATCTAGAACTGGGGAACGAAAATGGGCATGGGTGAGAGTCTCTGTAACACCGGAACACAAAGACGGGGGGGCAGAAAGTAAGATGCTTTGGAAGTAAAATGGTTACATGTGAGTGTATGGAGCGTAAGCTTGTCGGTATAGAGAGGGATGGTAGGAGAGGGATGCACATATTTGAGGTTCACAGCGACATGACCCATGAGTGTGGGCAGAGAGATTAGCTGCGTTTTACTTTCACATGCTTTTTGTTCCGTACCATTGTTTGCTTTCTAACGCAGCGGGGCAGTGGCCATAATGGGATTCCCAGGCGATAGTGCGGTACGGTAACAGTTATCGCACCTTTCACTGATGTTAGACCATTATTTAGTTGAAAGGATAAGACTGGGAGAATAGGGGACACAATGCACTTGAATACTATCAAACGCAGGGAAAATAATGGCAGCCATTCAATCGACAATGTGCGGAATTTCAAGAACGACATGATTGTGGAAAGGTCAAAAGGCCAGAACAATGCAGCGCATGTCATGATGTATACCGACGTGTGCTTTGCCACCCAGCTGTTCTAAAATCCCGGCAAGCAAATTATATTTTACGTAGAAAATGGAGTTAAGATAGATAAATTAGCGGCATGCGCAATGCACACTACTAATTATGAACATCCACAATTCACTTATAAAAATCACTTTCGGCAGATACAACACAAACCGTTCTGCCACTTCAGAGAAACAAAACAAAACATTGATCGCATAACTCCACAACAACTCAGGTCACGGTTCCCTCTGGAACTCATCAACCAACATCCACCCTTCACTCCGAACATCAGCTATTCGTAGCATCGCTTTCCTAACCTGAAAATAACCGTCCCGGCTCCGAAATAGCCCCAGTCGGACGCCCATGACTCAGCCAGCCGTGGGCGGCAGGGGCCGGGCCGGTCAGGCTCACCTTATCGTCAAAGGCATCCCGGTTCCACCGGGGTACCGGGTAGTCTTTGTCTCGGTTCACGAACGGCCGGCTGTTCTCTTCGATTTTCTTCTCGATCTGCTGCAGGTTCCAGTCCTTTTCGATTCGTCCGATGACGCGAGACACCGGCTGGGGAGATACGGAAAGAAAGAAACATAAGTGGGGTTCGTTCTTCAAGCCGTCTAAAGAAAACAATATTGTAAAATATCACATACATAAATTTTAGCTGACCCAAAATAAAGTGAAAAAGTAAAAAATCAACAGCCCTCACCTTCGGTTTCTTATCCGGTGGCTGGTAGGTGCCGCTGAACTTGGCCTCCAGATCCTTCACTTTAGAGGCGAACTGCTCCTTCTTCGATAGCTCGGGTTCCGCCTGCTTCGCGTTCTTCTTCACTTCCGGTGTCATCCGGCTCTGTGAAATGTGGCATAGCGTTAGTTACAGTGAATCAGAAAACCAGATACAAGAGGTACTGGTTGCGGCTTTTGAGTTTTGACTCAATGTCTCGAGGAAGTAGCGGTCAAAGACGCGAAATATCTTTCTTAGTCAGGTAACTCGTGGACGGGTAAATGATGATTCAGCCTATGATCAAATCCAATGATCCATATAACACAGAGTTGAAGGATTTCCCGATTAGTGACAATTATACTGACAATGAAAAGAATAAATCTAACAACATATGCTGTCGATTCAAGGGGCTAAAACGTAGTCATGCGTCATGGAAGAAAATATAGACGGCATCAGGCAACCAAAACAAAGACGTCCGGCAAGCAGCCAAATCTGTCAAAAGCATAACTAAAAGACTGTTAGTTTCGCACGTGTCTGAAGCCAAACTCACAAATCACGATAAAAAGTCACAACCGGGCTGCTTGGTCATCTCGGCCAGCTTCGTTAGTCCAAAATCCAAATAAACACATTAAATCCAAGCGCTACACAAACTAGCCAAATACTACTCAAATTCTGGACAGGGATACCACGCACAAACAATCCTCACAGGCCGAAACACCATGTCTTCCAGTCTGCTGCGTCGTGACGCGAAGTCTGCCGCCGTCTTCCTGTACAGGTGCACCGTGAAGTCGTCAAACTCTCCCTGCTCCTGATCCTCAACTGCTCCATTCAGCAAGGTCGCCTCCAGATCAGCTTTTCTTTGCGCCAGGGACCTTAGTCGGCGCCGCTCCCAGTGCACAATGCGACTCTGCTCTTTTTCTTGATCTCCACCATTAGCCAAAGTACGCTCCAGGGCGGCCAGCCGGGACCTCAAAGAGCGACAGTCCAGTCTCGAGTCGTCTCCATCCTCTCCGCCGGTGGGAGACGTGACTCCCGACGCCGACTCTACCGACTCGATTGACTCGAATGACTCCATTGAGCTCATGCCTCGGAAGGCTGCCTCGACGAGCGCCATTTTGCGACGGTCGACGGGCGGTGGTGGAGGACGGGGTGGAAGGGGTACAACAGGAGGGACCGCGTCCCAACTGAGACTGGAAGACGCGCTGGTGGACTCCGGGTCCTGTTGCTCCTGCTGGCGGTCCTGTTGGTCCTCCTGCTGGTCCTGTTGGTCTTCCTGGTCAGGTTGGTCCTCGAGCTGGTCCAGCTCAGCCGCTGAGTCCATCGAGCCTGGCTGACTGGGGCCGGCCCACTCGCTCTACGGGGTGGTACGGCACGGTGCGAACCAGCCACACTGGTCAGGACGGTCGAACACAGCGAAAACAAAATGAGGACAGCGTGAGACTCGCTTATTCGGTTACTAATTCCGGGTACCTAACTACTGAGCATAAGTTTATCCACGAACAAATGGACAGCAAAGCATATATTCATAGACCCGCTTTCTACCTATCATAAAAACCGTTTGCCAAACATTTCCACTTAACTACCCGATTAACCATCCCTCCACCCACCGTCTTTCATCTTCCTTCTCTCCCCCGTCCCGAGTTCTCACCGATTTCTGGTGGGCCGCGTCGTTCTTGCGTTTTCTGTACCGTCGCATGGTGTCTCCATTGGCGGTCTGGCGGCCTTCGGGTGTGTGGCGGATTGGAGACGCTCGCTGGGGCGAGCCGTCCTCCCCACGCACCATCTCCTGTCGCCAAGGGTCACAGTTAGAGCGGTGTTTATGTATAAGCATTTTTGTTACAGCTGCGATCGCTGTGGTATGTATAGTTGTCAGAGCTCCGGTCAGGTCAAAACTGCGGTGAGGTACCTGCCAAAGCTAAAGCGGGGTAGCTGTTAAAGTCACGGTAGTCACATGAAACTGTTTTAGCAGGGCGGGGCGGGCAGAGATTCATTTGCTAAACCATCGGTAGCCAGAGTCTGTCTGACTGTCGCACGGTCATTACATGACCATTAGCTAACCATTACGGCAATGTACGACCGTAAGTGATTAATGGCTTCCTCTGAAGGCTGCAGACGCAGAGTGAAGTTGGGTATCAATTCTGATGACGTGAGTCTCCACAGGAAATTAAATTCGAGCCAAGTATACTGAACACAGCTGCTTCAAGCACTCCTAGATGCCCTACTTACTTATGATTTATTTTTAATTATGAAATAAATCAAGTCTCTCCGAAGCATAAACAACAAACAAAATAATAACGCGACGCCTTAGAGCTCGTAGTAAATCCCTCGTAGTTATGAGCACCTGGATGTGATTTTTAAGCTTTATTCGACAGGACCACCTGTGCATTCCTAACGGATTTTCGCAGCACGTAAAGTAAAACCAAAACAGCTGCATCGTAAACAATCCTATCCTCACAAATGCCTCGACAAGGATAGGTATAAATAGAACCAGTAAAACGCCTTTTGGGCGAAGAACGAGCGAGCGAGATAGTGAGCCCTGCACGTGCAGAATGGCGGGAGGGTGCTTCCAACGGGCTTGTGCAAAGCACCCTTCTAACCGGTCGCTAGCGGTGTACCAAATTTGAACGCAATCGGCCCAGCCGTTCCTGAGATCTGGAAGCGGCATTCTGCACGTGCGCACGTGCAAACGGGGTCCAAAGTGACTTTTGCACGGCACCCTACTAACCGGTCCCCAACCGTGTACCAAATTTGAGCGCAATCGGCCCAGCCGTTCTCGAGATCTGGAAACGCCCCCTGCACGTGCGCACGTGCAGTAGCACCCTAACCGCAACACATGGGAATGCATTGCCTGGTGGGTGCCTACCCCTATGCCAAGTTTCAGCGAAATCGCCCCAGTAATTACCGAGTTACTGAAATGTGAACAAATTTGGCACCTCATATTGTTGTATTTTGCACGTGCAGTGGGGGTCACTCACATAGATGAAGAGTATCCGTCCTTTGGTAGAAGGGATGCAGCTACCTTATAAAAATGACCGCAAGACAATCGCTCAAGCCGCTGCTGAGATATGGGCCTCTCAAAATCACTACTTTTGCAAAACTGCTTGAACACCCTTGACTTTTCACGTGGCACGTGCCACGACGGTCACTGAAATGCATCAAAAGTAGTCAAATACGGGGTAGAAGGGATGGGGCTACCCAGCAAAAAAGACCGCAGGCCAATCGGTCCAGCGGTTGCTGAGATATAAGCCTCTCAAAAGCGTTACAGGCCGGGCCGGGCCGGGCCGGGCCGGGCCGGGCCGCTCATACTGAGATTTTCCCGTTATATTGAAAAGACTTCGCTTCGCTCGCTGCGCTCGCTCGCTCGTAATAATCCACTGTCAGCAACAAGGCAACCACATATGTTACTTCTAAGGATATAATAATTCACAAGACCAACGAAATGCGACTTACGTCATTGTCAATTACAAAGTGGACTTTGAGTAGGCAATAAAAGGCGGCCTTTTAACATTCGGTATATGTTTAATAGAAATACACGTGGTCCGGAGTAATGATCAACATTTAATGCGAGAACAACTTATGGCAAAAGTTTTGCAGTTACTTTTATGACAAATTATGCGAGAACAAATAACACTTTGTATGACATCTTCTACTTAACATTTTACTATTCTAACACCGCCAGTAACACATCTCCTCTCCGAACCTCATCAGACCACTAACTATGAGCCAGGCCGTGGCCAAACGACACTAACCATGAGCCAGGCGGGTCGGGGCGGCGCGGGCGCCGGCGGAGCTCCGTGCAGCGCGTCGTACACGCGACTGAGGAACTCCAGCAGCTCTTCTGGGTCGGCCTCGCCTTCCGCCAGCAGCTCAGCGGTCAGCCCGTGCGGCACCGGCAGCTGGGAGCTGAGCAGCCGCAGCGCCAGCCGCCACCGGTCCAGGGGTTCGGAGGGTACAGAGCAGGGCTGCAGCAGCTCCGGTCGGTAGAGACGCAGCAGGCTGCAGATAGCCTCACCTGGAGATACAGGCGGAGAGATGTGGAGGGTGTCAGGAGAGAGAAGAAGTAGAGTGCCGATAAAAGCCCGAGAAGAGATGAAGTGAGAAGAGATGAAAATAGTCAACATCCAAATAAATCGCAATCAACAATGTGTCTTCGGAAGCAGCCGATGGACCAGTGGCTACTGGCTATCAAAAGTCAGTAGATTACACAGAGTGGGACAGAAGGCCCAAAAACAAAACCACAGCAAAACGCTTGTAAGTTCATAATATCGAACAGTAACAGTAACAGTGACCTAATATTGACCGTCACGTGGAATGCACCACGCGAGATCACAACACACCCACTACACACACCCGATGTGGGCCGAACGTCCCGCCGAGCGGGCAGATAGCGGAGAACTGACACGGGCCTCCCAGCCGACCGGTAAAACGCTGGCTACCCGCCCGTAGTAGGTCACTAATGTCTCCACCCATGGCTCCGCGTCCAAAGTCAACAGCGCCAGAAAGGCGGCATCAGCCGCCGAATATATCTAATAGACGTCCGAAATGACGCTAGAACAGCCCGGAAATTGCAGACCCCGATAGTAAGTGAACTGACCCACTAGGTAACAGGCTCATAGCCAGAAAACTTCATGTTTCAGACAACAGAGCATTACTCTCCCTCTATCAAATACCTTACCTTACCTTATCGGTTATCGGGTAATAAGGCCACTAGGCCTGGAGGTCCCGCTCCCATCGAGCGTGTATGATAGGTAAAGGCGAGGCTCTTAATACTACCGAACAATGCTTACCCAGTCCCGCACAGCCCATCCCGATGTCTGTCTTCTCATTAAGTTCATCACCTACCTGACTGGAAGGCGTCACCGAGGTCTGCAGCCTCCACCTGAAGTCGCCGGCGACACCAGCGGAGCAGCGCAGCCGGTTCGATCGGTCGGTACGGTCGTTTGTGCGGGGGGAGCTCCGGCTGACCGGTCTGCACGGCTGACACGGCCGCAGCCAGGGCCGCCTCGGCAGCCAGACACTCTGGGGAGTCTGTGTCGACCATGTGCCGGACCTGGTGCGGCAACACCGACTGCAGGTTCAGGTTCGGGTACCTGTCGGGAGGGCGGAGGTCAGGTCACCGGCCACGGGAGGGTCAGAGGGTGCACCGGTCAGGGTCAGACGTCACGACTAGTTCAGGTCAATACTCGTTATGAGGTTAAACCAGCCACCAAAATTCGGTCCGGTTTGCAGTAAGACATCAAGGTCATTGGTCCAGTTCGGTCAGAGCAGATCAGCAGAGGTCCAGCTCACTGAAACGCGCCTAACAAGAAGAAGTCGTGACCAGCAAGGAGAGAACAATGCAAAAGTAGCAGAATGCAGTTGAACGAATGCAACGGATATGAGTGCCGCAGCAAACTTGGACTTCGGAACACACCGAGCCAAGCAGGACATGCCACATAAGCTGCAGTGCGTCCAAGAAATCCGAGCAATGTGATTGTTTGCATCCTGCTATGGTACTGTCAACAACCGCACACAAAGCGAAGCTAGAATGCTCCCTGAATTCCACTACCGGCTAACAGGTCGCGTGCAAATCAACAACCAATCAATGTCTGTCTGACTGGATGGGTGCACTGGGTAAAACGTAAATGGACACATCCTGCCGAAAACAGCTCTCAAAGCGAATGTTGAAGGCAATACCGTGACTAGTACCGCCACAACATGGACGATTCTGGTAGGAGACAGTTGTGGCCGTCCAGTAAGAAAGAGGACAGCAATTGTTGACAAGTGGGTGGACAGGGTCAGAAGGTTCAAAGTTGAATCAGACATCGATCGGATGGGTTCATAGCCATATGGCCCGCAGTCAAAGACGGGAAAGGGGCACAGAACATGGATATGCGACGTGACTATGAGGGTAGTTTCGAAGTATAACGACTTAATGTGTAACATTCAACTACTATTCACCAGCCACTAAGCACGTCCCGCATCGCGCACCTCTAGGTCTTGCTTCTCACTCCTCTCTCCCCCCCCCCCCCCCAAAAGCATGCGAACGCAAGACAAAAGCGCGGTGAGTCTACGGTCACCCAAACTTCGGGCTACGAGGTCTCACTACAAATCTACATATGTACAACTCCCCACCAAAGCGGAAGCCATTCCACTCTCCCAATTCAGACTATTCACTGACCTGGTGCGCGGGTCCAGGCTGTAGCCCCCCAGGTCGCTGCTGAGGTTTTTCGGTGTGGTCTGCGCCAGGAGTCGATAGGTGGACTCCCGCTCGGCAAGACACTCGAGCGTCGAGACGCGCGGATTGGCCCACGAGCGGATCTGCCATCCGGCGTCAAAACAGGAGAGGAACCCACGCGCGCATCCGCTGCCGGTTGGCCAGAAGGGCTGTGGGTGGAAAACGGTGCGTGTCAGACGGGGGGCAATCAGGGGCGTCATCTTGGGTAGGGGGCTTACGATATAACGATACACTGATACTAGGGTCACCAGCACGGGTTAACGATAAACAGAGTGTGACAGTTGACTATCTAATGATTGTGACGTCAGGCTGTCGAGAAGGCGTGAAAGGTGTGGAGTTTATCAGCATTATCGCAAATCAGAGTCTCAGCGTTATCTCGGCAGCTCAGCCGTGAAGAGCTTGATATCTCAATGGTGAGAGATACAAAGCGAGGTGCGGGCAGGACGACGAGGTTACGAAATTCCACATCAGCAAGGATGCGTGGATAAGGGAAGTGCGACCGAGTGATTGCCAACAAAGAGGAGATCAATCTCACGCACGAAATCCTACAAAAACGCAGTTTCGTCACACGGCACAAGGACCGCATTGCATCACTAAGAAAGTGTGGGCGTTACTGAACAAAGGTGTAGATAGAAAACAGAGCGCCTCAAAACAGCGACACTGGCGATGATTCGGTCCACTGCCCTGATTTCTTGTTATGCTTACAAAACATTGTTATCACTCGTTTACTTAGTCATATCTGAAGTAAGTCACCTTGATCCCCGGAAGGACGCGAGGGTGTGCCCTATCATCGGCTCAGAACGGGCCGTGACGTGACGACGACGTGCAACGGGTTGATAGTGAGCGGAACGGGGGCAACAACGGCTAACAGCGAACGTGTCGAAACAAGAAACACGGACGGTAGACGGTGATACACCGCCCACTGTGTAGTCATCATTCGCTGACCGCCGTGTGATGAACACGTTGAGCTGGCACGTGCGGTGTCCAATATCGTCGACGAACATAAAAACGACAATTTTGTCAGAAGTAATTATAAAAAAGATCAATGATATTCACTTACCGTTTAACTAACAAGTAACACCATAGCTTTCCGCTAGCATAACTTCACTTCTCCCAGCCCATCCACCAAAACTATTCTCATCCTACCATCAAACCTAACCCCAGTGACACCTAGCCTCGCGATCACCCACCTCCAGAAGGCTGTCTCCCACCAGCTGCAGTAGCAGTCCGTGACCATGCCGTACGATCGCCGTGCTGGCGTAGCACGAGGCATACATGCACGTGAAGTCAAACATGGCCAAGTCCTCCAGGCCGTAGTGGTTGACGGCGAATTTGAGCTCGGGCAGCTGGAAGTCGGTGGAGAAGTCGGCTGCCTCTCGGGCGAAATCCATCAGTCGGGCCCGGTCGATGTTGGATGGTGACAGAAGCTGACCTGTGTCCATGTAGTCCTGGGGATGGGAGAGGCGGTCAGTGGTGGATGGAGGATAATAGTGGGTCGACAAAATTGATCAGTCTCTCTCTAGCTAAAGCTCATCCAAATGGCAGCCCAAAGATTATATTGAGGCCTTTTTTATCGATGCAATGAATAAGTGCGTAATACATGTTGGAAGCAGGTAGCCATTGTCATACATGCATATGATTGATATGAAAAGGATCATTTGACAAATATTTGAAGATGCATTGAAGCTTAACCTCAGACGGAAAGCAAGCATTGCATCACTAAATCAATGCAAGGTTGCGCCTTATCTGCCGCACTGCCTTGCACTCAATTCTTATCGAGTCAACTGTCTGAAGGCGGCAAAGTCTTTGATTGACAAGACCCACTCAGGAAACACTTGAAGCTCAAAGGACTATAGACAAAGATGGTCGGAAGCAAGAAAACCATACACGTGTAATGTGTATCAATAGAATCGCGAAACAATATGGCTTACAAAAAGTCACTTGTTACTTACGTCCCCAAAAAGTGCAAGCAACCACAAAACGACTCAAAACAAAGCGTACTAATCGAACATAAGCGCTATCCCATCTCGAACAACCTTCGAAGAGGCCCTGAAAAACCAGCGGCGCCCCAAAGCGTAGCTTACCTGTAGTATGACGCCCTTAGCCAGCAGGCTGTGCTTTTTCGCCGTCATGACGAAGTAGTGCGTCTCGTCCTTGTAGTAGACGATGTTCTCCAGGTCGATCCCAGTGGCGGCGCTCAGGTCCTTGAAGAACTTCTGGTTGAAGATGAACGCCACGCCCGAGATCTCGTCGACGCGTGCCTCCGCCTCCGTGTGACGGTTCACGAAGTTGGCCGTGATGGCGATCGCCAGCTTGCCGCGGAACTCCTTGCGCCGGAAACCTGGCGGTAGAAGGCAGTGGGGACGTGTTAGTGCTTTGGACGGGCTGCAACTTTAGATAGGTATTTTTACTTCGGGAGCAACGGGTCGAAACATTTGTTGAGAAACATATAATGCGGTAGTTATGCCACATTTTAAGCACAGCTGCCATGCCAGGAAAAGCTCATAGCAATCACATTATATATAGTAAAAGCGGTGCCTGTTGCAAAACAGAACTAACAAAGACATTTGTCGCAAATAAGATCATCTAAACCACACCCCAGTTTCTAAAAATTGCAAAACAGTGACGCATTGTCTTGACCATGAAACCCTGCCCATGATCATATTCCCGACTGGTTCCGGGTGCGCCGCACCTGAGTAACAGTCCGTGAGGGTCAGCATACCTGTCCACTCCGAGCGTGTCCGCAAAACAATGGCGCGCGATCGACACCTCACCCGCATTCCTCGGTTACCACACCGGAACAGGAGCGGGCCGAGCTCATGACAGTCGATACGGAAGCTAGCGAAATTGAGAGGAGTGTCGGCGTTAAACCCCCGAGGAGAACGAGGTTATCATGAAACAAAACTGAGCTCCATGAAGGGACGTACCGAGGATCAGACTAGTTGCAACTGCAAATAAGAATTAGCATTGCGTGCTCCTCCAACTGCCGAAAATCATGATGAACACTTTCCTGTTGCATTTTGCGCATTTCGCTGAGTATTTTGACGGTACAAAAACGATCTTTTGCACTTTTAGTGCGGGCTCTAACATACATGACCCGATAAATCGTTTAGCCAGCCGGTGGTGTCATAAAAACGATAGCGTAAAATAATGTTACCGAGGCCCTCCACTTTTTCCTTTACCATTCACGGCTATCCGTGACTTAGCATTGCATCAGTGATTCGAACCAGCCGATACGTTCGGCCCTGCAGACAAATGCATTTGATGTTCCGCGCAGAGGGTGTCTCCTTTGCCCGCCCATATTTGGTTTGTCAGCACCACGACAGCAGAAAGAAGCCATTTGTACCGCCCGACCCTCACTGCACGCTGTCTTACAGATGCCGTGGGAGGTTTCCATTACGCCCGACGGCGACCGAACATTTCGCAACAGTCGACTTCCGTGACTTTGAACACACCCCGGGCACGCGATCGGTGGTCATTCAGCGGAAACGACCAGATCCGTAAACAGACGCTCGAGTACACACCACTCCCGCTATTGTCACTGTCTGCACGTCCCGACAGACTTCCGCCTTCATGGCGTCACTACAAACACAGAGAGTTTCGCTCGTCTCTCACCCATGGGTAATCAATAACCCACCGATAATGCTAATCGCTTTGGATACGTCGCTTTCGCTGACCCTCTCTGCGCTGATTGAGCTACGCGTCTCGCGTGTTCCCCGAGACAAACTGCATACTTAAAAACTTGTGACGGACATTAATCCACCAGATTTGCCTCACCCCGAGAGAAAGTCGCAGTGTGTCCCGCAATTTGAGGAACATCCCCATCTGACGGTGGTCTCGCCAAATGTCTCTCCGCATTTACCATCCGCGCTGGGGCATGCATACTCAACTAAGACCGCCGGCCTCGCTGGCCCCAGGCCCCACGCCAGAGCCGTAAGCCGTGCAAGTTGGTGAATGCAGATGAGGGCAAATGCAGTCCCAGCGGCAAAGACGAGGCAGGGACATACCATGGGACCATGATTGTACAATGATTATATGACTATAGACGGTCTTAACCACACGCTTTTGGAAGGAACTTCTAGATGTTCGTCTTACGTCTGTTTCGTCAATGTTGTGGCCAGTGGTTTGGAGCATCCTCGAACATGGATGTTAAAAGGGACCCATTAGGAGAAGGGACAACGAACAAAGACATTTGTGCTCCTCTGGGTCCCCCCATTATCATCACGCATGTTTCACTCACACGCACGACTCACATTTGAAGGTGTTACGTTTGCCGTCGGCCCCGATGAGCACATCGAACTGGAAGTTTGCGGCGGGGTGGTCGGGCGGGCTGAGTCGCGCGCGCCAGCCGGTCTGCTCGTCACTCGGCTCGATCAGCTCCTCGAAGCCGACGTTCTCGTGCACCTCGACACCGAGCAGCAGGGCCACCTTCAGCAGAATGCACTGCAGTTGGCGAATACCTGAAACGTGACAGATAAGTGTGAATATGTAAACAGTGGCCTCGGGATTGAAGGGATAAGAAATAAACGCTGTACAAATGTGGTAGAGAAATATTGACTACAGCAGACCATCCATTGCTATTTGACTGTAAGACACATCACTATTCAATATGAATGTAGGCATTCGTGTAACTTGGTCCAGGTGACCTACAACGGATGCCCAAATCGGCATCACGCTGATATGCGCTGATATTGTTCGAAGCAGCCGTAAAATATCAGCACATATTTTACTTCGACAGTTCGACACAGAATTCTCGCCAAAAATGTCATAAGATGCTGGCTCTGGGGCATACCAGCAATCTGAGTAGCCGCAATTTAATGACTTAAACTCGTGTGTGGTCTAGAAAAGTCCCCGGACTGACGACAGCACCGCCATTGTTTCAGGCCAGGCCAGCCCATTGACATATTGCGGTCTTCAATACGACCACGGTCAAACCAAAGCGCACAAACCCCTCCTCCGACATACCAATTCACTGACGGCATAGTTTCCGGCCATCGCATATTAGGACATGCCCGTCATTATACACAGTCGCACCATCATCCAACTCCAGTACAGAACAGCGCCCGACATGGAAACTTCGTGACCAGAGTGTGAAAATACACGGAAAACCGACCGCTGGCCTTCACAAATTGTTCGCAAATCTTAGTGATTCTCCCTGGTTGGCCAGTGCCTACAGTTTCCTTCGCAGTGATAGACGCTGCTCAGACGGACGTGCCATTTCACAATCGCGCTGGCTAGTTGGCATCCAAACGGCGTTCGAGCGGCGAGCGAGCGGGCGAGAGGGAGGGCGAGGGGGAGGGGCGGACGGTGGAGCGGTCACTCCGTATAGTCAGCTGATACAGGGCTCAAGGTGTTCGTGGAAACGCGCCAGCTGATCGGCAGTCGACGGCCGTCGCGTCGGTAACAGAGACAGAGTGAAGAGCAGGTGGAGAGAGTGGAGAGCGGGCGAAAAGTGACCGAGGGAAATTTGATAGACAGTGGCGACTGGCGAAAGGTGTTGATTTACAAATGGGGATTCAAGGAGGCCCCGCTAGTAAGAACTACACAGAGGCGTAGACGTCTCCATCTTTGGGAAACGCTCCCCTCGCCCTTCGCCACAAAGTTGCAGCCACGGTTCTGCACCCCGCGTCAACAGAATCCGACACCAACAGCAGCGCGCTGGGGCAGCCTGTTTCAGGAGCCGTCTGTTTTGGAATCGAGCGGTGTGGAGCGGGATAGCGGCCCGCTGCAGTCTGAGCCCGCACCCCAGAACGGGGCACAGCCGTCGATACGCCCCGACCCGGACACGGTCGCCGCCACACGACAGACCGAGCGAGATCGTGCTACGGTCGGGTGTGTCTGAGAATCGCTGTCAGAGTGAAGCTAAGGTTGCAGCTCAAGCGAAAGCTTTTACAGCTGTGCCGTCTTTGACACCACAACTTGAGAAGACATGCTGTGTCGATCCTACAATCCTACATAAAGCAGCCAGGGACATCGGAAATTCGTGAAGGAAAGATAACCGGCTGTTCAGGTAATGCGGCTCAAGGATGATGATGTCACGGGCAAGGTTGAATATAACTGTTAAAGCCAATTAGGCGAAAGACAAACGACAGGCATGATGATGACCGGGATAATCTATAATAAATAGCTGAAAATTGGTTAATCCTGATTCCTTTGGCATGTGACGTGCTAACTTAAAAATTGAACGTCAAAAGAAGCACCTTGTCCTACATATGAAGTGCTAGCTTAAAAATTAAATGTCAACAGATGCAAGGAGAATGAAGTGCAATGAAAACTTTGTGAACTGAACATACAAAAACGAATCCCTAGTCAGCCTTCGCAGACAGAATGAACAGTATTTAACCCAATCCGATTAAAGTGCTGCAGTCCGCCAGGGTCAGAGAGTGAAACTGTGTCGTCCAGACCCGTCTCGGCTCGCTCCAATCCTCTCCACACAGACTGGACGGCCGACGACAGGCTCAGCCGGGGCTGAGCTGAATGGCGACCTTGGTAGCCAGCCGCAGTGCGAGACGAGCCATCGCCGGAACCCGCGTCACAGTTGGAAGGTGCTGTCATCTAAGCGGTGGTCTAGGTCCAGTGATGGGAGGAGCCATCACTGTCATCGATGTATTTCAATGACCATTATTGTCAGCCCATGACAGTTACTGCCACCAGCGGTCTTGTGCGAGAAAATCACTGCGCTCGGCCGATAGTGCATTCCTTTATCGGTGAGCACTATATTAGCAATTCGTAAGCAATGTGTGAGGTATTCGTGAACAGTCAATGGGTATATTGTCATCGATGAAACTGATGAAATATCACGTCCCTCCTCGAACGGCCAGCTCACAGCGTTACCTCGAACACTGAACCACACGCCCAATGCTTCGCACGCGTACACTGCAAATCGTGCCTGCGAAACTCCCGTCTGCTGCAAGATAAAACACACGCCACCGATCGTGCAACAACACTTTCCGATGAATCACTGCAGCCGTGCAGTGGTCTGGGCGTCACAGACCGGCAGACCAGCGCCAGACCAGCGTCTGGTCTGTCGGTGGTCAGGTCTTGTCGGTGGCTGTCGACCAGGCCGTGGTAGCGAGTCGCACAGGAGTCGGCCACTCGCCCGGCCACACACGCCAACATCCCAATTTGGATCGGTCCCCGGTCCTCGGCAGGTGATCTACCCCTCACTCCCTCCCCGTCCCACCTAGACCGTTTATTTCACGGAGGGAGGCACCCATCGGTAGTCGGTACCCTGTTGGATGACGGTTTCGTCAGTTCGCTGGGTCATCGGTCATCAGGAGCTCCTGAGACGGCTGCGAGACATCACTCGTCGCTAACACGGTCAAGCGGTGTCCGAACTAGCTCCACCCCTCGTCCTGCCCCTCCCCCCCCCGCCCAGCCCTCGACCGCCCCTAGCCCAGCCAAGTCCGGCGATCGTCAGATAGCGTCTGAGGGACCGATGGGACCCGCCCGCAGGTGCGGCACGGGCGTGGTGACCGTGCCACCCGAAATATGGGCCGAGGGCGCGGTCATAGTCAGGCTCCTTGGGTCACACATATCTGGTTGAAGTCAAAGACGTTAAAGGATGTGCCAGAAAGAGAATGCGAGGCAATTGAAATGGTGGAGCTAAATAAGCTTATATTGTTTTTTTATATGAGCTCGGACTCGAAACAGCATTTGAAACTTTGAAACAGCCTAATCGCTTTATAAATGTCTTTGGATACGGCTGCTCTCTGGCAGTCAAAATTAAACGTCCTAAATCACGAATTAGTCATTAACAGGCCCATGTCTCCCAACATACAACTAATTAAAATGTGAGCGATCGTTGGCTTTAAGAAGCCCAACTCCAATTAACAAGTGGATAATCCCTGATGGCCCAGAGTGATATCAGCCAAACGGTTTGCGCTACTAAAGACACGGTACCGTTACCTTACCGGTTCCTTTCAGCACACAACACGAATACGTCATGCAAACTCCTCTTTTTACACAGCAAGAGCCACGCGGGACGGTGAATCGTTCACAAAAAGCCGTCCCATCCCAGATTGAAGCTCAGTTCATCGTTTCGGTTTTGCGGGCACAGTGAGCCGCACCTCCCGCCGTCTTCAAGCCCAACACAGCGGCTCCCCGCAGCGGTGACCGTTCAGCTGTGAGTAATGACGCCTGTCCATCAGTCGGCGCCCTATGGCAATGGCATTATAGGACCACTGCTGAGTGTCACAGCTTCGGAGAGAGCACCATCAATATGTCAGTAGCAACGGGCCGCACAAATAATTGGAGTGGGCTTTGGAGTCGAGCGTGGTGAGATGCATGACGCGTGATTCAGTTGGCCAGGGCTGGTGCAGTTAGAAACCCACCCAAATTTTACTTACATTTAATGAAGGGCTCGCCACACTCTCCAAATTGGAGCATATGAGCAATGAATCTTAGAAAACAGCCCCAGTGACCAAAACCCGAGGCAACCTGTACCCACAATCAGCGCAAAACCTCAAGGCCAGGGGCATAAGTTCCAATCATTTCCACGAAATCCCCACGCGGCTGTGTGGAATCCACACGAGCCCGATAAGCCGCCGGCGATCGCGCCACTAGCCGCAGTAGCCAGCAGCTTATCCACAGATGTTGACAAGCAAACACCGTCGCAAACACTGGCTATCGAACGCCGCCGTCCGGTAGCCGCGGCCACCAGCCCGTATCAGTAGCGTCTAACCGAGTTTAATCCGGCGCAGACTAGTGCCACGAGAGCCCAAACGATCACCGTCAGCCCGCCGGGCCTGTCCTAGAAACTGCCCAATTCGAGGCGAATATCGACCCCGAAGAGTAGGACAGCCGTCCCACAAAACCAACCGAAGCGGATCTAATAGCGTCCTGAGCCCGATCATGTGTGAACCAGCAGCCCACATTCAGCGATATACAAAAGAACGGGGTCATCCGTCCGGCACTGCTACCTCGCTGCGACTAGAGAGTGGAGATAATCAGCCAAATAGGGTAATCACGGGGTGAATGAGGTCCTGCCGGCCCTCTGGTATCAGTCGCTGATTGATCAAACAGTCGATACTTGACGAACTAACGGGGAGACAGACCATGATAAATGCATGAAAATATCTGACAAGTAGCCAGAGGTTATTCATAAGTATCCCGAATTAGATTTTAGAGGGAGAAGTGTCCGCAAAAGTAATGGATATCTGTAGTCTGTTGGACTCAAATTTGTGCCGTTAACGATTTGGAAGTGGACACGGGACAACACGAGTGCGTGGTAACTATGTATAGACAAAAAAGAGTAACGGAAACAAGCAAATACAACGGGTGACAGACGGACAAGACCAGCCACCAGACGGCTATACAATATACTCACAGATCAAGGGACAGACGATATAGACAGACGGACAAACATTTGAACACATCAAGCTACTCTGACAGATCAATAATCCGTCAATCGATACCGTCGCTACTAGCGCCTGTCAGTCGAGTGAATCCCTAGCGTCAAACATAAAACCCAGGCCACCCATGCACCTTGCGAGCGCAGACGCAGTGACATCAGAATAAAAAGTCGCCGAGCCGGGCACTATGTATACGGACCCGCAGGAAGGCAGTTCACAGAAAAACAGGGGACTCTGAGGCAACGCGTCGCGAGGCTGTCTGTGCTCGGCGCGTGACTCATCACTCCACGTGTGGCACTTGTCGCAGACAAACCGCAAGCGTGATGACGCAGACCAACCGCAAACGGCAAGCGGAGCAGTCGGGGCACACGTGATAGAAACGGAACACGTGACATAAACGGAAAACAGCTGGGGTGTCCTGAAGCCCTCTGCGTGGAAAGAAACTACGAAAGTGTAGCGATATCTATTCGCCATACGCTTTGTCCCTCCATACCATAGTTCGCAGATGATTCAACATCAGGGCCGGCGAGTGCAACATCAGACGAGTCCGGACTCCGGATATACCTGCAGTGAGTCACCCCGCGCCATCACCCCTTCCTCAGCCGCATTCCGATCGAGGCAAGGTTACAGAGAGGTGTTTACGCCGCTCGCAGAGCTGCCAGCCGGAACAACGTGATGGCTAGACGGCAGCTGTGATTTCGACAGTATCGTAGCACCGCCGTGCAGACGGATAGAGGATCAGCTGCAGCTCGGGAGACCTGCAGCGAAGTCGAGAGAACACAGCTGGCACAAAAGCGAACCAGCACAGAGCTCACAGGTGTGCCCTTGAAAAGCCGCAAGAGTTGTAGAGAAAACTAGAAGCAGAGGCGAGATTGATCCGAATTATACGAGTTGCAACGGATGTGGTCGTATCTGAGGTCCTAAGCTGTGCCGTGCCGTAGGTACCCAGCTGCAAGTTGCAGACCGTCGCGTGACGCTTACAGAGCCGGTGATTCGCTAAATGATACCGGTTTCTTATCTTAAACACGATCGCTCATGGTCACCGGACGCCGGCGAAACAGGAGAAAACAGGGAATTGGGATTCAGACCGGGTCTAGACTGTCACCACATTCACCACACTGACCTGAGGAGGCCCTATGGTGGTCGGGGTTATCAGGGCCGCGTGATACCGCTACGCAACCGAATAAGGCAATATCTGAATTTTTGTGTGCGAATGAAGCCTGACAGGTTGTAACCGGCAGCTATTTTTTATGAATGATGATAATGGTTAGATGGATTAAGAGAGATTAAGCCAACGTTGAATTGTATCGCAGGTAATAAGTCGTAGTAGCATTTTCATTATTTCGAAACACTATCGGATTCAGCGATTAATAAACATAACGCTCCTGACACATTAACCTCATGAGTCATGAGCTTAATATTTTTTTCTTCAAAATTTCATAGCCATTCGAGTTGCCAAAAAGCATATTAAAGCTAACAAACGTCAACAAACTTCTAAGGCATGCATCAACCGTAGAGCTGAGCCACCACCATTACCGTTCGCCTTCGCCCGATAAAACTAACAGCGAAACAGAGGAAAGCACGTTACAAAATTAGTCGGTTTTGGCAGAGGAGCTACATCCCACGTGCCGGGGGCGTACCAAGTGCCGCCTGGCGGCAGCCTGGAACGAACTATCGTGAGCGGAATGGGCCACGGGTTACAGGAGCCAGGGCCGAGGTAATAACCCGAAACGTGCTGCTAGCGCACGCGCCTCCAAGAAGAGAAACAAAGACAACATTAATCGTCCGCGCTATGCGGAAAGTCGCCAATTCTCTTCATCAGAGATTGAGTGGCGTGTTTAGCATATCAGCATAACCATTAGCGCTGTTTTCGTCTATGAAGCAGCGCAGCAGATCATCGGTAAGATTGAGCAATGTGTTAACCATCCTCACGCTAGCCGTTAGCACTACCATCATTCAGCGTAACTGCGATCACCAATAGCCATGCACAGCACGACCAGACCACTTCCAGAACACCGAAACTCAATTACTGCTAAATGAACGCCCCTCACGACGTCGTGCACGAGCGCTTTCGGAAACAAATGAGGTGTAAATGGAGCTGGAAACTCCCGTGCGATTTGAAACGTCTCAGGGATGTTACTGAGACGGTTAATCTGCGCCGGGCACAGCTGCCCTGATCCACTCTCCAGAACAGCCCTTAGCGACGCTCGGCCAGTCATAGCTCAAAATCGAAACCATCAAACAATTTGCGGCCATGCTTTGACACAAAGTGAGACTCCTCCAGTTCTGCAATGGGCCAGGTGATCACAGAGCTCAAACAAACAGAGATCAGAGCGGAATCGGTAAACAAACAGACCTTCCGTGGTCGCTTCGGTTCGAGTTGGCAGTGGCTACAGTGTGGAGACTGATTGTAGCAACTGTGGGCGGATGCCGGACGCAAGGTGACTATGCCGTTCACTGACCTCAGAGTTCCAGGAAACCCAGACTCATTAGCGAATATGACTCATCTAAACGTTTTTGTCTGTTTATCAATACGATCCGCAGCTTTGGAACGGTATCTACTACTTCAGGAAGGACTGCCGTCGTGGTCGTTTTCCGCACATTCCATGACCTACGTTCGATTACCTTACCTAACCAAGCAAGCGATAGTTGATTTCGTAATTTTGCAAATGTATCTCAACCGGACGGTCGTCGTCCTCCAAATGACACGCACTAGCCAACTTCTTCCATCACTGTCAGCCACTGTCATTCTGAATCCCCCTGATGCTTCATCTCTCCGTCTCAGGCAGCCTGGTTGCCAGGCATCCGAGCCAAAATGGACACCAAGCAGAGCTGTGAAGCCTCACAGATCCTACACAGCGTGGCGCGTGGCCTGATCGCAGATAGCGGAAACGAACCGATGCCAAGTTGCTAGGGAAGCAGCCAACACAGGAATCACATTGCCATCTTGATGGCATTGGATTGAGATCGTTCCTATCTGCCCAAAAAGAGCGCAGTCATTCGCTGAAATATGCTAATAACTAGTCGGACGCAACACAGAAGCACTCGAGGCTGGCAGCTGCCTGAATATGATGTTGCTGCATTAAAATTTATCTCATTATTCAACCACTGCACGACACAGCAGCATCTACAATCTAAAGCTTGCAACGAAACTATCATGACAACACATTTAAATAGCGCTTCCAACGGCCGTTTCAAAAATGTGGACAAGCACGCGAGACTTCGGTAGCTACTTGTCATGGACGGGGAACAATGAAGACCGCCAGTCTCTGGCCAATTAGGAGTCAACTGGTACACCCGAGCTGCATATTAAGTGGGCCCTGACCGGCCGAGCGGCTTCTACATACCACCCCGGTCATGCATAACTCATCGCCTGCGCTCGCGCTGCTAACCCGGTCCCGACCCGACTTCGAAGACCGTGTCAGCCACCCGCTAAGGCACGGGACAACGTCCGGCCAGCTGCCAACGTGGTAATGGTGCACCTTCCCTACACCTGACCCTCTGTCAGCACTCCTGTAATATGGAGAGTGGGGTGCTCCGAAGTGTCGACCTTGACAATCTTGGACAATGATGGATAAAACTTGTCTACGCATCAACCATTTCTTCCACCTTTGAATCCATTGCACACCCCTCCCCGATTCATCCCATCCTATTCCGTCCCGTTCGAACAGCCCCGTGACTTACTGATATGATCGATGGCTCCAGCGCAGAACTTGCCGAAGAACTTCTTGGCGCCCAGTGCCTTCAGGTCGTGGATGACCATGGGCCACAGGTGGAGCACGTTGTTCCGGCTGAAGCGGTCTCTCTTCTCGAGCACGACCACCTTGGCACCGAGCAGCTGGGCCTCGATGGCAGCGCGCAGACCGCATGGCCCGGCCCCGATCACCAGCACCTGAGGGCAGCGCGACAGGTCAGAAACGGTTACACAGGGTCATTATAAGGTCAATGAAGGTCATCGGAGGTCACTGAGGGTCACCATACGTTACTGAACGGCCCAATACGGTCACTGAATGCCATCCAAAGTCAACAACGATCATCGACGGTCACTGCTGAGTGCTGAATAAACTTCACTTTCTTTCTTTTTTTATTGGCATAGCGTCCACAGGCAAAGCCCCACTTACGGATGCAGTCGCACACTGACAATAACAACCACTCACACACACTGGATGGAAATAAATATGAGTGATAACACTGATCAAAATCCAAATAAATTAACAAGATGGCAAGAGCCTAAAAGTAAACCGATAGGCAACAGCCTAAGAATATAGAAGACATGAGCAAAAGCCTAAGAGAATATACAAGTGTAGGCACCTGGCTAATAAGCGAGGCTAAAAGTATACTGACATGAGAAATCCCCTAAAAGTAAACAGCACAGGCAATAGCCTGAAATCCTAAAAGAGTGTAGGTATAAGCAAGAATGACAGTGGATGAAATAAAAAGACAAAAAAGACGAAAAATGAGCGTAGACAATGACACTGAGAATAAAACCGGTAACGGCTAGTTGCTACATGAGGAGCTATATCAATGACCTTAGGCTAAGTATGTTCCCTGGTCGTCAGCAAATTTGGCTATCTCCGACCTTAGCCTGCAGCTAGGCATAAAGAAGCACAAATACAAAAGCTTGCCCAGTTATGACAAAAGAGCAGATCACCAACGGCCATGAAAGGTCACTGACGGCGATCACATCTTTTTATGGTCATTTGCAACCACCTAACCTACTGCCAATACCTGTAAGTCACCAAAGCAAGTCACAGACGGTCAGCGTCACGACAGTGATCAGGGGTCTAGTTTAAGTTATGGGTCACTGCCTATCGCTAAAATTAACCGTTGCATGCGCAATGCGTATACAGTACATTTGCCAGAAGACGTTACTGAAAGACGGCAACGACATTAAAGAAACGGCCACTGACGCAGATGAACAATTTATCGCTGCATCTCTGATTTTTCTCTTTTCTTTTTTGCAAAGCACGATTGACTTCAGGGATTTTGCGATAAAGACAGGCAATGGAATCGTTCTTGTGACATGATAAACAATTATTACGGGTAATTAGGTGTCTCATGAGCGAAAATGATACATGAGTACAGCAGCACCTGACAATTACTGGGTCAAATCCTTCATGGCTGTGAAGTGGTTAGCATCCAGAATAAAACTCGCGTTAACAAAACCCGTAGTTCAATCATTTGGGCCAATGGCTGATTGGGTCAAAGTAATGATACGAGCAACTTTTAATTCTTTAATTTTTTTTTTTTTTGCTAATGATGTATTTGGCCGCATGTTTCCCCTAACGTGAATAGCACTTCCAATCAGGGCTGCGGAGTCGATGGATTTTCGGCGACTCCGACTCCGACTCCGACTCCGGCTTTCAAAAACCAGCTCCGACTCCGACTCCGGGCAGAATTGTCGACTCCGACCGACTCCAACTCCCGACTCCGACTCCGCAGACCTAGCAGGGCTGCGGAGTCGACAGATTTTCGGTGACTCCGACTCCGACTCCGGCTCGGGTTTCTAAAATCGACTCCGACTCCGACTCCGACTCCGGTCACAACTGTCGACTCCGACCGACTCCGACTCCGACTCCGACTCCGCAGCCCTGCTTCCAATACTCCCGGGGCAAAATATCGTCAAAGCGTTACAAGTGCTGTCGTTGGTAAAAATATTACCGATGCCTTTACGCAACCTACTTGGAAGGCTGGCAACAACTCGGCGTTTTATGCGAGTTTATTTATGAGCTCCTATTATAAAGTATAATCTGGGCAGCGAGGTTCCGGGAAGCATACCGTTCTGCATTTTAACAACACGAGTTTGACCCATAGGCCGCAACTGCGGTCCAACCTTATCGTCAGGAGACCACAGAAACCAGTCATTCAGAAAATATCTTCCTTTCCCGTCCAAGATCGAGACAAAATCACCGTCTGCGCGGCTAGATTGCGGAGAGATGGACCCACGAGAGCCGTGCTGCGTTCATCCATCTCGTGGATCACGCCGACAAAAACCCACAATACGACAGGTCTGAGCGACGTCGCCAGCCAGCGATGGGACAAGATAGCCCCGCCGCCGAGCCGCCCGGCCCGACCAGGCACGATAAAGGTCATGGCTCGACCGATGACGTCAGGACGATGACGTCATGAGCGCGTGCCTAACGGGATAGCCGCTAAGAGAAGAGGGACACGCAGCGGGACGGAGCAGGACGCTCGAAGTTGGCTCCTCAGCAGCCCTGCCAGCCTCCGGGCTTCGGACGACCTCTGGTCGCAGCAGTGCGCAGTTCAGAGCCGACAACGAGCGCTGAATACAAAGGGACATCGTCGGCCCGGGCTGCCCGCCGCGCCGGCTGGTTAGCCGCTATAGACACCGCCGCTGGATGGTGTATGGCCCGCTGCTTCCCGCTGCGAACACGCATCGCCGTAATGAGCCCAACATGGTGGTGATTTGTGCCCTCTCAGGCGATGAGATACGCCTGAGTGAACCACGCTCATACAAACACCTCTTAAATACCAAGCTCAACAAGGCAAGGCGACAAGCGTTTACAACGAACCATCAGACGCGATGCGTCCATTGAACGCGCCGGGGCCATCGAACGCGACCGGATTCCACAGAAGCTCACTAGCTGACCGGTGAGCTGTGACGGTCATAGAGTGGCGAGCGAGTATCGCCGGCTATCGCTGGGGGGCGGATGGGTTCGCTCGTTCACCGTCCGATGGACCCGAATCGCCTCCAAATATGGGCGGCCCGGGCGCCGGGAGGGCGGGCGACGCAGCACCAGCGAGCAGCGGCAGCGGCAGCACCAGCAGCTGCTGCTGCAGCGGTAGCGGCGGGTCCGCGAGCGCCGGTCCCAGAAAGGAGAACATCAGACCAGAGATGTGGATCGGTACACCGAGCCCGACCGTCGCCGGTCACACTACCGAGAATGGCCGCAAGGTCGCTGAAATTCGATACCGGCCCCGGCTGAGGTCACGGGGGTCCGGTGCGCAGAGCTCGGTTCTGTGAACAATGTAACGGCGTGGGGTAACCGGCACACTCCCCGGTGGTTTAGCACTTAACAGCTTCGTGACATACCTTTGTGTCGACACAGGCGTATCCTTGGTTGTAGCATTTGTGCGATGCCCTCTTGTCGAACTTGGCTAGCAGGCCTTGTGCTTTCCATGACTGAAGGCTGGCCTGAAACAGACGTAGAAATGAACAAAATTAAAATGTGTCTAAAACATACCTAACTAAAGAGAGGAAGGAAACCAGACAAAAAAATCAGCTCAGTCAGCCAATACTGCGCTATGTTGCTCAAGAAATAAACACCTTCGAAAAAATTATATGGATCAGCTATTGTCACCGTCGCAAGTTTGCAAACATCACAGCATGCCCAAGTCATAATCATATCCACCACAAGTCACGAATCTCGGCAGTCAACCATCCTTCCAGAGTAGCTCGTGGCCCGAACCGTGAGGCAAATCGACCATCAGCACTTCACATTAGAAGGCAGAAGCACAAACACGCCCGAGAAGATCGTATTAATCATGTCATGCTTTTAAATGAGGCAAACATCAAACCATGAGAGATGAATCCGATTTTGCGGCGAGGGTAAGTAAATCGTGACACTTTGATATTGTTTATGCACCAATAACCACCAAAGTAGCACATTAGGGGCACCAACCAACCACTGCCTATCTATTGAAGCAAGCAGCGAATCACGATCTACTGTTATCAAGATCAGAAGAACAGTTCATCCGTTCCCTCAGGGGAGCGGCCGATATTCAAACGGCGTGATAAGCTCATCGCCCACGCGTCCTGCCGCTCCCCTAGCGCTACCCACGCTATACACATTACACACCGCATCGTTATCTCAGCCCTTCCCACTATTGGGAATCAAACGGGGTCAAAGGGACGCCGTTCACCGGTCATTGACCCCGAGGTTCGTCTGTGGGACGGTTACTATCATCTGACAGCAGGCGCGCCGAGTCATCCGCGAGTCATTTCAAATGACTCGGCTGGGGTGTGAGCTCATCGCGGAAGCAGCTCCTCTTAGGTGGTTTGGTTTCCGGAATTGTATCAAATGTTCAGTGACTCACGTATTTATGACAAGACGCAATCTGCACTAAACAATAGCGCTTCGTCACAACGTTCCACACTTTCAGCACTTCAGCAGAAGCGCTATTCTTATCATAATAGCGTCAATATAAATTCCTATAACTGAAATTGTCCCTTTTAGGCAGCAAAGTTGAGTAGGTCTTTGGCTTACAGATACGTCACTGAAAGAAGGCCGTTTTCGTAAAGGCTGATCTCGTATAATGCTCGACAGGAAGTTACGATAGTTACGAGGCGCCAAAATCTTCCATAAAATCTTCCATATTGACAAGCTGGCGATTTTCTTTTTCGTGAAACGCTTAAACATAACTGACCCCCTCAAAGTACCTACATCAGCCTAAATTATATAAATTACAGGGTGGGCCAAAAAAAGTGTGTCACTTTTCAGCAGTAATTTCTCGAAAGTGGTAAGAGATACGAAAAAGAAACTTTCACAACTTAAAGAAAATCGTTTGACAAATTATATGATACCAATTTTATGGAAAAGTTTCGATCGAGCTGACGTTGCCATCGTCGATTTAAAAAACGGGATCTGTACGTCTCTTTATTTGCGCATGTGCTCGAAGTGGGCACCGCCAAGCTGAAGGCCATCTGAACGCGCTCCAGGAAGCTGACGCTCACCCTCTCCGCGGTGTCTGCTGTCACTTCACGCACGTACTGCTCGACGCTGAGACGCAGCTCCTCCGGGCTCCCGGGTTTGTTGTGGTAGACGCTGTCGCTGTCCTTGCAGGCTCCCCAAAACCAGTAGTCCAGCGGGTTGAGGTCAGGACTGTGAGGAGCCCACTGCTTTTCGCTTCCCTTGGAGATCACGCGGCAACCGAAGAGCTCTTGGAGCAGCTGCAGTGTCTCTCGGGCCGTGTGCGGTGGCACTACATCTTGCATGAACAAAGCTTGTAGCGTGATCACCAAGAGAAGCGAAAAGCAGTGGGTTCCTCACAGACCTGACCTCAACCCGCTGGACTACTGGTTTTGGGGAGCCTGCAAGGACAGCGACAGCGTGGGTCTACCACAACAAACCCGGTAGCCTGGAGGAGCTGCGTCTCAGCGTCGAGCAGTACGTGCGTGAAGTGACAGCAGACACCGCGGAGAGGTGTGCGTCAGCTTCCGGAGCGCGTTCAGATGGCCTTCAGCTTGGCGGTGCCCACTTCGAGCACATGCGCAAACATAAAAGACGCACATATCCCATTTTTGAAATGGTGATGGCAACATCAGTTCGACTAAGACTTTTTCATAAAATGGGTATCATATAATTTGTCAAACGATTTTCATTAAGTTGTGAAAGTTTCGTTTTGGTATCTCTTACCACTTTCGAGAAATAGCCGCTGAAAAGTGACACACTTTTTTTGGCCCACCCTTTTTTTCCTACAAATACGCGGAAAACTTATTTGTAGACTAAATAAGTTTTCCTGTTCTTTGCACATCATTTATAAGCAGCTGGAACATGAACAAACATTATTGGGTCTTGAAAACACTGTGTTTTAATAAAGTGTTCACTTGACGAATGTCGCACTGTGCTGAATGCTGATCTCATTTCGAATCCATATAATAAGTGACAGAAATCGGTAAGCACCAAGCCAACGTTGGCAACCCCTTATTTCCTCAAGCTCATCAGTCCTCGGACATTGTTAGCTTTAAACGGGCGATAAGTGTTTTCCTCTTTTCTGTCACCTTGCTTGCAGTCAGCTCTGTTTGCACTGAAAGTCAGTGCACCAGCCGCAGATACGCTGCATTTTATCTCCCAGCCTTTGTGGAGTAACGAGCCAACAGAGTGCCACGTGGACCACCATCCCCCATCTCAACGACCCAGCGCCAAGTCTTTGTGACCACAGGGGATGGCCGGCCGCGCCGGCCGGATTGGCGGACCGCCCGGGGGTCAGGGGGGGGGGGTGCACCTTGTCACCGGTGTCTGGTGACCCGGTGCGGACGCCCCCCCCGCCCCCCCCCCCTCTCCCGGAGAGGGTGTGACGGGGTGGCCAACTAGTCTGAGAATCTGGCCGGCCGCCCGGTCCCGAGAGTCGCGTCCCTTCTGGGATGTCCCCTATCAGCGGCCTTACCGCAAGCTCGCAAACACACATAGTCGCGGAGACTAACAAAGAGGCAGCATCGAGAAACCCACACAGAGTCTGGAAGCAGCCCTCGGTGTGCCAAACTCACACGGATGTGACCGTCTCGCCCGGCTATGAAACTCCCAGGGGACGGCGCCCGTCAGCGGGGAGTCTCAATGTCTGGCAGCGCCACTGTCTGAGGTGTGTGCTGGCTGGTCGCCCGCCGGTGTCGACCCACTCAGGTGGAGGAGACTCCTGGCCGGTCGCCCGCCGCCCACCGCTCCTGGCTGACCCGACCCTTCCCCACCCCCTCCCCTCCGTCGGGGTCGGGTACTGCTGTCCCTGGCTGACCGCCACGGATTAGACACGGCCCGTGACGTTCACCAGGTCGTGACGGGTGACGGATGTGACGGACGTCACGGAGTGACAGAAGGCCGTGGGTAACGAGCGTGACGGTCGGCGGAGGAAGTGGTCACGCGGCCTGTGTTCACTGGTCACCGGCCGTGCGCACCTCAGACCACCATGCTTCAATCCACCAAACTGTCAATTTCCTCATACAAGGTCAAGTACCTACACCGCTTCTGTATGTATTTTCTGAATGTATGGCTTGCCCATGAATATATCATCTAAACACGGTGGGATTGTTATATACGATGCTCTCCCCAGCTGTAACTCGTCGGTAGTGCATGGACGGTAAATAGCGCAGGGAGCCTCCACTATAGGGACTGGGAGTCTCGATGACGTGTCCGTATCACAAATGAAGGTGAGTCAGCGATGACTCCACTGAGTCATTGATCACGCCATTGATAGTATAATCACAAGATCGAGTTAGTTCGACTACTGCGACTCATCGGGAGATACATGTTGGAAAGGCAGTAGAGGTTCTCCAGCAAAGCAATTGAATTAAGTTTTAGTTATTTTCCGTTGATTTGATTTCGGAGACAAATGATCATTGAACAGACCTACTGTAACCACAACCGACTTCTCTTCAGCTCTACCCTCTACTCCCTGACTCTCGAGCTTACATAGGTTACCTAGGAACCGCTCTTTTATGTGTCTTTCTCCGGACCCTCCCACGCGATAACCACTTGACCGCTCTCCGACCCTCCCGTACCATTCCGTACGAGTCCGTCCATTGCCGGACCCCGGGGTTGACCACAAAGAGTAGCGACAGACAAAGGCGGGCCACAGGCCACCTCACCTTGTCCACAGGGTCACTGCGCTTGGTGAAGGTCAGGGGCGAGGCTGCTCCCGCAGAAACGTCGCCGTAGTCGAGAGCTCAGTAGCAATCATGCAATCAACATGCTTGATTTTTGACAGAGATCAGCTTGGAGCAGCCATCTAGACTTCTCCTAGCAGAAGCTACCCCTTATTTAGTAAATGGCTTGCCCGTGACAAGAAATCACGTGGCATGAGAGGTCTGCAGTGTCCGCTGAGGTAGCCGAACCAAGTGACTTGCACACGGATACCGCGTTATGGGCATCTAATGGGAGTGACACACGGTATCTGGCCAGGGCGGTACCCGTGATGCTGCAGCTCCAAACAAGGTTGTCTGTCGTGACCACCCAGCCCAGAGGTCAAGGTCGGGTCACTACTGCACGCCAAGCTTTATCGTCATCTATTCCATGACTCATGGTGCGAGAGGAGAGGGTAAGAAAGGAGACAGAAATAACAGAGGACAGAGAATAAAAGAAGAGGATGAGGGATGGAAAGAAACAAAGAGAGAGAGAGAGGGAGAGAGGGAGAGAGAGAGAGAGAGAGAGAGAGAGAGAGAGAGAGAGAGAGAGAGAGAGAGAGAGTCATGTCAATATAAAAGAGTCAATATAAAAGAGCATCCTTCAACGGGTTAGTTAAAAAAGAAAGTTGTATGTGAGTGTTGTCCGATGTCCAGTCTTATAGACGGCGTAATCCACTCGGTTTCCGTTTTCACCTGTTTACGACAACCTGGCGCAATGATTGGTGAGAGACCTGTCGGCGACAGACAGCGGTCTGAACCGGGAACAGCTGACACGTGCGACAGGAAGGGACGGCACCAGAGGCGGTGGTGACAGCGCTCGTAAAATGGCCGGAGAAACTGGCGAGGACGGAGGCACCGGCGCGGGCTGCGAGCTCCCCACGCGACCACACACCCGTCCACGCCCGTCCAGTGACGGCGGCACGCAGGAGAAAATCGCAGACGGAGCCGCGGGGTGGTCAGAAAACGCCTCACCGCCGCCGCTTCAGACGACGAAGGAGGGTTTCGAATGACGCAATTCATCCCTCTGAGACCTACGCAGTTCATCGCGGAAAAGAAAATCAACGCCAATTTGAAACGAGGCTGTATGTATCTACAGAGAGGGGCTGTCTGTATCACGAGAGGAGAAAACACCATTCTGAAGGGAGATGATGATGTTAAGAAATTTGAATGAGGATTTAAAGCTGAGACGACAACGTGATGACGCGACACATACAGGAATTACAACTGTAACGAGATCATTCATATGCATGTTTACGTCCAAGCTTCATCTAAAACCTTTTGTGTCGGAAGACATTGTTATGCTTTAGAGCTGACACACTTAGCCGCGATCATCTAGGACATGCCTGTTCCGCCCATTCAGGCATTAGATAGGCACCCTGACCCTACTTCTAACAGCCGGTTTACAGCAGGCCCATATGCATGTGTAAACACTACAGGGTGCGTCATAAGTTCTGGTACACTTTTTCTTTTAGTAATAAAAAGAGTTACAACAGGTTTACAGAGTTGAGTATTTCAGTAGAGGATCTTTATGAAGTTAAGTCAAAGCACGTGTGATATCATGAAAAAATATTAACTAGATGAGCCTTAATTAAACAAATGGTAACTGACCGCCCGACAGCTAAGTGCACACCATGCCGCCTTTCTTCCTAACAAAGAAAGTTCGCGGGGCCATCGTCTGCATGAAGATGGCGGATATCTCGGTAGCAAAGATATGTCGCACGCTTCGCTGCACGCGGAATCGTGTGTATCGGATGTGGACCCGGTACCAGGAGACCCAGAGTACCGGAGACCGATTCCGTTCCGGCTGCCCCCGGTCCGCCCACACGCCTCAGCTGAAAGCCGCGGTTCGCAGCCGGATTGTCCGCAACCCCGAGCGTTCCATGCGCCAAATGGCCCGGGACCTTAATGTGTCCGAGCGTTCCATGCGCAGACTCATTTCTAAGGATATCCGCGTGAAAAGCCTCCGCAAGAAGCACGTTCACTCCCTCAACGCTGCACAGCGCCACACACGGAAGGAAAGCGCTCTCAAGCTCCTCCGGACCGGGGGCGGCCGGAACGGAATCGGTCTCCGGTACTCTGGGTCTCCTGGTACCGGGTCCACGTCCGATACACAAGATTCCGCGTGCAGCGAAGCGTGCGACATAGCTTTGCTACCGAGATATCCGCCATCTTCATGCAGACGATGGCCCCGCGAACTTTCTTTGTTAGGAAGAAAGGCGGCATGGTGTGCACTTAGCTGTCGGGCGGTCAGTTACCATTTGTTTCATTAAGGCTCAGCTAGTAAATATTTTTTCATGATATTACACGTGTTTTGACTTAACTTCATAGAGATCCTCTACTGAAATACTCAACTCTGTAAACCTGTTGTAACTCTTTTTATTAATAAAAGAAAAAGTGTACCAGAACTTATGACGCACCCACCGGAAACTACATAAGCCCAACTTTCGTGGGAGTAATCAATCATGCCACGCAAAATTAATCAATGTGGTAAATGATCATTGGGAGCGGCTTAATTCCGTGGGCAGGTCGTAGCTTCTTAGTGTCACAGTATAGCTTCTTGAAAAGAAGATAATCACAGTTAGATTGGTCTGTTTTAACGTCACCTATAGGTTCTTTATGAGCCTCACAAATTAGGAAGAACTCAAAAGCAAAAGCCTTTCCGCAAAGTCGCATAGCCTTTAAATATCAACTCTGCGTGGCAAATTGGCACCCATTTGGGACTAGGCAAAATATGTATGCCTGTGCAGTGTGCGAGGCGCATATCTGAGATATTGCACATTCCTGGCAGTAAATGGAGATACGATTCAGGATGTAGTCTGAGTCACAGTCACCGGGGACATATTTGTACCGCTATCAGATGCAGGACAACAGGCGAACAACGACGTGCATCGCATTCTCTGTTCTCCTTCCTTGAAACGTCAACGCTATCTGCAGTCTACCTACACCCTCGCATATTGGCATTGGGCATATCGATAAGAACTTAGGTAGGTAAGTGTCCGAAAGGAAAAACTTCTTCATTCGTCCTTGTATGCACAAAGACATCCTGGGCCTCGTTTCATAAAGCAAGTCCGTAACTTACGCCGGTTTTTGGTCTTGTATTGCAAGTGCATGTGAAGCGATGACGATAGTTTGAATCGTTGAATCTATTTATCTTGCAAATAAGAACAGAAGGGAGAAGGGGAAATAAATTTATCGCTTCACATGCGCTTGCAATACAAGCCCAAAAACTGGCGTAAGTTACGGAATCGCTTTATGAAACGAGGCCCTGTTGTATGTAGACGTAACCTACGTTCTGTTGTAGCTATCGACTCAAATAAAAACAACTTGATGCAGTGGAAACATCACTGAGAATTGGAAAACCCGGAACGTCGTCACCTTTGCATTTGATCTCTTGTGAAGCGATTAAATACAATGCTAAAATGTTCGTGCACTACGAGGTTCCTTCTGGAATACAGCAGTTCATATGCTCTTCATGCATATAGCTAGCACACTAACTATACCCGGCTGTACCCAAGATTATTTTACTACTCGCTGTACCCAAGATTCTTACAGATACCTACGCTGTACCTTACGCTGTATCTTTACAGCAGTTGTAGGAAAGTCATCCCTTTCTCGGTGAACTCATCATTATAGCGGCGTGGCCGTCGTAACACAATGGCAGCTTACCGCTATTGTGAGCCGGTTTGCTAAGTAGGATACTTCTTACTCGGTACCAAGGTCAGATGAAGAAACCGAAAACACGCCACCGCTGTTACAAAACAACGGACAGGATCGTCTATTTTTGGAGAATGCCTTAGTTTATCCACGTTAAATCTTGAAGAGGGTCGCTTCAAAACATTTAAATTAAGCTAGATCCCAAGATGAAATTGTTTTTAGGGCCTTGGATGACCGATGAAACGTATCAAAATGCTTGCTGTTACAGTGCTGTGGCAATGGATGATGTGCTAAAATGAATCGTTGTTTAGCGAATGTAATATTTTCATCCAACCCCTTAAAGTAAACTAATATGGATCTCATACATCATCCGGCTCTCAGAACATCATCATTCACCACTAACTCTCTTCAGCCCTCCCGACTACACTTCCCCTCTCTTCTAAGTATACCAACTCAGCCGATCACTCGTTACCCACCTTCAGTCTGGGGTAGAAGTCGGGGAACCTCGCCGGCCTCAGGTCCAGCGCCGTGCACAGTCGCCGGTAGTGTGTGAGGATGCTGCGGAGCGTCTGTGCCGCGCACAGGTGATCAAAGTGATCGGACGCGTGGCCCGGGTGGGTCGCGTCCGACGGAAGGCTGCTGTGAGGCATCGCGGCGGCTCCGAGCGGTCACAGAGACGGGGAGCGACTGCCGACCGACCGCCACGCATCCTGGAACACACGTCGGGAGCGCGAGTCAGGGCCGGGATAGAGAGATAAGGCGACGCTATCGACACCGCGCCGAGCGCAGCGGAGTCTCCGTATAAGGACGGACATACGAGCCGAGAGTACACGTGTTTACTAATACGTGTGGCACCCCACGCGGCGCTCGAGTGCCGGGGATGACGAGGTGAAGGTGAAGGTGAAGTGATACTGACATCCGTCACAGGATATTATCTGTTGGATTTTAGTGGTCTCGGGAGTCAGGAAACATCAGACTCATGGTTGCGCAATGCTTGTTACGTTGTCACACTCAAAGCTGACCATATTCGGCCAGTGCTCTAACGTTTGGCATCGTGGGCTTGGCTACACTGATAGAAGGGAAATACTTGAGAGTTGAGACAGCTTTACAGGAAATTGAGATCGTATTATGATTTGAGTGTTCTTGATAGGAGTACCAACACCCAATGAATCAATGACTAGTAAACTTGTGTCAAGGGCAGATAACTAAATGATCATATCTATCTGTAGGCTTATATGGCATGATGATGACATCACGGGGGAGATGACCTCAGGAAGGTCATCCCGGCCGCAGCGGTCCATATACGGTTACTCGGCAAACATCGATCGTCAAGAGCCACTGGCCACGCCGGGCTCTTACTTACTGGCCGGCCGGGTCGGAGGGACAGCCACTCTGTCCATACGACTTTCGCCGAAATTGGAGGCAGTTTCTCGACATAGACAGACGCGAACGCCGGCCGGCCACTCTAGCCCGCAGACACACATACACACAGCCACAGGCTGGGTGTGTTAGCAGCCGCCGGCCATAACACTCGTTTTCACAGCATGGGGAAAGAAAACGCGCCTTGGGTCTAATGGACCGTGCAACTGACCATGTGAAAGCAATAGCTGTGCAGCGTCTAAACGAGCAGAAATCGCCGAATTAAACTACTGCTGTGGGCTCTGGGTCTCGGCAAACCACACCAAGATTGTTAGGCGATAGCAGCGTAATTACACAGCTGGCACACCAATTCAATTTCACGCTAACTTCCACGTTAAAGGCGATTTCTTTTCAGATACTGGATCTGGTGAGCTGATTCGCCAATCGTCAAATGAAAAAAAGAGAGCTACCTACCTTATTCAAGAAACAAGCTTTTGACTATATACAACCTACATGACCAGTCTTCTGCCACAGCCATCCGTATAGCTAGGTATTTTAGACCGTCAAGTGTCAGTAAATGTTATTAAGTAGGTAAGCTGCTTCCCCAAGCCAAGCTGGTCCTCAGGATATCTATCCAGTCATAACTCAAACCAGCCACCTATCTATTCCATATTCGTCCACGACAGTGGCCTATCCAGCCATCCCTCCAGATTACCAATGTAACAGCCATACTCTCCTCCCTCATCCAGCCAATATCACAACGGCGACCTTGTTGTCTCCCAAGCTACTTCTCAAGATGGCGATCGAGTCATCCCTCTAGTCAGACCTCGAGCAACCCCTTCAGTCACCTCTCCAGTCATCCCTCCAGTCATCCCTCCATTTATCGCTCCATCATCCCCCCAGTCATTCCTCCAGCCATCACTTCATCCATCCCTCCAGCCATCCTTCCATTCAGCCCTCCAGTCATCCTCCATCCACCTCTCTAGGTCATACCTCCAGCCACCTTCAACCCGTTTCTCTATGCCATCCGGCTCCAGTCATCCCTCCATTTATCGCTCCATCATCCCTCCAGTCATTCCTCCAGCCATCCCTTCAGTCATCCAGCCACCCATCCCACCAGCCATCCCTCCAACCATCCCCTTATCCCTCGAGTCATCCCTCCATCCCCCCCCCCCCAGCTATTCGTTCAGCCCTCCAGCCATCCTTCCATTTATCCCTCCAGTCATCCCTCTATTTATCCTCCAGCCATCCATCTAGCCATCCCTACAGCGATTCCTTCATCTATCCCTCCAGCCACCCCTCTATCCCTCTCTCCATCCCTCCAGCCATTTCACCAGACGGCCGGCCGCTACCTGGCACTCAGTTCACTGCTCTGAGTTGGCAGGCGGCGCTCGTGCCATTAACCTTATTGCCACACGGCTCAGCGTTGGACGACTTCCCATGAGAACAGAGACGGTCATCAACTCAGGTGTTGTTTGCGCTCTTCCGTCAAATGTCAATAAACAGGGTTGATGAGCATGGAGTGATTAAACTTAATTAGCACAGAGGGGTGTTCACGGGCACCACGCACTGCTGCGTGCGGTGTGTGCGGTACGTCCAGCAGGCGTGGGGGTAGGGGATGGGTAGGCGGCTCTGACGTCACGGCTGCGTGCGGTGGACGGTCCGCTGTGGCCAGTCCCGACCGGCCACAGCGGTCGCTGTGTGCGGTGACGGAAGGCTGACGTAGGGACGCAGTGGGCGGAGCTTGGAGGCTGTGTGCGGTCCGATCGCACACAGGGTCCGTGAACAGCCCTCGGGTAGCGTTATGGGAGAGAAACTCGGCTGAACAGTTTGTCGGAGGAAGTAGAGAGGAACGGTTATTTCCACAAATTCTGGAGTGAGATCGCGTAGAAGCAGGCCGGTACCTACCTTTTCAGTGATATAACGCATCTTTAGAAGCAGGACGGTACCTATTGCCTTGTTACAGCCGGGGATAAATGGGAAGTCAACGGCAGTGGACGGCTGTCGGTGTCGGCTGGATCCGCGGACTCCGGAGAGGAAGGGGACAACCGATGATGGTTGCGCGTCCAGTGTCCGCCGTCCAGCCCTCCCCTCCTCCCCATCCCCCAAAACCCACCCTTTTGCGGCCGCCTGTGTGTGGCCCGTGTGTGACTGGAGCATGAACGGCGAACGCTGCCGTGATTGGAGAGGGTCGAGAAAGGGAGACTTTAGCATAAATGCAAGTTGGTATGAACTATGAGGCCAAAGGAGGGGCTCGGTCGGTATTAAATCAAAAGGATAAAGAATATTGGAACGCAACATATTCGATTGAACCCTCGACGAATCACAAACCAAATTTCGTCGAGCGCAAGCGCAGTATTTGTTGTTGAACGACTCCAAGCCAAGTCGAATATGAAACGTGCAGGCGATTTCAGAGCACGCACTTCTACACATTGATATTATTGGAGAATATTCTATTGCATTCACACCACGTTGACCACCGGTGTTATGTCACGAGCGCGCTGAACGAGGTCTATCCCGGGTCCCAGCCCCAGGTCCTCCGTCCTTTCCCATTCTGATTCCTGATTTTATCATCCGATGTCAACGCTCAGCCTTCCGACTTTTTTAGGGAAACGTGACCACGATTCGTATCGCCTGTCCCGTCGTTCGTTCTGCCTCGCGTTCAAGGTCAAGGCGGATCGAGCCGATTTCTGAAGTTAATGACAGTTTGGACGCGGTGCGACAGCGAGGCGACACGGCTTAGATAAAGCCAGGGAGGTCCGACGAAATCGGCAGATGTCTAGCCGGTACGAAAAGCATCTGTCAACAATTATCGCTTCATCCAACTCACACATTCAAAACACAGAACGCCGGACCGGTTTGGACCCACCTGCGAGGAAAACCACTTCAGGAGCTCTTCACGAGCGTCGCAAACTCATCGGTAATCGCATAGCTGGCACGGTTTGCGCACTCTGTCACTGAAACACACCTGTGCTGACACTTCACCGCACAAAACCTCACACCATGCGCGGCACCCCTCACCGCTCCGACACTACCCCACGACTCTAGCCGACCGGCCAGCTCCGCGTTCTGACGCGAGCGCGCCCAGCGGCGACCCATCAGCTGGTTGGCCGCCGAAGGCCCTGCATAGTGCTGACATCTAGCATACATTGACACAACTACAGCTTACGCAGATAGTCGGAAGGTGAGGTTAGTGGAGCATAAACATGGACTGGGTCGTATGCCTATAGAATCGGGATTCGGGAATATGAGCGACACACCTATCCGTGCTTCTATCCTCAGGAAACTGAAATCCTTCTCCTCCACACCGCAACCCCCCTCCGGGCTAGACAGGCAACTTTATCTCATGCGGGCTGCTCCCTTGGAGCGGCACCGCTGCTCCCGAGGGAGCGCACCCCGTAGCCGGGTGCAGTGAGTGCCTTGCGGCTGGGTGGCCTGTCTTCGGACGGGCTCAGCCCCGGCGACTCACTAGGGTGCCTGCCCAGACCAATGTCTCCCCCTAATTCCTATCATCCTTCCGGCTCTGCAATGGTCTTGTCGACCGAAAGGGCCTAACCCAACAAAACAAACAAAAAAAATATGAGCGAAATGTTTACTGTCAGGTAACATGTATATCTTCACATTTGCAGGCTCACGTTCACCCACCCTCATCCATTACGGGGATTTGCTCACCCTAACCCTCGCCCGTAAACGGCGATCTGCCACCTTCGCCCATGCAGGGGGGGGGTTGGTGCGACCCCCCCTTGGCGTTTGAAAATGGAGCGTCGTAGAGCTTAGCGGAAAAGACCAACGGATTGCTCTCGCCGAGATCTCGCGATTGGTGGTATATTTTTTGGTCCTAGGTCAACATTTGACCTACTTTTGACCGGTCAAAGGTCAAATTTTCGGAAAAATAGACTTTTTTCAACTTTCGGCGGCGATTGCGGCAAAACGGTGGGAGATATCGACTTGAAACCTTCACTATCGTGTTCCTTGATCAATTCTCTATCGTTTGGTATGTATTTCGTTTCCCTAGCTCTAAAAATGGCGCGTTGGGAGCGCCGGAAGTCGGCAAGGTCACAGTCGGCGGCAGAAATTCGAAAAATCAAAATTTAAATTTTTGAAATCTGATTGTATTTTTGGATTTGGGAGGTCCATTTGCTCCCTATAGAAGCTAATATTGCTGCATATTCCCATTGAGGTGACAAGAATTAGCAAAATAGTGGTTCGGGCGCTTTTCAAAAATAGTACCGGACGCTGTTCCTCTTGTGACGTCATAGCTCCGTGACCTGACCTGACCCGGTCAAGTTTCTTATACCATATGATAGCCAATACTTGCCCCAACATGCATGGGAAGTTTCATCACGATCCATCAACCGATCTCCGTACCACCGGCAGGAAACCTCGGGCGTTGGCACTCAGTTTGTGAAAATCCGGCCGGAGGCTGTTCCCTTTGTGACGTCATAACTCCGTGACCTGACATGACCCGGTCAATTTTTTTTTATCAAAAGATGCGCAAGGTTTGCCCCATAAGGTACCCAAAATTTGGCGGCGCTGCGCGCCGCCGTTTTTGCACTATTTCCGAAAAACCTCAGGGGGGGGTTGCACCAACCCCCCCTACATGGGCGAGGGCTAATAGGTGACTACTTAATGATCACCACCACCCACCCTACTTAATGATCACCCATTATCACTGCTCCTAGCTGTTGCAGCGACGCCCTGACAGTCATCACGAACCCTCCACCCAGCTCTGAGGGTTTGACTTTGGTCTAGGGTCAGCCGTCAGCTATCTCCTAAAAAAGCCGTAGGCAGCACTTCTCCACGGGTAATTAGTTCATGACTGTTTGAGTGACCTTATTCCAGATACCTACCTACCTACCTACTTTTGATTAGACGGTTCGGTTGTTCGTCACTGTAGAAATATATTGCTTAGGTACTCTGAATTCCTTCTACCATCCCGCTATAAGGCAGAAAATCTCCCCCGGGTCACAACTTTGATTATTTAATGCCTATTGGTATAATTGTTGACAATTTGTCAGTTCAACACCCAAAAAATCCAAAGCCGTTTCTGCTATCGTTCAGACTCGCGGCCTGTCAGTCCGACCACCTATTTGACATAGCTGTTAACATCTGCCACGTGCTATCTGTCAAATGATGACTAATTACCTGCAGGTCGGTGCGTCGCTTTCAGAAGCCATCCCACCTCCGGGTAGGGTCATAGGCGCAGGGTGGGTAACTGGTTAGGGTCATATCAATTCGCCCACAGCCACCATCGTCGCCTAAACGCTGGCCTGGTATTGTCGAATTCGAGGACGTCGCAGTCTAAACGCAACGCGGAGATTCCCTAGAGTGGCTGAGTCCATAGGCGAAATAATTTTTAGAACATCATCTGAAAGCATTTAACGACTAGCGACTAACGACTGTACACGGGAGACGACACATGGGGGCGGAAGACACCAGCTTATGTTTCCGTCCATAGATGGCGCTAGTGACAAACGCCTGTATGCAGGCTGTGCCGCACTACATCGGTAAATGCGTGTATGCAGGCTGTGCCGCAATTACATCGATAGATGGCTGAAGGCAGGCTGTGCCGCATTACATCCGCAAACGCCTGAATATAACTAGGCTGTGTCGCATTACATCGATAAACGCCTGAATATAACTAGGCTGTGCCGCATTACATCGATAAACGCCTGAATTTAGGCTGTGCCGCCTTACATCGGTAAACGCCTGAATTTAGGCTGTGCCGCATTACATCGATAAACGCCTGAATGTAGGCTGTGCCGCATTACATCGGTAAACGCCTGAAGGTAGGCGGTGCCGAATTACATCGACAAGCGCCTGAAGCTGAATGTAGGAGGTGCCGCATTACATCGGTAAGCGCCTGAATGTAGGATGTATGAGTCTAGCATCTGCATTCTGCCCGCAACGATTTGTTTCAAGCGTTTCATTGAAGAAAAACTGTCCAAATACGCACTAAGTTGTACCGAGGCGACTACCGAGTACCTAAAAATCCACATTATCTACTGACAAAAGCGCTATACTTAATTAAACCGTCTTTATCTCTAGAAAACACTCACTTTTCACAAGAAAATACCTATGTGACAGTACTTAAGCACACTGTTTACAGTAGAGTAACAGGGTTAAGGTTTGCCTTCTTTTGTAAAGTGTCCCTCTAAAAAAGGCTAGGTAGAGCGTCGTCAAGCCAGCACATCTAGCGATGAGTAATGAGCCGCATACATATGATACATTCCACAAGTGTCCCGGCCAGTGTGACCGACAATGCGTCTGAATTCTGCGGAAGACTGGACCACAGCTGCACTCAGCAACTGTGCTGGCTCAGGCTGTTTACAGGGTGTCTCACAAAAAGTGTACAGATTTAAAATGAAGATATTTCAGCATATAAGCACGCGCTCACGTCAAATGCAGGCTTAAATTGAAGCTTAGCTCGTGCAAATTTATTTGACATACAATTTGTTAGTGAGAGTCATGAGACAGTTAACCCGCGCCCTGGTGGGGGGGGCTATTTTTTGCCCCCCCCCTCCAGACTTTTCGATATATCTCCAGAACCGCTGCGCCGATCGTCACCAAACTTTCAGTACCCTCCCGGACATCAATTTTACACATTGTGACCAAAATTTTTTCCAAAGGCTATGATAGGTTGGCCGGAAATGACGTCAGAGTGACGTCATGTTCTGCCGTTTTCGACCCAAAAAAGGGTTTCGCGGGAAGAGCTGTCAGGCCTATAGCTTTGCAAATACAGAAAAATGATAAAGACATAAAAGCTGTAGATTGGACAGGGCTACAAAACTGCTATCTCGGATTTTTGAAATTTTTGGATTTTGACCCCCAAAAATCAAAAAATAGATTTTTTGGATATACTAATCAAAAAATCCAAAAAGTTTTTTGAATTTCGCAAAAACCGGAATATATGTGATAGTCCTTACCGCCTTCCATCCACATACCAAATTTGAGATTGATACCTCCTTTTTTGGCGAAGTTATAGCGAAAAAACTGTTCAAAATTGATGACGTCAAATTTTCAAACTCAATTTTTAGCAATTCTAGACCCCGTAGCGCAAAACAAAGACCACCATTAGACTCCCCGTGACGAGTTGCATCGAATCAATACCCAATTTATGCAAAAATATCAACTTTAAAATTTGACCTTTTTTGGCCTGACCTTGACCTGACCTTGACCTGAACTTCACCAGAAAGTGACCTAAGCCGTACCTGATAGTCTTATAACCAACACCATTGAGTTGGAAATGAAAATTGGCCATAAAACATGTATCACACAACCTTAGTAAAGTTGGGCTCATGTGACCTGACCTGTGACCCTTGGTGACCTGACCCGTGACCTGACCTGGTACTGCTAGTGATCTCTAATAGCAACATATCTACTAGGCAACTGACGCCCTACCGCTGATTCTCGACAAAATGCGTTTTCCTCGGTGTTATAGCGCATTCCCTATAAGACCCGTGAACGGTGAAACATTTCATCTTTGACCTGACCTGTGACGTCATCGGTGACCCCGAGGTCAATGAAATTTGGTTTCCTTCGACAAATTTGACAGGCCTTTCGAACGCCGTTTGAATTTTGCGGATCCGTCCAGTAGTTTCGGAGATACGAGGGGGGGGCAAAAAATAGCCCCCCCCCCCACCAGGTCGCGTTATAAACAGACCCCACCAGGGCGCGGGTTAAGTGAAGAGGAAAGGAAAATAATCGTGAAATTTTACCTTCAAACCGGTTCCCTGGTATTGACTCAGAGGAAATTTAGGGCTCATTTCCCTACAATAAGAGAGAAACCGCCGGCAAACACAATAAAACGGCTTACTGAACATTTCTTGGCTCACGGAACAGTCGGAAATCAAAACACTGGAAACAGCGGTCGCAAGATAACTGCCCGAACACCTTTGAAAATCGGACAAGTCATTCGGCGAGTTGAGGAAAAGCCTGGAGTGTCCGTGCGGCACCTTGCGCAACAAGTTGGACTCAGCCGCTGTTCCACGCATCGGATTCTTAGGAAGGACCTGAAGCTTAAGGCATACAGGCTATCAACATCTCAAGAGCTTTCCAAGTCTGATTGCCTACAACGGTTGGAGTTTTGCCGTTGGTTTTTTAGGAAAGTGCTCGTCTTGCCCCAGTTTCGTCGGCAACATTTGGTGGTCCGACGAGGCACACTTTTACCTTCACGGCTTACCTAATCGTCAAAACCACAGACACTGGGGCAAACACCCGCCAGAGAAGACTTTGGAAGTCCCATTACATTCTCCAAAAGTGACGGTCTGGTGCGCGCTTAGCGCCCAGGGCATAATCGGACCGCTCTTCTTTGAAGACGGTGACGGAGAACCAGTGACGGTGACTTCAGACCGTTATCTGGCAGTGTTGAAGCGCTTTTGGCGGTCTCTCAACAGCAAATGCGCGGACACCATTTGCCTGCAATGGTTCCAGCAGGACGGCGCTCCAGCGCACACGTCAAGAGCCACGCTGGCCTAGCTGACCGAGCGCCTGGGAAGCCGGCTGATCTCCAGGCGGGCCCCCCACAGCTGGCCACCCCACTCACCCGACCTCACCCCCATGGATTTCTATCTATGGGGGTATCTGAAGGATGTCGTGTACGTGAAGGCGCCGCACACGCTAGACGAGCTCAAAAAGGCCATCAGAGGAGCCATACGCGGGATAACCATGGAGACATGCGCCCGTGTAGCCCAGGAGACCATGAGGCGCGCCACCACGTGCGCTGAGCGCAAAGGCTGTCATTTTGAGCATCTAAAAAAATGAGCGCAGAGCTAGAGTATGGGAAACTGATTCGGTATGTGAATATAAAGACGTGCAAATGATATGCGAATAAATTTGCAAGCTTTGTGCTTTCCAGCGATATTTGTGTTTTTTACGTATGTTTTTAACTTACGGAGCTATTTACAAAACAAATATGTACACTTTTTGTGAGACACCCTGTAGATGTAGGCATGGCTTCTCGGTTTCGACCGTTGACTAGCTTTGAGTGTCATGTTTTTCTCGGTGAACTGTTTGACATATTTTGAATATAACTGTTTAAAAAAAACATTAAAATTACCAGCTGTTGTGTATGGTCATTTTTCTTCGACGATAAATTTTTCAACGTAGGTACAGTCCACAGCAGAAGTAATGTGTGGTTTCAGTCATGGGTATGTTCTGCTTCTGAAGCCTAGGAACGATTAGCCAGACTGCAACGAGACTTTAAATGTAGCTTACATGTATCTTCACCCTTGCTGCTACAACTTTATCTATTGACGTCTTCTTTTCAATCAGTCCGCATTTAAAAATCGTCGGTCAAAGCCATCCTTTGATATTGGTAAAACCACACATTACTCTAGCGGTGGGCTGTACGTCATACATATAAACTATAAAGTAACTGTTCACTTATGTTCCCACTTCCCACCTGCCAAGGGTCATATAAGTCGTTAAATTGAATTGTCACCAGTACCCACCTGTGTTATTGCGAATCGACCAGTGTCGCTTAGCCTGTCCCAATCGCGTGTTGTTTCTGCTGATTGCCGAAAACTGTTTCGTGTGTTGTGCCACATTTTCGACGGCCCAGTTGGGTGGGCGGTGTGGCCGCAGTCGACAGAACGCAAACAGAAGTGGGCAGCCGACCAAAATATACTTGGCAAACGGCGGCCTTCTGTACCAACCGGAGTGAGGCAGCAAACGTACTGTAACACCGCGAGATAGCCGTCCCAGTCCAGCCTTTCCTTTGCCTTTTTGATTTATGATGCATAAACGATAGAAGGAATTTTTCGTAATATAAATGTGATAGCTCTGTCTGCCTGCCTGTGTTTGCTACCCTTTTCTCCCGTCGCCCTGTCTCTTTTTTTTTCTCTCTCTCTCATCTCTCTCTCGCTCTCTCCCTCTCTCTCTCTCTCTCTTTCTTTTACGTAAGGCATCTTTTGAGGTAAATTTGGTGTACATCGATCTCACTGATCCCACTTTTACTTATTCCAAACAACGTGAGAATCTGCGGCCTCGTCATACCAATGCCACCCCTCGTTCTATTCCGACAGTCGGGCGGTCCTCCGTCCACGACAGTATATACACTGACATCGGCACGACGCTGGCCGATTCCGCCAAGCCTGTTTGTCTCCTCTCCTGACATACGGTGGCCACTCTCCTCTTCGCTTACACGGTGGTCGACGGCGGTAGACAGCGCTGGCGGAGACATGTAGGGAGCGGTGAGGTGAGGGCGGATGGTGGGTGACCGACCCTCTGTTGAAGGGTATAGGAGGCGCTCGTCGGAGCTGGCGCAGCTCACGACCCGTCGGAGGCCGGACCGGGCCCAGCTGGGGTTCGGCAGTTGTTGGTGGGCGGGCCAAGTGAGCGGTGTGGCCACGTCTGTCGTGGTTAGTCGGGTCAGTGAGGTGCTGCGGATCGGTGGCTAGTTGGTGAAGGACAGAAGCTGTTGATAGAGAGAGAGTGTCTGAGCAGTACTGAGGCTTCTTGGTGAATCAAAACACCGAAGCAGAGAAGTAAACAATTTTCTTATTATCCTGAATTGAAGTGAAGTGAAGGAAGTGGGGTGAATGTTTCATGGAATGAAGCACAAATGTGAGAATAAGAATGACTGAATGAACAAGAGCATGTGAAGGGGTTATGAACCGTGAATAATCCATTTGAAAAGACATGTAAAGCTTCAGCCCACTCGAAAAAGCAAAAGATGTCTTTTGAGGACTAACTGATCATTGTCATCTGGCTGACCTGACCTGAACTTTTTCGACCACTAGCAGTCGCGTACCATGAACTTTCTGTACAACCGCGGCGGCCGGTCGGGCGGCTCGGACGGCCACTCGCCGCTCTCGCTCGGTCGAGGTCGGGTCAAACTGCAGCCGCGTCGACTGCGGTCCGCCGCCGCTGCCGCCGCCGCCGCCTCCGCCGCCGAACAGGAGGCGTCTGAGCGTGTCACGCGCACACACCTCTTCCTGGGGTTCGGCGGGGGCGGCGGCGGCGGCGGCGACGGCGAATCGCGGCCGCGTCGCTCGGGCCTGGTCGGCTGGCTGACCGGCCGTGGTAAGAGGAGGACCAGCCGGTCACGCCAGGAGGAGGAGCAGGCTCAGGAGCCGCCGACAGTGACTGTGGTGCCGCCGCCGCCGCCCGACCCGTGTGAGCAGGAGCTACTCTCCCTGGATCAGCTGAGCCAGGACTGCTTCATGGTGCCCCACGCACTGGTCCACAGGTTCCTGCCGACTGGGCACAAGGTGAGAGAAGTGACGCGACCAAACGGACACTTGTAGTGGGCTGGCTGAAAGGCTTATAATTTTTTATTTTTCTTGACTTTGGGTGAACGGTGTCATTGTCGCATGTGTCAGCTTGTCACTGTAATGACACCCAAAGGGCCAACTCAGGCGGAGACAATCACATAGCATGATTTGGGGCCAAAACCCAGACCACCGAAATAACGAATACATTGTTATTAACAATTGAGAAAAGGTAGGAATAAAACGGCGATACTTCAAACAGGTAAATAAACGTTATCCAGTACGATGAGTAGAGAATTTCAGTGCATTTGGAAGTCCGTCTAACTTCTACCGATTGAGTCACTTAACACAATAAAACTGCCTAGTCACCGTGGGCCCATCCATCGTTCATTGAATTCCATAAGTGAGGCCTAAGCCAGCCAATGGCCTGAACTTGCCCCAGCCCATGACGAACAACACTGTTCTCGTCAGAGAACTTCAAAATACACTGGCTGTAATAGCAAGCATGACCCATCACAGTCAAGTATACATATATTCCTAACATGACTTTGACTGACATGGCTCTGTGTGTGTGTTTTTTTTTAATTACCACGGTGTCAGTACCCATGGGAAAGAGCAAGAACTTACAAGCGTGTCGCTCAAATTTCTATTCTCAAGCAAGCGCCTGTGACGGGCCGCCCGAGCCAGGCATCGTGTCGTGCGGCACAGCATACCATCAGGCGCTTACCACCAGTGCCATCTAGCGGTCGAAGCGTGAAGTGCCGTTGGCTCCCCGCGTGTGGACATTGGCATGCTGGTAAAAAGATGCATCCACGTCTGACGAAACAACACACCAATAAAAATTATTTTCGCTATTTGCTTGGCATATTGGGCATGTTTCGTAGCATCGAAATTTCTTGTTTTCAAATCTAATCAACAGGGGAAACTGAAAAATAAACGTGAGTGATAAATGTCAAACCACATTCCGTTCCGACAAAAAGAAAACTTTAATGCAAAATTGAACAAAGACGCTTCTCGATTCTAAATGAGAAAACGTCCTAGCGATGAATGAGGCATGAAAGAGCACAACAACATATCAAAATGAACCGTGAGAAATTGTCACCATTCTTTTGGCCACGATGTAATTTGTGGACCACCATTCACTTTCGTAGCCAATTCTCATTCATTAGGGTGTCTGGTGAGAACTGACGCGTGAAGCTCAGCTTGAAGCAGCGTAAAATAGACACGGGAAAAGGGAGGGAGGGAGACGAATGGTTCCGAGATTTCGAGTTCGAACGTACAGCCCTCAGCAAACTGCGTGGTAGGTATTCTTTTTTCGACAAAACCGGTAATAACTCAAAGACCATGTGATCTGTCGGTCGGAATTCATTGCAAATAGAGGCACCATGCTCCACTCCTTCGATTGGGTCTATCACTAAACAAAGTATAGGTATGCTTTGTGTGGCAACAAAATGCAACAGTTTGTTTTGGGGGCAAATATAAACTTTTGGGTTTTGTTGCCAAACTTGATGGAAAATGAACACGATGATAATGCCAATCTAAGGTGCGGAGTCTCGCGCGTCTTGCTGTTACGATTTCCGAGTGACCAATAGCATAGTATCCGCGATATTGTCGGTTTTGTCGAAAAAAGAATACCTAACACGCAGTTTGCAGAGGGCTGTACATACATACCTATGTAGTTTGGTGCACCTCTGTTAAACAAGACGGTATTCTTCAAGTGTATTAAACAGAGACTTCTTGAGTAAAAACAGCAATGTCTAGACAAATTGTACGGCACATTATTCTCAGCTGCACTGCCACTCTACATAATCTAGCCATCATTCTATCGGCCTGGGTCTGGGTCAGACCGGCCCAGTGACGGACACCAGTGCCACGCGTGACTTCCGCGGCGGCGCAGCGGAGCGACCCCTCACTGCCGGCGCCGGGGGCGTGACGGACAGATCCGCCGGCTGCCAAACTCTGGTGACCGGGACGGCGCCAAACAACAGACACCGTGACGTGACGTGACGCTGACGGCGACCCGACCCGGTCGACACCCGAGTCGCTGCGTTCCGCCGCGAGCCGCGCGCCTTCCGCTCAGTAGAGCGCAACCAGCGACCCTGCTCTCCTACAGGAATACCCCCGGCCGGCCCGACTGACCTATTTACAATAATACGTACCCCGTCTGGCGATGGGTACCGATAAGCAGAAACAACATAGACCACACCTGCCCCGATCACTGATAGTGTCTAGCCATCAGCTGTGGCAATGTCTGATGGCACACAGTGCCGTACCCATTGGCCCCCGGTCTGAGGAGCTTTGAAAGCCGTCGGATCGGCGGCCGAGGGATCCAGGCGGCTGGCAGGGCGGGAGGGAGTGAATCTCGTCCGGACCGGGAGCCAACACCGCGCGTCCGCCTGCCAGACCACTCTCCAGAGTGACACCATATTTCACGGCGAGCATAAAACAATATTCCTTCAATAGCTGAGAGGTCACTCTTAGGTCGACAGACCATAAATCCTTCTGCCTGTCTCTTTCATGTTCGTAAATAATTAGCATGCAACCGGGTTATTAAACATAAACAGAAAACGCCACATTAGCTTTCAGTAGATGGGACATCTTTACCTGTAACTCCTTTTTTCATGACAACTGAGACAATTATGTATCGTAATAACTATTTTAATTCAAACTACATATATACAAGGTACTTATGATAAAGCACCGGAAAATATTTATCTACAATGTAAGAAAAATAAATTTTCAGTTCCATATAACCAGCTTCCTCCCTCGATGGAGCATCTGCACTCTGCAGGCTTCTATCGCGTCTGTATTGCTATGGCCTTGACTGCATATGCATTTTTCAGTCACATTCATAAGATTAAAACGCCATAAGCGCCCCTCGACATAAAACTTGCGCTAAAATTGTGATCGAAGCAATAAATAAGTTATCTAAACACTGATATCAGGCTGTGCACGAATGACGGATCTACATTCTTCTTTTCTGGTAACTACCAAGGATCCTTTTCTGAGGTTCACTCTGCAAAGTCGCAGAAAAACGTTTCGCTGACTCATGTAAAGTGTAAACAGCGTCATTTGAACGCTAAGCCGACGACTGTACTCCGTTAGCTTTGTCACACCTAAGATAGGCTCCCACGTTGTTATTTGCTCCCGGGTTAACATAAACCGGTTTAACGTAACTTTTGCATCCCGGCCAAACTTGCCGGGTTAACTGTCCCACCGCTCGAGACTGGCACTAGGCTGGCCGAGCAAAAAAAAGGATAGTCTACAATCCCGCATCTGAAACTGACTGCAGCTCCTGTCACAATACCGTAACAGCTCATCGCGAGTTCCGTCACAGTCCGTTACGAACTCCGTCACACCAGATTACCAGTCCCGTCACAGCCGTCACACATCCCGTCACGCCACGGTTCATCACATCCGTCACAGTTCATTGCTTATCCGTCCCCGGCTATCCCCACCGTTCCCTGATGAAGCCGTCTTCTGTCCTCCAGCAATCAGCGGCTAGCTCATATCTGACAACCATAAACACAACTGGCGACGTTTGGCCGGGCGGACCGCAAGCAGCCAGGTGCCAAGCAGTAACGCTTGTCGCGCCCAGCGTCCAAAGAACATATTGACCTGAGTCGAGCACCGCAGCCGACCGCCAGCGACCGTGTACAAACGACGACGGTGACAATCAGTAGAGAATGGGCCGCGAAATCACCACGCTGAGTGATTTAAATTGGGCTTAATTATCTACCGCGTGGGTGGAGTGCGAGCTATTTTAGAGCGAGAGCCATGAGCGAAGTGAAGGCTTCGCATAATAAATCAAAGCAGATGAGGGTTAAATAAACTTTGAGTGAAATGGAGCGGGCTGCGACAAGACGCCAGCTCAGATCTTCTTGGTCGCCTGTCAGCGGTCGAGCTGCGGGCTGATGCGCTGACGAGAATGGGACGCGAGAAGGCTGGCGGCGCGGTCGACTCGGGCAAGGGAGGGGTGCGGTCGGAACTAATCCCGAAGGGAAACGGTCGGGTAGATGACCTGAGATATTTGTCACTGGTCCTGTTGACAACCATGCGATACTACAGGCATATTAACTAGCCATTGCTAAATGTGTATCAACTTGGGATGCAAGCAGACCCGTTGTAAATTTCAATGACTGACGATTTCACCCATCCCTGCAGTCGCCAAGATTTCCTCCGGCACCAGGCCAACTCTGGCCTGGCATTCTCCAATCGACTCTGATCGCAACTGATCTAATCTAAATTCTAAACCCCACTCCATCCCCTCAGCTACCGACCTCTCCTGAAAGTCCCGTCAGCATCTGACGTCCTCCAACACACAGCAACTGCAACTGCGTCTGACAACTCCCAACAGCATTCTGACCTCGACCGCAACTGACCTTCCTCACAATCCAGCCGCACAACTGCCGACCAACTTTGGAAAACCCCGTCGTCTCTCCAAGCAACCATTGAACAAACCCCGACCGACACTGACCTCCCCTCTCCCACCCCCAGCTGCCGACCTCTCCCCCGGCGCGCGGCCAGCGTCTGCGGATGCACGAGACCAGCGACCCGGACCTGTCGGTGGTCCTGCACGTGCTGACGCCGCTGGAGCCGGTGACGCCGCCCAGTGTGCTGGAGCCCGTCAGCCCGCTGCAGGTCCAGCTTACCGCCTGCCTATCGCTGCTGAAGAGGGTGGCTGCCGCGGGGAAGACGAGAGATGCGATACTGCTTAGTAACCTGGAGAGGACCGGTGAGAAGTAGATATTGTAGCGATGTGGTGACTGGTGACTGGTGACTGGTGAGTGCTGAAGGTGTGAGGGTAGGACGGGATGAAGGAGTTGGGCGGAGCAAGGGAGTGGGAGAGTTAAAGCCGGAGTGGAAAGAAAAGCTGCTTGGTAGCGAGATAAACAATTGATTGATGACGCCTAAACGGCAGCAACTCGCAGCTTAAATATTGCCGACGATATTTCTAAATGACCATTTTGCATGATATCGAAAGTGCAATCAATCATCTGTATACGATTCCGCTGGTCCGAGAACAACTAACATGGCTTCTCACGCTCATGGGCGACTATCAATCTCTCTCGTGTGGTCCCACAGAGCCGTTTCCGTTTCTGCTCTACTACACGGTGGCTAAGTCGGGCCGCGCCGCGCAGGAGGTGCTCTCGGAGGTGCGACACGGCGTGCGGACCACGTTCTCACCTCTGCAGACCACCCTGGTCGGTCAGCACACAGTGCGGCTGTACCAGGAGGTGGCCACCATCGCCCGGCCGCCGCTCAGTGAGTCATGGATGCACGGGAGAAGGTGTTGGAGGGATGACTAAGGAAAGCGACAATTGATGTCAAGATTGTGACTTTATTACTCAATTGATGTGACTTCTAACGAATCCTTTGGTCTTTGGTAGTTTCATCGTCAAGCTCAAGATAAAAATGGTTGGCTACTCAATCCAGAATGACTAAAATAAGAATTAGTCCAAATACATACAGCAAAGTGGACATTTAGCTACGCCAATAAGACACACGCACATGCATCGGCTGTGCGACTTTCAGGTCCGTCCATTGTCCGATGGTGCGAGTCCTCTCATCTTGTCTCCTACAAAGAGCAGAAAATACTGCTGGCAAAGAGACAAAGCAGTCCGTGAAATCGCATCTCGCCTGTCACATGTTCAAACGCTGCCAAGTTGGACGTTTTCGCTCCGAGAGAAATACTGCGGAGGCCTGAAAGGCATATTTCGCGGTTGATTCTAAAACATTACGTGAACGACAAAAATGACTGGCGTGTTATTTCCCGCATTATTTACGTAATTCACACGCTATGAGTTTAGAAGCCATGTAATCTCAGTTCATGCTGTATGTCTTCCGAACCCTGACCTATCCAAGAGGTCACTATAAGAGGTCACACTGCGTGACGTCTCGCTCTCTCTTCTCTCTCTCTCTCTCTCTCTCTCTCTCTCTCTCTCTCTCTCTCTCTCTCTCTCTCTCTCTCTCTCTCTCTCTCTCTCTCTCTCTCTCTCTCTCTCTCTCTCTCTCCTCCCTCCGTCTCTTCTCTCTCTCTCTCTCTCTCTCTCTCTCTCTCTCTCTCTCTCTCTCTCTCTCTCTCTCTCTCTCTCTCTCCCTCCCTCCGTCTCTCTCTCTCTCTCTCTCTCTCTCTCTCTCTCTCTCTCTCTCTCTCTCTCTCTCTCTCTCTCTCTCTCTCTCTCTCTCTCTCCCTCCCCAGCCGACCAGCGGCGTCCCAGCAGTGACCGTACCGGCTACATCATCTCTGTGTTCCGGGTCATGGAGGGGGACGACCGACACAGCTTCGAGCGCGACTGGCCCAGCTGGACCGGTGAGTTCAGCTTCGGTGACGACTGAAAAATACGTCAGATAATTTATGAAGAAGCCGTTCGGTGAGGCGTGAACTTCAAGATATTTACTTTAGGTAGTTGTATAACCAAGCTGTCCGATTGCGACACCAGCAACTAGGAGTTGAAATCGGGTAAAATGTACAAATAAAAAACGGGCTTGATTTAGCCAAGGACGATTAGTCCAGAGGCCATTCCACAATCACTGTACGATTGCGATGGAAGAAGAGCTCGAACGATCCTCTTCTTGGAAATCCTGTGTAGTGCATTTTCCGCTCCCACTCTTGTTAGTTATGATGAGCTTTCAAGCCATGGCGACGGTCAGCTCAGGAGGGCCACAAGCGCAAAAACGTCTGTAACAGTTATCAAACCGTCGGGTATATCAAATACTGACACATGTAGGCACCAATCTAACCCGATCTGACATGGGCAGACAGATTTAGAGCCTTCTCCCAGTGGCTTGGGGCCTAGAGTAACATACTATCCATATCACTTTATTTATTACTGACAAGTTTCGAGTCGTGGATATTTATTGGGCTGCGTTATCCAAACACAAGAAAATAAATTTAGTCTGAGCGATCACCCGTCAAGGGTCCAGAAAGCACATGCTTAGAAAATGAGAATAAAATCACTTTGTCATATTTATGGATGCGTGGTGTTCGTCGGCGTCCGCTCTCACGACAAACATGCTGACGCAAAACTATAAGCGTCCATGGCTCAAGCATACCTTTCAGTGACAAGCCCTTTCTCACACCGTGCGTTTCCTATAGGAGCACGACTTCTGTACCGGACCATCCCGAAGCGGGCGGGCCTGCGTCGGATCGTTCTCCACAAGTCCTACGACTCTGACACGGGGGACATCTTCTACATTCTCAGCTGCGAGTACAGCCGGCTGTTAGACGACGTCGTCTCCACTGTGAAGACGCTGCCGGCGCTGAGGGCGCGACTCATCGGTTATACTGGCATCTACAAACCCATGGCGGTGCTATGAAGGTGGTAGGAGAGGGGTAGGTTAGTTCTCGTCACATGTGAAGCTGTTGTGGTGGTTCTAGTTATGCTGATGCTATGACTACGGAAGTGTATCGGTATGGAAAGATAAAAACATTGACTTGTTTTGAGGGTAATATTGAACCAATGCGCGGTGAAAGGAGAGTGTGTTCATCGCCACTTTACAGTGACGGCAGTGTGAATGACTGTCCATTGTGTGACCAGTGGCGGATCCAGGATTTTCACTGGGGAGGGGCTGCAGGTCATAATTGGGCGCCACGCCCCGGATGGGCGCCATAGTCGCATCGTATTGGCGCTGAAATATTGGCGCCCAGTGGCCCTGACAAGAGGCGCCCAGGATCAGTATGTACAGTGACACCACACGATTGGAAATATCGGTGCGGAGCGTACTGAAACGACGTTATTCGACTGATTTTTGCATCCTAGCAGGGCATATTTTAAGGATTTTTTACTGCGTCCCAAAGGTGGCATAGGGCACATGCTTCGATCGGAAAGGGCACATACCACATTGCAAGCGAAATAGTATATAATGCAGGTGAGATACACGTGTCATTGTGTTATGTGCCGGTGGAGGGACAGCAAGCGGGATATTGGGAGCGGGCTGTGATTGCTTTTGGCCAGTCTCGAAATTCGCCCAAGTGCCGCCCCGATGGCGCTGGCCCCCGGCACCGGCGCGGCGCTGCTGACCCATGGAGGGGGGGGGGGCTGATAATTAGTTGAGCCGGAATTGGGATAGAAGCCGGTATGGAATTGGGATAGAAGCTCAGCGAGACTAAGGGATTGTGTGGTGCCTTCGGTACGCCCCTCAAAATCACCCGTGTATGGCCCTCAGGGCCGCCGGTTATGAAGCCTTTGGAGGCACTGGTGTGGGCCCTCACAGGTGCCGGTGTGATGCTATCAGAGGCATTGGTGCGGGGCCCTCAGAGGTGCCGCTGTGGGCCCTCAGAGGTGCCGCTGTGGGCCCTCAGAGGCGCCGGTGAGGGTTCTCACAGTTGCCGTTGTGGGCCCCCAGAGACACTGCAGCGTGGGGTTGTCACAGTCGGGTGTGGGACCCTTAGAGCTGCTGGCTCGAACCCTTTACAGGCCGACAGGGGCTCTCAGAGACCGACAAGGGGCTCTCAAGAGGTCTGCGGTGCCTTTGGGAGCCCTGTGGAGTCCTTAGAGACCAGCAGGCAGCAAGGTACACTCAGACGCCAGTGGGGCCCTCAGAGTCGTCGGTGTGGGGCCCTCAAAAGTCACCGGTGAGTGGCCGTCCGATGCGGCTTCGGCGTTGAGCCCCCAGAGCCGCCGATATATGGCCTTAAGAAGCACTGGTTTCGGGACCTCATTCAGGGGTGCCGGTTGCACTCAGAGGTGGCAGTGTTGGGCCCTCAGCTAGGCACCGGTGTGGGGCATTCACAGCCGCCGGTGAAGGCCCTCGCAGGCGCCGTTGTGGGGGCCTTCAACCATTGGTTTAGGGGGTCATCGCAGGCGTGTGTGGAACCCTTAGAGCTGCTGGTCCCTGATAGGCCGGTAAGGGCCCTCAGAGGCCGGCAAGTAGCCCTCAGAGATCGCCAATAGGCCCTGAGAAGCCGGCAAGGGGCCCTCAAAGGCCGACAAGGGACACTAAAAAGCTGGTGTGGGGCTCTTATGGAGAGAAGTGTCCCGAATCCGGTCCCGAAATCCAGGCCCGGATTTTCCCGAAATCCGGGCCCAGCACCGAACCGGCAGCAGACGGGCCCTTAAGACGGGAAGACAACAAGGTATCGGGTTTGAGGACACTGGGCAGGGCAGAGAGGGTCACAGGGCCTGAATGCAGAGCAGGGCGCAGGGCCTGAAGGAAGGACAGGGCAAGGTACAAGACCTTAAGACAGGGCACTGGGCACTGGGCAGGTCACATATCTTTGGGGTATAGTAGGGCAGGACATAACAAGGTGTACGACCCAAGGATAGGGCAGGGCACAAGGACTGGAGAGCGCATGTATGTGCTTAGGTGCATAGTAAATCAGGGCACAAAGCAATCGTCATTATTGTCTTATTTTAGTTTTTCCCTTTTTATTACCTATGCCCGTTTTAGTTTATGTGCATGTGGAAAGTGTGAATGTCTTTTTATATCACTGCATTTCACAACTTGACTGATGGCAAGGAATAGCCACTATGAGTGGATTTGCCTGAATAAAAATTGGTAATTGGTAAATTGGTAATCAGAAAGGCAACATCTGTTGCATAGTAAAAGACCGAGGCATGCTAATTATTTTTGCTTGCACTTTTCCGCTGAAACCGGGACATTTCAGTGTGGGACGCAGTGGTCCAAATTTCGCGAGGGCTACGTCCCAAAGGCAGGGGGGACGACGCAGTCAGTATGTTAAAATATGCCCTGCATCCTAGTCCTAGTATGCGGCACTCCGATGAGTTGCGAATTGAAAATTGGCGCCACTGCGCCTTCGGCGCAGTGGCGCCAGTTTTCCTTGGGTGGGGGCGCCCCCGCAGCCCCCCCCCCTGGATCCGCCACTGTGTGTGACCGAATGTAGTAGCCGACGTTCAATTGCTGAGAGACATTGCAATCATTGAATATGTTCGTGTTAGCCAAGCAAAAGCGATCGGTGTTTTGGGGCAGTGCAAAGAGAAACCAATTAGGCATGTAGGCATTATGTAGTCATGATAAACACGAGACGGCGCTGCCGTTATTACACTTGTAATAAGCTCAATGGGTCATGCTCAAAGCTCATCTCAGCTCATTAGTTACTTCAACGTTTTTGTTTCTTCTAAACCTTGGGCCCCAGACCAAGGTCTAGAAGCCCAAGACCCGCGCTAGAAATATAAAGGTGAGCAAGGGTTGAGCTGTGTTGTCTGCGAATTAGCCCAGATCTTATACTGCATACTGTAGAGATGCAAAGTGTACAGTGTTGAGGTTATTGTAAGCTGAGGGTGATTGTAGTTATGTCGATACCTTCTACTGAGTCACTGACAAACAATAAACTTCCCAGAGGCCTGACCATGACTCTGGGCTACACCCAGAACTGACATTTGACGGCCCCACTCGAGCTGCTTCGTTGCTCGCTATTTACTGCCGAGTCACCATGCAAACCGGGTCAGATATCAACAAATCTGAGATAGCAGTGGGCCGTCTTCTTCCTGTAAATCGCTCAGTTGGACAGTACGGAGCCACACAGCCGGAAAGTGACCGCGATATTTGATATTTCATACAACGCTATTTGATATTTCGGCCATGTCTAACCGAAAGCAGGACATCCGAAGTGCAATACACGGAAGGAACGCTGTCAAGTATTCGGATTCCTGGTCCCATTCCACCCACAGCCACATTCGGTCGAAAATAGTACCAATCTAGAAAGCAATATAAAATGACAGAAAATCATCAAATCCAAGCACTATAATATCCGAAACAATGATCCACGAGTACCTAGTCAATGTATTTCCGCACCTCCATGCCGGCAATAGCCGTGCGTGACGACATAGCCGTCATCGCCTCGGTCGACTGCACCGGATCCGACCGTAACGTACCTATCTCAGCTTCCCCCACTCCCCACCCACACACGCCCGGGGCGACGGAGTGGCGTTCCGCGGCGCGTGACACGCGGCGCACTGCCCTCCGTCCGACGCACAGGACGCGTGCAAACACTCCCTATCTGATGGAGAGGCCGGATGGAGGCCAGGCCCGGTCCCAGCCGCCCAGGACGTCCGGCCAGGCCACCTCCACCCCCTCCCACAGAGTCCCCACGGACGAGAAAACACAAACACAATCATGGAAGAGGACGATTGACGCTCACACGGCCTTAAAATAAACAATCAAGTAGTGAATAGCACGAGTACCAAAAAAGTGTTATTACAAAGAATAGCTCTATGTTTCATCTGGCTCTCTTCACATCCCTCTGCAAGCCATCCAGTTCTCTTAGGATCGTCAGCGATCACACGGGGCACCAGGGCACCAATCACAGAGCACAAACGGGCTGCCGAGGCGCCCACCTACCGCAGCAGCGCCTTGATGTCCGCCTTCTCCGCAGCGTCGATATAGCTCGTGCCGTCCGGCGTCTTGCCCGACTTGGACGCACCCTGAAAGGAGACCGGATGGGGTTGATACGGATAACGGCAGCAGTGAGCGGCTTGAGTGTCAAATAAACAAACACAATGCCAGCGAGGACTTGACGTAGACCGGACGTGTGACGAGCAACTTTTCATCGACCGCATCAGAAAGAAAAAAGTGAACTTCTTCAACGGCAGGGGAGCAACAATGTCCTGGCCATCCTATGAGACTGCGTGTTCAATACTTAGAAATGGAAAGAATGACAAGGCTTTTCACCGAGAGCGAGAAAGCGAGCCTTTTTAAACGAGAGTTCCAATCAAGGCAGAATGTTTCACGCTTCATGTTCTAGAGCACAACAGGGATGGGCTAAAAAATGGTATGGAATTTAATATCGTATCAAGTGAAAGCTGCAGCCATCATAATCATCACCACCGTTGAACAAGGACCGGGCAATGAGATATCTCGCATGTAACAGCAGTTCGGGTGTGTACCTTTTCCAGCATCAGTTTCACACAGTCGGTGTGGCCCTCCCAGATAGCTGCTAGTATCGCCGAGATGCCGTGCTTGTCCAGCACCTGGAAACGAATCGAAGAAAAATTAGTACTGGAACTGATCGTGAGGCCACATAACAAAGAGAATCGAAATGAAAATAACGTCAACTCAGTAGAAAGAGTCATAATATCACTGCTGGGTGACGACGTGCCAACACCAGGACCAGGAGCACGCCGATTGTGTCCCTTCCTGTCTCAACACCGATACTTACATTGAGGTCTGCACCTTTGCTGAGGAGATATTTCAGCACCTCGAGCTGACCATAGTCGGCGGCATAGTGGATCGGGCTGCGACCATCTATTGGCGCATTCAGGTCCACTTTCTGGCAACAGGAGATCAAGAGATAAAGACGGACATCAATTTATGGCGCAATAATGAGCAGAGAGACTACACAAACTATGCAGATGATGCTAGAAGATTATCATGAAATGAAACCAGCCTAACTTGTTTTGAAACATAGCCGTCATTAGAAACATAATCGCACATCATAGCATTACCTTGGATTCAACAGCCTCCTTCACTTGTTCAATGTCTCCATTTTTGATGCTCCAAACCAGCCCACTCATGATTAGCTGCTATCTGAAAATTCAGGAAAAAGCATTAG